TATCGATTTCTAATTTCAATTCCGGATTTTCATTCAAAAACAATTCCTCTCTATTATCGCTACAATCTTTATAATCTGGAAAACATATGTACAGTAGTGTCCATTTGACATCCCTGTCCCCCAGGTCTACCCTATTGCTAACTTGAGATAAATCTTTTTCAAATCCAACCATACATTCCGTATCAATTTTAGCCAACTATATAATTATAATACATATACAGTATGTGTTAATATAAAATACAGTATTTAGTGGTGGGGTTGGTGTTGGGGTTGGGGTTGGGGTTGGGGTTGGAGTAGTTATATATATATATTATTAGTTATATATATATATTATTAGTTATATATATATATTATTAGTTATATATATATTATTAGTTATATATATATTATTAGTTATATATATATTATTATTAGTTATATATATATTATTAGTTTTATATATATATATAACTATTACTTATATACTATATATTAAAATTAATTAATTAATTAATTTTTATTATTATTTAATTAAATTAATTACTTTTTCGTAATACAGTTTCAGATTCGCTGATTTCTGTTTGATAGTCGACTCTGGATTACATTGACTAAAATTTTTCACTAATTCCGTATAAATTATTTCCGGTGTACACAATATTTGTCTGATTTTTGTCTTGTATTCATCAAACCAGCGATCAGTTTGTTGTTGTTGTTGTTGTTGTTGAAGTTGGGGTTGGGGTAGTTGGGACTGTGGTTGAGGTTGGGATTGTTGGGGTTGAGGTTGTTGTTGGGGTAGTTGGGGTTGAGGTTGTTGTTGGGGTAGTTGTAGTTGAGGTTGTTGTTGGGGTAGTTGGGGTTGAGGTTGTTGTTGGGGTAGTTGGGGTTGAGGTTGTTGTTGGGGTAGTTGGGGTTGAGGTTGTTGTTGGGGTAGTTGGGGTTGAGGTTGTTGTTGGGGTAGTTGGGGTTGAGGTTGTTGTTGGGGTAGTTGTGGTTGAGGTTGTTGTTGGGGTAGTTGTGGTTGAGGTTGTTGTTGGGGTAGTTGGGGTTGAGGTTGTTGTTGGGGTAGTTGGGGTTGAGGTTGTTGTTGGGGTAGTCCATAGACAACAACAACATTAGTACTACTGGCCAATAGTAAAACAAATAATAAACTTGCACCAGATAACATTTTGATATTAATCAATTTTTTTTGTTTAAATAGTAGATTATATATCAATAATTTTTTTTTGTCAATACTATACCGACAGTATAATATTAAGTAGACTTTATTATTAATTATTATTATTATTATTATTTTAATTCAACTGTAATCTACTAAACAATGAGCTATACATTCAAAAACTATTTTAAAAACTAATATTATTTTTTTTCTGGAAAATTCAATAAAATATGGTTTAATAACTAATTAAAATTACGACATTTTTAAAAAAAAGTTATTTTATTAATTAATTTTCAAACACGTCATCATATTATACTTAAAATAAAAATTTTTGAATTAAATAAAATAAATATATAAATAATTTTTAAGTATATTTATAGTATATGTAAATTTATTATAATACATGTCTTATTATTATTTTTTTGATTAATTTATTTAATAATTTAAATAATAATAAATATTTTATACATAAATAATTTTTTTAAGGACTCAATTTTAAAACTAAAAATAATTTAATTTTTTTATAATTAATTTTTTTGTTTTTCTAAAGTTTTTTTTTAAAAAATAAATAAATAATTCAATACAAATATCAATATTTTTAATTTCTTATTATTTATTCAATTATCCAAAAAAAAGTAGTTATACAAACAAAATATTTTTTTTTAAATTAACAATATTATTAAATATTGTCTAAAATAATTATATATGAATAGTAAATATATTTTTTTTTAAATAATAATAATAGTAACAATTAATATTTATTTTTATTTTTAATTGATGCTAATAATTAGCATGCTAAAATTATTATTATTATTATTATTAGTGCTGTTCAATGCCCAGTGCCTTACGTTCACATGCCTGAACCAAATTAAAAAAAAAATTAATTAAAATAAAATTAAAATAATTAATTAAAAATAATAATATTAAATTTATTTATTATTAAAACAATAAAATATATAATATATATATAGTATATAATATATATAGTATATAATATATATAGTATATAATATATATAGTATATAGTATATATAGTATATAATATATCGTAAATAATATATATCGTAAATAATATATATATGTATATAATATATATTATACTATATATATATATTATATATCAATAATAACTTACATAAAAATCAACCCATTTATCAATATTATCTAATTCTGACTGTACTCTATCATCCATAAAATCTTTGAAAAATTTCTGATCATTTTTCAGCCAACTGTCCAATCGTTGTTTCATACACTTAATAAACCATTGGGAACATGAGTTTACAATAGCCAATTTAATATCCAGATCGTTCAGGTCGACTGTCCCATTAGTTACTAACTGATAGTTGGCCAGCAGTTTAGGTATATCATTACTACTATCATTACTAGTAGTATTATTTAAGGAACTACCATCATTGGTACATGTATAGGCAATTTCTCTATGCTAAAATATATATATAAATATATAGATAATAATAATAATAATTATTATTAATTTTTTTTAAAGTAAAAAAAATTAATTAATTAATTAAAAAACAAAACAAAACAAAACAAAACAAAACAAAACAAAACAAAATTACTTTTTTATAAAACTGTTTAATTAGCGATTGATTTTGATGTTTAGCCAACCATTGTTTTTCGCATTCATTATAATCATTGATTGATTTTGTATTGATTTTACTGTTGTTAGTGTTGTTAGTGTTGTTAGTGTTGTCCGACAAACATATAACTTGTTTGACTTGTATTTGATGTTTATTTCTCAATATATTTCTTTGTTGTTGTTGTTGTTGTTGTTGTGTCAGTGGGTGTGGTTGTTGTTGTTGTGTCAGTGGGTGTGGTTGTTGTTGTTGTAATGTTGGATATGGTTCAGGTTGTAGTTGTTGTTGAATACCCAGTACCTTTTTCTCGCATGCCTATATATATATATATATATAAATTATTCAAATTAATATTAATTAATATTTTTTTAAAAAAAAAATAAAGTAATAATAATTTAATATTTTTTTTAATTTTTTTATAAATATCTATATCTATATATTAATATATTTATATATTTATATTTAATAATAATTTTTGATTTTAAAATCTAATAGTTATCATATCCACAAAAAATAACTTAAAGCCTTACTTAAACTTAATTTTATGAAAAACAATAATTAATTTTTTTTTTAAATTATTCAATAAAAATCTATATACTATACTATACTATATATATATAGTATAATTTATCACATTTGCCCTGTTCATATTTTTTTTAAATAGATAAAATCTAACAAAACTTAACCTTGACCTAAATAGATATATATATATATATATATATATTATATAAAAATATACTAAAATATTCTTATATATAAAAAAATTATATTAAAATATTTATATATATAAATATAAAACTTATATTAAAATATTATAAACAATTCTAACTATTTTTTAAAAAATAGTCAATCAATTATAAAAAAAAAATCAATAAATATCAATAAATTGATAAATAAATAAACTGTATATTTATATACAGTACAGTACAGTTTACATATACATACAAATAAATCCGACCATGGTAACTGTCTAAATGCTCCATCAACATTAGCATTGTTCAATTGCAATACAAATGTCGGATCAGATTTAATCAGGAAGTCCTGTATATTATGTTCATAGCATTGGCCAAACTGTTGGGAACAGGTAGTCAGTATAGCCAACCTGATGTCCGTATCGTTGGTATCTAATTGTTTGTCAAATGCGGCCAATTGTTGGACACTAGCCGTATCATTGACAGCACAATCGTTGGCCGATTGTTTCATCTAATAAAATAAAATAATATTTATTTTTTAAAAATAATAATAATAATTATTATTATTATATATATATTGATTGATTTAATTGTGCTAAAAATGTTTGAATAATAGGGTATATAAAATATATACATATATATATACTCAGGGCTGGAGGGGTAGTATAGGGAGGGGAATAGTTTTTTTTAGTAAATTTCCTTAAAAAATAATAATAAAATTTAAAAAAAAATAATTTAAAAAATTTAAAAACTTAATTCCTTAAAACATTTTTTTGTTAATAAAAATTATTATTTTCTAAAAACTAATAATATTTATATAATATCCTAAATATCCTATTGTTAGGTTATATATATATAGCTAACTAAAAATGTCCCTGATTGATTAAAATTTTATAATACATCCCGGAGCTGACTGATGGTAATTTAAAAAAAAATAAACAATTAAATTAAATCATATATAATAAAAACACACAATATTTTTTTAATGACAATATTTTTTTTTTTAAATTTAAATATAAAAATTAAATTAAAAATTACATACTTTATCAAAATATTTCACTAAAATCGGTGTTTTATTTGAATTATCGATTAGTTGTCGACATTGTCTAAACTCTTTAGCCAATTGATTGTTGATCTTATCTGATGAACATATGATAGGTTTAATCAACGAATAGTGTCTGTCTTTCCATTGATCTTCCAGTTCCTGTAGTTCGGTGTGTGAAAGTGGGTCTGAATTTTTTGCAGGGGTTGGGTATGGGTCACCAGTGTGTGGGTCATTGTTTTCAGATTGTTGTTGTTGTGGTGGTGGGGGATCAATACCCAATGCCTTATAACCGCATGCCTATATATATATAAATATATAATTAATAATAATAATAATAATTAAGCATTATTTAAATTGTAATTTTAATTTTTTTGTTTACAAAAATAAAAATAAATAATTTTAATTTAAAAAAACAAGTTCCGTATTACTAAATTAAAATATTATAATTTTCAAAAACAACAAAAATAATTAATTTAAATATATTGTAATATAAAGTTTATATAGTAATAATAGTAATAATAATAGTTGTAATAATAGTTGTAATAATAGTTGTAATAATAGTAGTAATAATAGTAATAATAATAGTTGTAATAATAGTTGTAATAAAAGTAGTAGTAATAGTAGTAATAGTAGTAGTAGTAGTAGTAGTAGTAGTAGTAGTAGTAGTAATAATAATAGTAGTAGTAATATTAGTAATAATAGTTGTAATAATAATAGTTATAATAATTATAATATTACTAATACATACATTAATTTCATCGGTTGGAAAATTATTGATTTGACCATGGGGATTTTCCTTAATCAAATCCATAGCAAACTGTTGATTATTAACAGCAAATTTGATGAATCTATTTTCAATACACAACAGATAGGATGGCGAACAATGGCTAACCAATACCGATCTAACATCCGGATCAGTTATATCGACATTGGTATAGGTGCTCAGATCGACATCGGGTGCACCATTGACTGTACAGTCCGAATCAAATTCTAGTAACTAGTTATTTATTGAATTTTTAAAAAAAAAATTAAAAAAAATTAAAAAAAAATTAAAAAAAAATTAATTTAGTAAATATATAATAAAGTTAATAAAATAATTAATAAACAAATTAATTAATTTATATAAATATTATTAGTAAATATATAAATAAATATTTTAATTATAATTCCTTATAGCTTAGTATATACAGTGTATATACAGTATATAGTTATATATTGATTTATATATTGATTTAAATATATATTGATATATAATTATTAATATATACTGTATATTATATATATACCAATATTTGATTATAGTATATGTTTTATATAATATAATTTATTCATACAATTAAACTAATACTAATTAATTAATTAATTTTTTGCTTAAATAAAAGTTTTTAAAATATATAATTTTAAAATATTTATTACTACTAATAATAATTATTAAAAAATATTTAATGTATAAATTAATACATACTTTTTGATAGTATTGTTTAACTATTGGTATTTTTTCATTATTAATCATAATTTGTTTGCATTTATTATAATCTTTAAGTACTGTTGTATTGATTTTATCGGAATTTTGACAAATTATTGTATTTTTATGAAATTGAATTTTATTGTTATTATTATTTTGTTTTAATTTTTGTTGTAATAGAAAATCTGTTAGTACATTATTGCCGCATGCCTAGATAAATAAATAATTGTAAAAATTAAATTAAATTATTTAAAATAAATTGTTAAAAACTTAAAAAATTAATTTTTAGTGATAGTTTTTTTTTGTTTCAAATTTAATATAAATATAATTTATTATTATTAGACTTAACAATCATTGTTAAGTCTAATAATAATAAATTAAAATTATAAATAAACAAATATATATATATATACATAATAATATTATTCGTATAAATATATGTTTGTGTAATAGTGTAAAATAAAATTAAATATAATGAATAAATAATTAACAGTATTATTAACAGTATTATTATTATTATTATTAAATAATAATATATTAATAAATAATTTATATTAGTGTATATTATCTATAAATTATCTATTTTTATAACAAATAAATACACACACACACACACACACACACACATACTCACTCACACACACTCACACACACAAACACACACATAGGCAAACATATTGGTGAGTCTATGGCAAATGGGGTCGGGAGGGGTCGGGTGGGGGGTATTATAGCTATTAGTATTACTTACTCTAATTTTATCCATTGGATATCCATTGACTTTACCGCCAGGAAATTCACCATAAAATTCATTAGCAAACTGTTTGTCTTGATTTAGATAGGCTTTCATCGATCTAACTAAACACGGCCTAAATGTTTGCGAGCACTGGCCAACTAAAACCACTCTAACATCCGGATCAGTTTGGTTGACATTGCCGTAGGAGCTCAGGTCAACATCAGGTGCACCATTGGCTGTACATTCATAGACAAATTGAAGTACCTAGGTTGTTTTAATTAGGAAAATAACAACAACAATTAATTAATAAATAAATAAATATAAAAAATTAATAATATTTAATTTATTAATTTTTTAAAAAAAATATTGATATTGCTTAAAATTATTTTTTTAATTTTAAAGATTAAATTATTCTATATGTAAACTATTTATATAAATTTATATATATTATAAAGAGTATTGATTTTTTTTATTAATAATATTTTTAAAAAAAATAAAACTTAATTATATTTTTTTTTGTAAATTAATAGCTGTTAACTGTAATAATTATTTTTGGATGCATAATAACTATAACTATTAATTAATTAAATACTATTATACTAATAATTTATATATATATATATATAGTGTTATATATTATTAATATATGTATACATACTTTAACATAATATTTATTTAATGTTGGTGAATTATTTTTTTGAAACATTTGCATTTTGCATAGACTAAATTGTTTCAATACATTTGTCGTAACATTCAATGGTATTTTACAAATTTTTTTCTTAAGATTTTTCCTAATATTATCATCATTAGTATCATTAGTATCCTTATCATTATCGTCATCATCATCATCAGTGTCTACATCAACATTATCATCATCAGCATCTAGTTGTTGTTGTAATTTTTGCATTTGTTGTTGTAGTTTTTGTATTAGCAATTGTTGTTGTGATTGTTGTGATAGTTTTGATTTTGGTTGTTGTGGTTGTTGTTTAAATACTTGAATATTTTGTAGCAGTTGTTGTAATCGTTCTAATATTTGTTGTTCCGATACTTGTTGTGGTTGTTGTTGTTGTGGTTGTGGTTGTTGTGGTTGTTGTTGTGGTTGTAGTTGTTGTGGTTGTTGTTGTGATTGTTGTTTTGATAATTGATTATTTTGTAGCAATTGTTGTAATCGTTGTTCTAATACTTGTTGTAATTCTTGTTTTGATAATTGATTATTTTGTATCAGTTTTCGTAATTGTTGTTCCAATTCTTGTTGTTGTTGTTTTGATAATTGATTATTTTGTAGCAGTTGTTGTAATCGTTGGTCTAATACTTGTGGTTGAGATACTTGTTGTTGTTGTTGTTGTTGAGGTTGAGTTTGAATAGCAAATTCTTGTTGTAGGCATAACTATATATATATTAATTAAATTAATTAATATATATATATATATAAATAAATTATTATATAATTTTATCAGAAATGTATGTTTAAAATATAAATATATATATTTATAGTTATATATATATATGTCAGGGTTGCTAAAGGTTTTCGATTTCAGGGGGGGGGTATAGGGGGAGGTAAAATGGCAATATTTTCGAAAAAACTTGGGGGTATAGGGGGGGGTGGTGGACATTTTTTATTGCATTTTTAAATTCCCACTAAATTCCCATTGTATGTATATTTTATTGTTTAAATAATAATAATAATTATTATTATTATTATTATAATCACAGATCCGTTACTATTTAATAATTATGAATAAATGAGTTAAAAGTTGAAATCAAATAAAACATTATATATTGAATAATAGCTGTGAAATAAGCCCACAAACTTTATATTAATAATTATATTATTAAAAAAAATAAAAATTACATAAAAAAATAATAAAAAATACTCATGTAATTTTTATTATCAATTATAAATAAATAAAAAAAACCTATTTATGATATTATTTTTTAATGGTCTAATTATCTTAAAGCTATACACGATAGTTGCCAGTTGCCTAACAATATTGTTATTAGGCGTGGTTCACATATTACGTTCGCACTTGAGGGGGGGGGGTTGGCCTAAGCGAACTTTTGTGAACGAGGGGGAGGGGAGGGGTATAGTCTTTAAGATCGTCCGCATTTAAATATTTTATTTCTTGTGGTGGAGGGGGGGTAGCGGTTAGGGACATGCGAACGTAATTTTTTAAAATGACTACATGCGAACAATTGCGAACATAAGGGAGGGAGGGGACTAGATTTCTTAAAAAAGTGCGAACGCAATATATGAACGACGCCTTATCAAACATTTAAAAAATGCTCGGGATCCAGGTGATTATAATATAGTTTTTTTTTTAGAAAAAAAACTTTAAAAAATTAGTATAACTATACTTACTTTTAGTTCATCATCTGTAAAATTATTAACATCGTTGTTAAAATTTTCATTTTCTAAATCTAAAACAAACTGTCTATTGTCTTCCAGAAATTGATCCAATTTTTTATCAATACACTGTCTGTCTAAATCAGTGCACGTGGATGTTATAGCCGATCGGACATACGGATCAGTTAGATTAACATTGGTATAGGCAGTGAGGTCGACATCTGGTAAACCGTTTTTAGTACATTCGTATTCAAATTCAAAATACTATAAAATTGTATTATAAAAAAATAAAAAAAAATAAGTATTTAATAAAAATTATTATAATAACAATAACACTAAATATTAATATGTATATCCAAAAAAAATTTTTTTTAAACACATACACATTAATAAGCAGTTATATATATATATATATATATATAGATATTATATTGTAAATTTATATGTTAGAAAATGTTAAATTTGATTTATCTAGTTGAGTTTTAAAAATAATTTAACCCATGTTTAAATAACAATATATATATATATATGCAGGAATCTAAAATACTATTATATATATATAAAAGGGTTATTCATTAATCTCGCGCATGGGGTTTTTGCTATAACTCTTAAACGGAGTGAGATATATTAATTTTGTAAAAAGTGTATTAAAATATGATTTACGCGTAATATTATAAAATATAAAATTTTTAATTTTGATAACGTGATCATATTTATGCTGGGCTGTTTGTAAACCACTATGTCACAACCTAACCTATAAATGATAGAATAAAATTTCAATAGCAATTTTGTAGAGCCTGACTTGGAAAATTATTGGAAGAAAATTTTTTTTAAATTGGTCGAAAAATAAATTTTTTATGGCTTTTCAAACTTATGAAGAAACACATTATATAAAATAGTCAAAAATAAAATGACGTTATTTATGGATAGTATACACTTATAAGATAAAGATTTTAATACTATTACTTATTCTAAAAACTAAATTTTTTTATGTCAAATATTTTTTTAGATATTAATATTACAATAAAAACATAGCATTATAATTTGATAATGTAATTTAATTTTAAATTTAATTATCTAAAAAAATATTAGACATAAAAAAATTTAGTTTTTCAAATATGTAATAGTATTAAAATCTTTATCTTATAAGTGTATACTATTTATAAATAACGTCATTTTATTTTTGACTATTTTATATAATGTGTTTTTTCACAAGTTTGAAAAGCCATAAAAAATTTATTTTTCGACCAATTTAAAAAAAATTTTCTTCCCATAATTTCCAAGTCAGGCTTTAAAAAATTGCTATTGAAATTTTATTCTATCATTTATAGGTTAGGTTGTGACATAGTGGTTTACAAACAGCCCAGCATAAATATGATCACGTTATCAAAATTAAAAATTTTATATTTTATAATATTACGCGTAAATCATATTTTAATACACTTTTTACAAAATTAATATATCTCACTCCGCTTAAGAGTTATAGCAAAAACCCCATGCGCGAGATTAATGAATAACCCTTTTATATATAATTATATAAAATAATATTTAAAAAATTTACAATAAATTGTATTATAATATATAATAATAATAATAATAATAATAATTTTACATACTTTTACTAAATATTGATTGAATTTTTTTGACTTAATTTTATTAATCATATTAAATTTGCATTGATTAATATGTTTTAGTTGCTTATAGGTAACATCATAGGGAAGTTTACAACTATTATTTTGTTGTTTTAGATTTTTAGTTTCATTGAATTTAGTTTTATCATCCAAATTGTTGGCCAATTGTTGTTGTTGTTGTTGTTGTTGTTGTTGTTGTTGTTTTAATAATTGAATATTTTGTAGCAGTTGTTGTAATTGTTTAAATTGTTCTAATACTTGATTTTCTGATTGTTGTTGTTGTTGTTGTTGTATTGATATTTGAATATATTGTAGCAGTTGTTGTAATTGTTGTTCTGAAAATTCATTTTTTAATTGTTTTGGTTGTTGTTGTTTTAATAATTGAATTTTTCGTAGCAGTTTTTGTAATAGACGTTCTATTAATTGTGGTTGTTGTTGTTCTTGGCTTATTGATTGAATATTTTGTAGCAGTCGTTGTAATTGTTGAAAATTTTCTTGTTGTTGTTGTTGTTGTTGACCCAATGCTATTATACTGCAATCCTATTAATATATATATATATATATATATATATAAATTAATAAATATTTAATAATAATAATTATTATTATAATTAGTATAATAATTATTCTTAAAATAAAAAATTTGAATAAAATAAAAAGTTTTTAATATATTTTTACATTTTTTAAAAAAAAACTAATTATAAATGATAAAATGATAACTAAATCAATAATTATAAAAATTATTGATTTATTAATAGTTTATTTGAGCATGGTAAATGTCTTCTAATAATAAAATAATAAGCTAAGTAGGTTTTTAACTCACTAAGATAAAATATGTGTATATATATAATGTATTAAAACTTAACAAGGCGTAGCTCACATATTACGTTCGCATTTTTAAGTGGAGGGGGGGGTGGTGGCCAAAGCAAACTTTTGTATGAACGAGGAAGAGGGGATGGAGGAGGGGTTGAACGTTCACATTTAGATAATTATTTTATCTTATAGTGGGGAGAGCGGGGGGGGAGGAGGGCGGCGGTAACTTTTAGGGACATCGTGTGCGAACAATTACAAACATAGGGGAGAAAGAGAGAGAGAGAGGGGGGTGGTGTCTAGATTTCTTTTTTTTATTATTAAAAAAAAAGTGCGAACGTATTATGTGTAAACAGCCATAGAAATTATTATACTTACTATTGATTCATCAATTGATAAATTTTCAATATCTTTTAAAAAAGTTTCATTTGACATTAATAATCTAAACTGTTTATTGTCATCAATAAATTGATCAAATTTTTTACTAATACACTCATTGGCTAATCCCGAGCACGTGGCAGTTATAATAGATATGACTTCCGGATGATTAACCGCATCAACATTGGTATAGGCAGTCAGGTCGACATCGGGTAAACCGTTTTTAGTACATTCGTATTCAAATTCATAATACTATTTGTTTTATTATTTGAAAAAAAAATAATTAATAATTAATAATTAATAAATATATAAATAACAAAATTATTAGAATTATAATAATAATAATAATAATAATAATAATAATAAATATATAGCCAAAAAATATATATTGAACACATTAGCAGTTATATGCATATAGTATATATATATAATTATATATATATAAAAATATATATATATAAATATATATATAAAAATATATATTAAATATACATGTTTAGAATATCTTAAATTTATCTAGTTGATTTTCATAATAAATTAATCCCTGTTTAAGTATTTTAATATTTCAATAATAACACTTTATATACTGTATATAAGGTAGACTTTACAACAACAAAAATTACTAAAAAAGTTTCAATTGATTTATTAAATTATTATAATTAATGGTAAAAAAATATATATAATAAATAGGTAAGCTAGTTTTTTTTTTGTTTCAATATATAAGTTTCAATAACTATTTAATAATAGTTTAATATGAAAAATAAGTATTTATATTAAAAAATATAGTTTTTTTGGGGGGAGAGAGAGAGGATGGGGGGGTAGAGGATAATAATTATATTAATATATACATACTTTTGTCAAATATTGATTTATTCTTTTTGAATTATTGTTTGAAATTATTTGAAATTTGCATTTATTATAATCTATTAGTTGATTATAAGTAACATTAGTAGTAATTAGACAATTATTATATTTTTCAGTCAATTTAGTTTTATCGTCCAAATTGTTGGTCACTTGTTGTTGTGGTTGTTGTTGGGATTGTTGTTTTAATAATTGAATATATTGTAGCAGTTGTTGTAATTGTTGTTCTGATACTTGTTGTAGTGGTTGTAGTGGTTGTAGTGGTTGTAGTGGTTGTAGTGGTTGTAGTGGTTGTAGTGGTTGTAGTGGTTGTTGTGGTTGTTGTGGTTGTAGTGGTTGTTGTGGTTGTTGTGGTTGTTGTGGTTGTTGTGGTTGTTGTGGTTGTTGTGGTTGTAGTGGTTGTTGTGGTTGTTGTGGTTGTTGTGGTTGTTGTGGTTGTTGTTGTGATTGTTGTTTTAATAATTGAATATATTGTAGCAGTTGTTGTAATTGTTGTTCTGATACTTGTTGTAGTGGTTGTAGTGGTTGTGGTTGTTGTGGTTGTTGTGGTTGTTGTGGTTGTTGTGGTTGTTGTGGTTGTTGTGGTTGTTGTGGTTGTAGTGGTTGTTGTGGTTGTTGTGGTTGTTGTTGTGATTTTTGTTTTAATAATTGAATATATTGTAGCAGTTGTTGTAATTGTTTTTCTGATACTTGTTGTAGTGGTTGTAGTGGTTGTGGTTGTTGTGGTTGTTGTGGTTGTTGTTGTTGTTGTTGTATATAACTAATTGCTTTTGCAATGCATTGCTATAAATATAAAAATTAAAAAAAATTAATAATAATAATTATTATTATTCTCAAACAAACAAAATATATTTGTTTTCTATCTTTTTTTACTAAAAAAAACTAATAATAATATTAATAATAATTATCTATAAAAAAAATAATTATTAAAATATATAAAATAAAAATTAATTATTAAAATATATAAAATAAAAATTAATAATTAAAAAAAATGTATTAACATTAACATGGGAAAAAACTAACATAACTAACTAATTATTATAAATATATCAAGATAAATTTTTTTTTTCAATATATATATATATAATATATATATATATATAGAATACAATAGAATATATATATATATACATACAGTTGTTTGATCAGGTGAAAAATTTTTAACTTCATTGATAACATTTTCATTTGTTAATTCTAAACCAAACTGTCTGTTGTCTGCAATGTGTTGTTTCAATTTTTTCAGAATACATGGTTTGGCTAATTCAGAGCACGTGGATGTTATAATCGATCGGACTTCCGGGTCAGTCGTATCAACATTAGTATAGGGGATCAGATAGACATCCGGTCTACCATTTTTAGTACATTCGTATTCAAAATTATAATACTATTATTGTATATAAATAGATAAAAAAAAATTAATTAATTAATTAATAACATAAAATTATAATAATAATAATAATAATAAATATATATATAACCAAACATGTTATACATTAGGCGTGGTTCACATATTACGTTCATACTTGATGGGAGGGGGAGGGGGTTAGCCAAAGCGATCTTTTACAGGTTAGGGGAGGGGGTTAGCCAAAGCGATCTTTTGCGGGGGGAGCCGAGGGGTGGAGACTTTTAGAACGTTCGCATTTAGATAATATTTTATTTTTTGTGGTGGGGTGAGTGGGGGGGGGGGGTAGCGGTTATGGACATTCGAAAATAATTTTTTTTAAATGACTACAATAAACTAACAATTGCGAACATACAGGGGAAGGTGGGGTCTATAAATTTTTTTTAAAGTGCAAACGTAATATGTGAACAACCCCTTAGCATATAACCTCTAGTATATAACCACATTAGCAGTTGTTACACACTATGTATACAGTATATGATATATATATATATATCTATATATATATATTATATGTATTATACTGTATTAAACTTAAATGTTAGAAAATCTATCTAAAAATAATTTATCTAGTTGATTTTCATGATTTTTTTTGAACCCCCTATTTAATTATTTAAAATATAATAATAATAATAATAGAGTAATACATACGTTTACTAAATATTGTTTTAAAATTTTTGACTTTATATTTTGAATCGTATTTAATTTGCATTGATATAAGCCTTTTAGTTGACTATAAGTAACATTAGTAGGTATTAGACAACTATTTTGTTGTTGTTTAGTAGTTTCAATCAATTGATTTTCATCGTCAAAATCGGTGTCTAATTGTGGTTGTAGTGGATGTCGTGGTTGTAGTGGTTGTTGTGGTAGTGGTTGTTGTGGTAGTGGTTGTTGTTGTTGTTGAATACCAAATGCTTTTTCAGCGCATGACTAAATAAATTAAATTAATTTTTAAAAAAATTAAATATATAAATAAATTATTATAAAAAAATTGTTTAAAATTTTCTATAAATTATATATAATAGAATTGACAACTATATTGTATATACAGTATATATATATATATATATTAAATTTATAAATTAGAAAATAAATTTATCTAGTAGATTTTCTAATAAAGTTTAAATGTTTAAATAATTAATATATCAATAACAACTTATACATAAATACATACATACATAGATATATTAATATATTAATGTTATCTAATTATTATTATTATTATTATATTATTATTATTATTATTATTATAGACTTTTATTTATATATATATATATATATTAAACAATTAGCAATTAGTTTATAAACATATATATATATATATAACTATTACTTACATCTATTTCATTAAATGGAATATTTTTAAATTCTTCCATAGCATTAGCAAATTCTAAACCAAATTGTCTATTGTCTGCAGTGTATTGTTTAAATTTTTTCTCAATACACGATTTGGCTAATTTACTGCACGTGGATGTTATAAGCGATTTGACTTCCGGATCAGTTAAATCAACATTTGTATAGGCAGTCAGGTCAACATCAGATAAACCGTTTTTAGTACATTGGTATTCAAATGCATAATACTATTAGTATGAATAATATATAAATGTATTTAAAATAAAATAATAACAAAATTATTAGCAGTTAGCATATGATATATACAGTGTATGTATATATTATATATGATATATTTAAATGTACATATTAGAAAATAAATTTATTTAGTAGATTTTCTAGTAAAAAATTTTTGAATATATAATATATCAATAAAAAACACTATACTTTATATATAAATATTATATGAGATTATAACCCTTAACTAACGAATAGATTTTAATTATAATTATAATTAATTACAATATAATTACAATATAATTATAATTAATTACAAAATAATTATAATTAATTACAAAATAATTATAATTAATTACAATTATATATCTCTAATACTATTCTCTAGGTTTTAATGTTATAATAAGTTATAATTAGTTAAGCTATAATATACATACCAATGATAAATATTTATTTATGATTGGTGAATTTTTGTTTGAAATAATTTTTAATTTGCATTGATAAATATGTTTTAGTTGATTATAAGTAACATTAGTAGGTAGTGGACAACTATTTTGTTGTTTAGTAGTTTTAATCAATAGATTTTCATCATCAAAATCATTGTCAAGTTGTTGTTTTGGTTTTGGTTGTAGTGGTTGTTGTTGAATACCTAATGCTTTTACTATACATAACTACAGTATAAATTAAAAAAAAATTATATAAAAAATTAAATATATAAATCAATTATTATATAATTTTATTTAGAAAATTAGTGTTAAAAAATTTTCTAAAAAAAATTTATATATTTTATAATTTTTGTTAAATAATTTTTTTTATTATTATTATTATTATAGACTTTTATTTTTATATTAATTAAAACAATTAGCAATTAGTTTATTAAACATATATATATAAATATAAACAATTTACTTACACTTGTTTCAACCAATGGAATATTTTTCAATTCGTCGATAGCATTAGCAAATTCTAAACCAAACTGTCTATTGTCTGCAATGTATTGTTTTAATTTAGTCTGAATACACGGTTTGCTTAATTTAGTGCACGTGGATGTTATAAGCGATTTGACTTCCGGATCAGTTAAATCAACATTTGTATAGGCAGTCAGGTCGACATCAGATAAACCGTTTTTAGTACATTGGTATTCAAATGCATAATACTATTTGTGATAATAATATATAAATGTATTTTTTTAAAAAAAACAATAAAATAATAAATAACCGAAAATTAATATTAATAATAAATATATCCAAAAAACCTTCAGTGAACATACATTATTAGTAGCAGTTAGCATATAATATATATACTTTATATACACTGTATATATATATATATATATATAAATATATGATATATTAAAATTACATATTAGAAAATAGTAGATTTTCTAAAAAAAATTTATGATCTTTTAATATATAATATTTCAATAAAAACACTATACTTATACATTATACCTATACATTATATTATATATATATGAGATTATAACACTCAACTATACTAACGAATATATAATAATAATAATAATATTTATAATAATAATAATAATAATAATAATAATAATATACATACTATTGAATAATATTGATTTATTATTTTTGAATTTTTGTTTGAAATCAATTTTAATTTGCATTGATAAAGCTGTTTTAGTTGATTATAAGTAACATTAGTAGGCATTAGACAACTATTTTGTTGTTGTTTAGTAGTTTCAATCAATTGATTTTTATCATCAATATTGGTGTCCAATTGTGGTTGTAGTGGTTGTTGATAACTTAATGCTTTTAGTAGGCATGACTACATTATAAATTGAAATAATTAATATATATATATATATGAATAGATATATATGAATAGATATATATGAATATATATGAATATATATATATATGAATATGTATATATATGAATATGTATATATATGAATATGTATATATATGAATATGAATATATATATATATATATATATATATATGAACATACTTATGAATATCTATATGAATATATATATGAATAGATATAATAATATATATATATATTAATATTATTGTTTAATTAATTGTTATTATTATACATATTTCTAAATTTTTAACTATTGCTAACATATATATATATATACATACATTTGTTTCATCAAATGAATAATTTTTAGTTTCGTTGATAAACTTTTCATTTGCTAATTCTAAACCAAACTGTCTATTGTCTGCAATATATTGTTGCAATTTTTGCTGAACACACGGTTTAAATAATTCAGAGCACGTGGATGTTATAACCGATCGGACTTCCGGATCCAGCAAATTAACATTTGTATAGGCAGTCAGGTCGACATCGGGTAAACCGTTTTTAGTACATTCGTATTCAAATTTATAAAACTATTATTGTAAATATATATATATAAAAATTAATTAATTAATTAATAATAATAATAATAATAAATATCCACAAAAAAACATATTTAATACGTTAGCTATGCTATATGCATACGTTACACAATATAAACTATTATATTCAAAAATTATCTAGTTGATTTTTATAATTTTAAAATTACCCCCTGTAAAAAAAATATTTTTTTTAAATATATCAATAACAACATTATCTCCTATTATACTATTCTCAATATATTTATACCAAAAACAAAATAACTATTATTAGATAAAATTTGATGACAAAAATTAGTAATAAAAAACAAACAAAAAACAAAAAAAAACATCCAATTATTTTATATGAGATACTAACAAAATCCTATAGATTTGTATTGAAATTTCTCTATATATATATTATTTATCTTATTATAATACTGTATATATACATACTATTAATAAATATTCATTTAATTTTCGTGAATTTTTGTTTGAAATCATTTTCAGTTTGCATTGATATAGTTGTTTAAGTTGATTATAGGTAACATTAGTAGGTATTGGACAACTATTTTCCGATTGATTTTTTCCGGTTTCATCCGAATCGTCCAAATTGTTGGCCACATGTTGTGGTTGTAGTGGTTGTTGATAACTTAATGCTTTTAGTAGGCATGACTACAGTATAAATTGAAATAATTAATATATATATATATATATATGTTAGCAATAGTTAAAAATTTAGAAATATGTATAATAACAACAATTAATTAAACAATAATATTAATATATATATATTATTATATCTATTCATATATATATTCATATATATATATATTCATATATATATATATTCATATATATATATATATTCATAAGTATGTTCATATATATATATATTCATATATATACATATTCATATATATACATATTCATATATATATATGAATATATATATATGAATATATATATATATGAATATGTATATATATGAATAGATATAATAATATATATATATATATTAATATTATTGTTTAATTAATTGTTATTATTATACATATTTCTAAATTTTTAACTATTGCTAACATATATATATATATACATACATTTGTTTCATCAAATGAATAATTTTTAGTTTCGTTGATAAACTTTTCATTTGATAATTCTAAACCAAACTGTCTATTGTCTGCAATATATTGTTGCAATTTTTGCTGAACACACGGTTTAAATAATTGAGAGCACGTGGATGTTATAACCGATCGGACTTCCGGATCCAGCAAATTAACATTTGTATAGGCAGTCAGGTCGACATCGGGTAAACCGTTTTTAGTACATTCGTATTCAAATTTATAAAACTATTATTGTAAATTTATATATATAAAAATTAATTAATTAATTAATAATAATAATAATAAATATCCACAAAAAAAACATATTTAATACGTTAGCTATGTTATATGCACACGTTACACAATATAAACTATTATATTCAAATCTAAAAAAAATTATCTAGTTGATTTTTATAATTTTAAAATTAACCCCTGTAAAAAAAATATTTTTTTTTTTTAATATATCAATAACAACATTATCTCCTATTATACTATTCTCAATATATATATACCAAAAACAAAATAACTATTATTAGATAAAATTTGATGACAAAAATTAGTAATAAAAAACAAACAAAAAACATCCAATTATTTTATATGAGATACTAACAAAATCCTATAGATTTGTATTGAAATTTCTCTATATATTATTTATCTTATTATATAATACTGTATATATACATACTATTAATAAATATTCATTTAATTTTTGTGAATTTTTGTTTGAAATCATTTTCAGTTTGCATTGATATAGTTGTTTAAGTTGATTATAGGTAACATTAGTAGGTATTGGACAACTATTTTCCGATTGATTTTTTCCGGTTTCATCCGAATCGTCCAAATTGTTGGCCACTTGTTGTTGTGGTTGTCGTTGTTGTTGTTGTATTAGTAGCTGTTGTTGTTGTAGTAGTAGCTGTTGGTGTAGTAGTAATAGTTGGTGTTGTTGTTGAAGTAGTAGTTGTTGTTGTTTTTGTCGTTGTTGTTGTTGTTGGCGTTGTTGTTGTTTAGTCCATACCTTTTCTCCGCATGCCTAAATAGATACATGGTAAATTTTATTTTATTTTTTTAAAAATAAATGTTTTTATTATATATATATATCAATAAATATATAAAACAAATTAATAATAGATTTAACACATACACACAACAATAATTTATTTTTGAAATTAATAAATTAACCTAATCTTGTTAAAAATTAAAAAATTGTTTTTTTTAATTCAATTAAAATCTAATAATTAATTAATTAATATATATATATATTATTAATATATAACTAGACTATATAAACACACTATTTGATGATATTTTTTATAATTATATACTAAATAAACTGTATGTACACACACACACACACACACACACACACACACACACACATACTCAGATACAAACACATATACACACAATTACACACACATACACACACATACACACACATACACACACACATACACACACATACACACACATACACACACATACACACACATACACACACATACACACACATACACACACATACACACACATACACACACATACACACACATACACACACATACACACACATACACACACATACACACACATACACACACATACACACACATACACACACATACACACACATACACACACATACACACACATACACACACATACACACACATACACACACATACACACACATACACACACATACACACACATACACACACATACACACACATACACACACATACACACACATACACACACATACACACACATACACACACATACACACACATACACACACATACACACACATACACACACATACACACACACACACACACACACACAATTACACAGACATACACACACACACACAATTACACAGACATACACACACACACACAATTACACAGACATACACACACACACACAATTACACAGACATACACACACACACACACAATTACACACACATATACACACATATACACACATTAATAGATACTGTATATACACTATAGTAGTATTACTTATATAAATGATTACTTACCAAATATTTACTGTAAGCTATACTATCATTAATACCGTTTTGAAATTTAATGGCAATCTTTCTGTTATTCAATGAAAATGTTTTAGTCATATCTTGGACACACTTTTCAAACGTTGGCGAACACAGGGGTACTAAAAACGATAGGGTATCCAGGCTAGTTATGTTCACAACATTTGAATACCGAGTCAATGTTGACTGTCCCATATCGCCAGCGCTCGATAGACTACATTCAGTTAATACTTGATTTAACTAAATAAAAAAAATTGATTTTTAATTTTTAATTAGTTAGTGTAAATTAATTTATAAATATAATAATATATATATATTAAAATTTATAAATATAATAATATATAATTTAAAATTTATAAATATAATGATATATAATTTAAAATTTATAAATATAATAATAATAATGTAATTCGAAGTTATCCGAAAAACATATTATTATTATTATTATAATAATTTGATAATTTACTAAAATTTTTTAATATATATATATTTATCATTTATTTAATTTAATTAGTCTAATAAAATATAAATTATATATATATATAGTATATTAATAGTAATCACAACAATCAACTAAATTGATTGATTGATTAAACAAATTTTATCAAGTATATAATGTTTAGTAAAATTTTTTATATATGCTTAATTAATTTAATTATTCAAAATTATTTTTTTTTTAATTTCTATATTATTATTATTTTCATCAAAAATATTGATTTAAAAAAACATATGATGTTATAATATACTTACAAATTTGAAAAATTTTTTAGTTGTTGGATTAGTTTCAAGTTTTAAAAATCGTTTACATTTAGTATATTTTTTGATTAGACTGTTATCAATATTTTCAGGTTTTGGACAATTATTTATAGATTTTATAGTTTTCTTTTCAATTTTAGTTTCAAGTGGTTGTTGTTGTTGTTGTTGTTGTTGTTGTTGTTGTTGTTGTTGGTGTTGTAATAAAACTTTTTGTTGACATTCCTATAGTATTTAAGATTATATTTGTTAATTGTATAGATATTTGTAGATATATAAAAAAAAATAATGTAATACAAACACACTGTAGTAATGATTAATTTAAAAATATAATGTACTGTAGTAGTAGTAGTAGTAATAATAATAATAATAATAGTTTTAGTAGTAGTAGTAGTAGTAGTAGTAGTAATAGTTTTAGTAGTAGTAGTAGTAGTAGTAGTAATAATAATAATAATAATAGTTTTAGTAGTAATAGTAGTAGTAGTAGTAATAGTTTTAGTAGTAGTAGTAGTAGTAGTAGTAGTAATAGTTTTAGTAGTAGTAGTAGTAGTAGTAGTAGTAATAGTAGTAATAGTAGTAGTAGTAGTAGTAGTAGTAATAGTTTTAGTGGTAGTAGTAGTAGTAGTAATAGTAGTAGTAGTAGTAGTAATGATAATAGTTTTAGTAGTAGTAGTAATACTTACATTAATTTCATTTAATGGATATTGTTTGCCAATACCGTCGGGATATTCACTTTCAATCGTTTCAACTAACGATTTGTTTGACGATAAATATGTTTGAATTTTTTGTGCTAAACAGGGCTGATATGTTTGCGAGCACTGGCCTACTATGACTGCCCTAACATCTAAATCATTTGTATCGACATTGGTATAGGTGCTCAAATCGACATCAGGTGCACCATTTTTTGTACATTCCATAATAGATTGAAGTACCTATAATGATTTTTTTTAAAAAAATAAAATAAAATTAATTAAATAATAATTATAATAATATATTTATATATATATATATAAAAAAAATTATATTAACAAAAGTTTGTTGATAATTATTAAATTATTAATTAAATAATTATTTTTAAGCAAAAAATTATTATAAATTAAATAATAAATTATTATATAAGTAAATTAAATTAAATTAAATTAAATTAAATTAAATTAAATTAAATTAAATTAAATTAAATTAAATTAAATTAAATTAAATTAAATTAAATTAAATTAAATTAAATTAAATTAAATTAAATTAAATTAAATTAAATTAAATTAAATTAAATTAAATTAAATTAAATTAAATTAAATTAAATTAAATTAAATTAAATTAAATTAAATTAAATTAAATTAAATTAAATTAAATTAAATTAAATTAAATTAAATTAAATTAAATTAAATTAATTAATTAATTAATTTTATATTCTGTATATAATATCTAGTCTCTACTGTATGATTAAAACTTATCATTTTTTTTTTGGTGTATAAAAACACAAACAAATTCTAATAATGTTATTGAGAAAAAACAAAAATTATTTTATATATATAATCTGTTATTTTAAACTCAATCAAACTTAAAACTTATAATTTAATTATTAAAATTTATATATATATATATATATATAATATTAAATACATATACATACTAATAGATAATATTGATTTAACGATGGTGAATTATCTTGTTTAAATACTTTCAATGTACATGAAGTAAATTGGCTAATAAGTTTAGTATTAACATTAGGATTTAGTGGACAATTATTATTATTATTTTTTTGTATTATATTTTCATTGTCTAAATTGTTATCCTCTTGTTGTTGTTGTTGTTGTTGTTGTTGTCGCTGTCGTTGTTGTTGTTGTTTAGTTAATATTTTTTTCCCGCAAGCCTAAAATTGAGACATGGTAAATTTTTAAAATAAATAAATAAATAATTGTTTTTATCATGTATATACATATATAAATCATATATAAATAGATTTAGCACATTCAATCAACAACAATAATTTATTTATTTTTTTAAATTAATAAGTATTTTATTTAATTAATTATTTAATTAACTAAATCTTGTTAAAAATTATAATTAAAATTTTAAAAAAACTAATAAACTAAAAAATTTTATAATCTATCAATTAATTAATAAAGAAATATATAATTAAATATATTATATAACTATACTAAACAATTTGACGATATTTTATAATTATATGTTAAATAAACTTTATATACTTTATTGTATATATCATACACATACACATACACATACACATACACATACACATACACATACACATACACATACACATACACATACACATACACATACACATACACATACACATACACATACACATACACATACACATACACATACACATACACATACACATACACATACACATACACATACACATACACATACACATACACATACACATACACATACACATACACATACACATACACATACACATACACATACACATACACATACACATACACATACACATACACATACACATACACATACACATACACATACACATACACATACAATAATACTATAACTACTATATCATATTTAAATGATTACTAACCATAAATTTACTGAACGCTAAATTCTTATAAATTCCACCAGGATTTTCATTACGAAAATCAATTGTAAGCTGTCTGTTAGTCAATAATAATGTATTAATCGTATTTTTCAGACACTTTTCAAACGTTGGCGAACAATGGCTAACTATAATCGATAGGGCATCCAGGTTAGTTATGTCCATTACGTTTGAATAGGCCAGCAATGATGGTTGTCCCATATCGCCAGCACTCGATAGACTACAATCACTTAAAGCTTTAAGCATCTAAAAATATTTTTTTAGCATTTAAATAATTAGTTAGTTATATAAATTTATAAATATAAATATATATATAACTAAAGTTAATTATTTAATAAAATAATAATAATTATTATTATTATTATTATTATTATATATATAATTTTAAATTTTAATTGGTCACTAACTAAATTGATTCATTCAATAAATTTTATATTTAATTATGTTTAGTAAAAAACAATCTACTAAATGCTTATTAATTTAATTATTCAAATAGTTTTATTTTTAAATTTTGTATATTATTATTATTATTATCAAAAATAATGTTATTTTTTTTAAAAAAAAACATATGATTTTATAAAATACTTACTAATTTAAAAATTTGTTTATTTAGTGGATCAGTTTCTTGTTGTAAAATTCGTTTACATTTACTAAACTGTTTGATTGCACTGTTATCAATATATTCAGGTTTTGGACAATTATTTTTAGATTTTTTAGTTTTCTTTTTAATTTTAGTTTTAAGTGATGGTTGTTGTTGTTGTTGTTGTTGTTGTTGTTGTTGTTGTAGTAGTTGTGTTAAAACTTGTTGATTGCATTCCTATAATATTAATAAATATATCGTATAATATAAAAGTATATATATATATATTTAATTTGTGTTTAATATTATATACATATTATATCAGTAAATATTGGACACAAATATGTCTTGTTTGGTTATAATATAGTTATGTCTACTAATATGTAGATATATAGTGGTAGTAGTAGTAGTAGTAGTAGTAGTAGTAGTAGTAGTAGTAGTAGTAGTATTAGTATTAGTATTAGTATTAGTATTAGTATTAGTATTAGTATTAGTATTAGTATTAGTATTAGTATTAGTATTAGTATTAGTATTAGTATTAGTATTAGTATTAGTATTAGTATTAGTATTAGTATTAGTATTAGTATTAGTATTAGTATTAGTATTAGTATTAGTATTAGTATTAGTATTAGTATTAGTATTAGTATTAGTATTAGTATTAGTATTAGTATTAGTATTAGTATTAGTATTAGTATTAGTATTAGTATTAGTATTAGTATTAGTATTAGTATTAGTATTAGTATTAGTATTAGTATTAATAATAGTAATAGTATTAGTAATAGTATTAGTAGTATTAGTATTAGTAGTAGTAGTAGTAGTAGTAGTAGTAGTAGTAGTAGTAGTAGTAATAATAATAATACTTACATTAATTTTATTTATTGGATATTCTTTGTCAATACCGTTGGGATATTCAATTGAAATCGTTTTGATTAACGATTTGTTTGACGATATAAATGATTGAAGTTTTTCAGCTAAACAGGGTTTAAATGTTTGCGAGCACTGGCCTACTATGATTGCCCTAACTTCCAAATCATTTGTATCGACATTGGTATAGGTGCTCAAATCGACATCAGGTGCACCATTTTTTGTACATTCAATCATCGATTGAAGTAACTATAATGTGTTTTTTTTATAAAAAAAAAATTAATTAAATAAATAAATAATAATTATTAATTACTTAATTATATTAACAAAAATAATATATAATTATTATTATAAAGTTTAAAGTATATTAATAAATATTTTAAACAAAATTATTATTTTTTAAATTGTTTGTTTTTTTTGTTGACTAAAATATATTATAATATTATCATATATATAACATTAAATATATATATATATATATATAAGGAGTCAGTCAATTAATGTTGCGTCGCGTAAAACTTGAATAACTTTTGAACGGTTAGAGATAATTTATTCTGTAAAATACATTTAAGAATATCATATCGGCCACACTTAATATACACGCAATCACAAAACTAGGATGACCAGATATACAAAATATCGATACCAACGCAAGACACTATGCTCCAGGCAAAACTACAACTGACAAATTTATTTTGACAATGAAATTTTGTAGTCAAGAAATAATAGTTTAATATAAATAAAGAATAATTAAAATCGGATTGGTAGTTTAATTTTTATAGTTTGTTAAGTTTGTCATAAATCTTATTATATAAAATAATCTAAAATAAAAATGACGTAATTTATGACTTGTATATATTTATTAAAATATATTTTTTAATTATATTACTAATTCTGAAAACAAAATTTCAATATGTCGATTAGTTTTTGAAATAATCGAATTACAATATAAATCACACTATTGTAATTTGATATTATAATTTTTATTGAAATTCAATTATTTCGAAAACAAATCGACAAATTTTTAGAATTAGTAATATATTTGAAATGTTTATCTAATAATCATATACAAGTCATAATTAACGTCATTTTTATATTAGACTATTTTATATAATATGATTTATGACAAACTTAATAAACCATAAAAGTAAAACTATCAATCCGATTTTGAAGATTCTTTTTTATATTAAAGTATTATTTCTTGACTACAAAATTTCATTGTCAAAATAAATTTGTCAGTTGTAGTTTTGCTTGGAGCAAAGTGTCCTGCGTTGGTCACGATATTTTGTATATCTGGTCATCCTAGTTTTGTGATTGCGTGTATATTAAGTGTGGTCGATATGATATTCTTAAATGTAATTTACAGAATTAAATTATCTCTAACCGTTCAAAAGTTATACAAGTTTTACGCGACGCAAGATTAATTGACTGCCTATTTATATATATATATATATATACATACCACTAGATAATATTGATTTAACGTTGGTGAATTATCTGGGCTTAACAGTTTCAATGAACATGAAGCTAATTGTTTAATAACATTAGTATCAATATTAGGATTTAGTTGACAATTATTATTATTATTTTCTTGTATTATATTTTCATTGTGTGGTTGTTGTGGTTGTTGTGGTTGTTGTGGTTGTTGTGGTTGTTGTGGTTGTTGTGGTTGTTGTGTAATACCCAATGCCTTATACATACACGCCTATAAATAAATTTAAATATTTATATAATTGTAAATTACTGTTATTAATAATAATTTAACTAGTTAAATAAGTTTTTAAAAAATGTTTAATTAAGTTTTTTTTGTGTAAAGTAAAATAAATATAAAATTATTATTAAACTTAACATCATTGTATATATATATATACTATTGATATAAAAATTATAGTAATTTTTGAATATACTGTATTATATTATTTTTTATGAATATTTTATAATCTATTGATATTGAAAATTTATAGCTTACTATAAATCATTTAAATATATATATATACATACACATACATACACACACATACATACATACACATACATACATACACACACATACACACACATACACACACATACACACACATACACACACATACACACACATACACACACATACACACACATACACACACATACACACACATACACACACATACACACACATACACACACATACACACACATACACACACATACACACACATACACACACATACACACACATACACACACATACACACACATACACACACATACACACACATACACACACATACACACACATACACACACATACACACACATACACACACATACACACACATACACACACATACACACACATACACACACATACACACACACATACACACACACATACACACACATACACACACATACACACACATACACACACATACACACACATACACACACATACACACACATACACACACATACACACACATACACACACATACACACACATACACACACATACACACACATACACACACATACACACACATACACACACATACACACACATACACACACATACACACACATACACACACATACACACACATACACACACATACACACACATACACACACATACACACACATACACACACACATACACACACACATACACACACACACACACAAAAATAAATATATTATTAAAAAATACTTACATTAATTTCATCCTCTGGATAATTGGGAATTTTTCCGCTGGGATATTGTTTATAAACATCAATTGCAAACTGTTTGTTATCAGCTAAATATGATTTTAGTTTATTTAGTACACAGGACTCGTAGGTCGGGGAACAGCTACCAATTATAACCGATTTAACATCCGAATCGCTAACATTGGCATTAGTATATAAGTCCAACTGTACATCATCGGCACCATTAACTGTACATTCGTGATCAAAATGTTGCATCTATTATAATCACATATAGATAATAAATATATTATTAATAAAAATAAATTAAAAATAACAAATAAAAAATTATTTTAGTTAATTATTGTATAATTCTATTATAACTATATATATATATATATTTATTTTGTTGTAACAGTTTATTAACACATTTTTTTTACTAAAAATATAATTTAATTCTATTGTTATTAGAAATTATTATTATTATTATTATTATAAAAAAACTATTTAAATCTAAAACTAGAAATAAAAAAAATCTATAGTTTATTAAAATTAAACTCAGTTATTATAATTTTCATTAAATGTGTTTCAAAAAAAAAAATTAAATTAATAAATTTGTTTGTTTAGTTGTATATATAATGCTAGTACAGTACTAATAATATTTAATGGTATAATAATAATAATTATAATAATAATAAATATTAATACATACTTTTACATAAAATTGGTTTAAAATTAATGTATTTGATTTTGAAAACACTTTATATCTGCATTTACTATAATCTTTTAATACTTTAGTATTAAAATTACTAGGATTTTGACATAATAAATGTTGTTGTTGTTGTTGTTGTTGTTGTATATTAATGCCCAATGCCTTTAAACTACATTCCTGTAAATATATATATAAATAAATAATTATAAAATAAAATATATTGTATTTAAAAAATTATTTACCAAAAAAAAATAATTGATTAAAAAACCCTTATATTATATATATATACAGTATATAAGTATATTATAAATTTTAATACAATTTTAATCACACTTTCATACATACATACATACATGCATATATATATATATATATATGTATTAAAATTTAAACATGGTTAAATTTGAAAGTTTCTAGGAAAATTTCTCATTGAATAAATTTCTATTTGTTATACTATTAGGATATATTAATAATATAATAAATGCGATTGTATGAAAAAAAATAACATGGGATAGAATTTTTTTTTTAATAAAGAAACTTTCTAGAAACTTTCCCATTATTGCCAACACACTAATTATATAATAATTATAATAAAAATTATTTTAATTATTATTATTAAAAAAAAATATTTACATTAATTTCATTTCTTGGAAAATCGGGAACTTTTCCTCCGGGATATTGTCTATAAAATTCTTGAGTAAACTCGTTGTCATTACTAATAAATGATTTTAGTTTATTTAGTACACAGGATGGGTAGGTCGGCGAACAGGTACTAATTATAACCGATTTAACATCCGAATCGTTAACATTGGCATTAGTATATAAGTCCAACTGTACATCATCGGCACCATTAACTGTACATTCATGATCAAATTGTTGCATCTATTATAATCACATATAGATAATAATAAATATATTATTAATAAAAAAAAACTTAAAAATAACAAATAAAAATTAATTAATAAAAATTATTTATTTTTTTGGTTAATTATTGTATAATTCTATTATAACTATATATTTATTTTTATTAACACTCACTATATATCTGATTATATATATATATAGATCTATTTATTACTAAAAATATAATTTAATTCAATTAAATAATAGATATAAAAAATATAATTAATAATTAAAAAAAAATATTTTTGTTTGTTAATTATTGTATAATTCTATAATATTTATTGATTTGTTTATTTTGTTTTAATTGTTTTAGCAATTATATGATATGTTTTTTTAAATAAAATTAAATTAAAACTATATTTCTAATTCATAATTAGTAACAGTTATAATAAATAAATTTCTAATTATTAAATGTTATTTTATTATATTATTTGTTTTTTTAAATTATTGCTAAATTTTTATAAAAGTATTGCTTATTATATAATATAAGTTTTTAAAAAAATATATATTAAACTATTGTATATTTCTTATAAACAAAAATCTATTTCTATATTTACTTAAAAAAAATAATTAATTCAATTAATATTAATAGATATTAATATTATATATTATTATTAGAATAGAAATTATTTAAATCAAAAAAAAATTATTACTATTTAACTTAAATAAACTATTAATTATTATATACTGTATATATATAAATAATTTCAAGTAAATAATTTTGTTTTTGATTAGTTTTTTTTATAAAAAAATTCTAGTACTTCTAGTAAATAAATAAATTAATTAATAATTATTAAAAATAATACATACTTTTACATAATATTGTGTTAAAATTTCTGAATTTGATTTTGAAAATATAATAAATTTGCATTTATTATACTCTTTAAGTGCATTGGTATCAAAATTACTAGGATTTTGACAAATAGGATGTTGTTGTTGTTGTTGTTGATTGTTAACATTGCTAACCAATTGTTGTTGTATTTTAATACCCAGTACCTTTTTTTCGCATGTCTATATTAATAATAAAAAATTTAAAAATTAAAACAAAATAATTGTTATTAATATTATTAGTAGCAACAAAAAGCAATCAATATTTAATACCAATTATTAATAATTATTATATTATACTTAACATCATAACTGTGTGTTTATTATGTGTGTATAATATTTAAATAAATAAAAAAAATTAATTAAATTAATTGTATTAATTGTTGCTATCACTTATTTTTTAAAAAATTAATTAAAAAAATAAGAATATTAAACTAAAATTGTTTCTATATATTACATATTCTATACTATATTTTAAGTTTTTTTTATTAATATAAAAAATTTTGGCTTAAATAACACACACACATACACAATAAACACACATTTTTCAATAAAAATTCAAATTAATATTTGCATAAAAAAATAAAATATTAAAATTTATGAAAAATATTAGTAGTAGTAGTAGTATTAGAGTAGTAGTAATAATAGTAGTAATATTAGTGGTAGTAATAGTAGTAGTAGTAATAGTATTAGTAGTAGTAGTAGTAGTAAAGTATTAGTAATAATAGTAGTAATATTAGTGGTAGTAGTAGTAGTAGTAGTAGTAGTAGTAGTAGTAGTAATAGTATTAGTATTAGTAGTAGTAGTATTATTAGTGGTAGTAGTAGTAGTAGTAGTAGTAGTAGTAGTAGTAGTAGTAATAGTATTAGTATTAGTAGTAGTAGTATTATTAGTGGTAGTAGTAGTAGTAGTAGTAGTAGTAGTAGTAGTAGTAATAGTATTAGTATTAGTAGTAGTAGTATTATTAGTGGTAGTAGTAGTATAGCACAGTTACCTGTAGTTCATCCCATGGTAACGATTTAAATTCATCTTGCTCATTAGCGCTATAAAATTTGATAGCTAAATCCAAATCGTTATCAATAACTTGTTTAAACTGTTTGGTTTGACATTGTTTATAGGATTCCGAGCACAGGCTTATTATCGACTCCCGGATATCCCGATTATCCAGATCTACCCGATCGGCATTGTATAGGCCTAGTATGCTATCGGCATCCGGAGCACTATCAGTACAATTATAGTTAAGTTGTCTCCACTAGTAGTACAACAATATAACCGGGATTTTGATGGGAATAATAGAGAGAGTGATAAAAAATAGATATTAAAAATTAATCAATTAATTAATTATGAAAAAAATATATATATATAAAAAATTTTAGTATCAAAATAAATATATAAAAAAAATTTAGTATCAAAATAAATGTATCAAAATTAGTATCAAAATTAATATATAAAAAAATTTTAGTATCAAAATAAATATATAAAAATTTATATAAAAATAAATGTATAAAAATTTATATAAAAATAAATGTATAAAAATTTATATCTAAATAAATATATATATGATTAAGATTAGTTTCTATTAATTCTAATAGAGATAATATTTATTTTTTTTGGGGAGGGGGGGAGTGGGGTGTGTGGGACAGGCAAATATTACCCATCCTATCACTCACCCCCTCCTCAAAAAAAAAACTATGTTCACCTATTTTGATACTCAACAAATTATTAATTATATATATATAAAAATATTTTTTAAAATTACTTTTTCTAAATATTGTTTAATAATTGTCGATTCAACTTGGTCATCGATTAGATTTTCACATTTTTTATATTTTAACAATATTTTAGTTGTAATTTTTTCCGGTTTTTCACATATTATTTGTTTTTTCAGTTCAATATGTTTATCAGCTAATTGTTCCTCCGGTGATTTTTCTTTAACAATACCCAGTACATTTTTTTCACAATCCTAGTTTTATATAAAAAAAATTAAAAATATTAAATACAAAATAAATAATTTTAAAATAATTTTATTGCTCTTTAAATTGTTTGTTTGTATTTCGATTTCAATTATTTTATTTTTTTTGATAAATTATTTAATCATTAATTAAATTAAAAAAAAAATTTTTTTTGATATTAGACTATATACTACTGTATATAATTTAGTATATATTTAAAAATATTTAAATTAACAATAAACTAAAAATAACTTAAGTAACAAAAATATTATTAATTATATATTAATTTTTTAATTTTTTTTATATATTAATTAACTAAACCTAATAAAACATATAAAAAACAAATAAAGCAAATTAATAAACTAATAAAACAAATAAAAAAAACTAATATAAAACAAATAAAATACTAAATAAAAATTTAAAAAAAACTAATAAATACTATATTTTTAAACTTTATAAACTTATTTTTATACATATATCTCCTAAAACACCCACACAAACACCTACACAAACACACACACACACTTTAACACATACACTCACACACACCCACCCACCTAAACAAACAAACACAAAAAACAAAAATATTAAATTTTTTAATAAAAATACTAAAAAAAACTAAAAAAATCAAAAAAAAACCACTTACTAGTATTTCATTTAATTCAAAGATATTAAATTTGCCCTGGGCAATTTCCTTGGAAAAATCAGTGGCAAATTGTTTGTTGTCCTCTAAATAGGTTTTGAAATTTTTCACAACACACTCGCCATAGAATCGGGAACATTGGCTGACAATAACCGACTTGACATCCCTGTCCTCCGGATTCAGTTTTGTATATAAGGTTAGATCGACATCAGGTGCACCCGATTCAGTACAATCGTAATCAAAATCACTCATCTATTTAATAGATATGATATTATATAATGATATTACAGTATATAATATAATGATATTATTATATTATATAATGATATTATTATATTATTATATTATTATAATATTATTAGAATATTATTAGAATATTATTAGAATATTATTAGAATATTATTAGAATATTATTAGAATATTATTAAAATATTATTATTTATTAGCTTATAATTAGTAATAATATATATTTTAAAAAAATCAATTTTAAATACCTTTTTAAAATAATTTCTAAAAACTTCTGATTTTTGTTTCAAACTAAATATTTCCACACATTTACGCAATTTTTGTACAACAGTTTGATTAAGTTTTCCCGGATTTTTACAAATGATTTGTGTTTTTTGTAAATTGTGTTCAATTTTAAATTGTTGATCCGATTTTTCTGCTTGCTCCAATTGTTGTTCAATTAGTTTAGTTTGTTGACCCAATTGTTTTGATTGTTCAACCAATTGATCATATTGTTGTTTTTCAACTTGTTTAGCGTCCAATACTTTATTTTCGCAACGCTATATATATATATTAATATATAAATTAATTAAAATTATTTTTTTAAATAAAAAAATGTCCTAGCTCTAAAATGTATCAGGTTATGTTAGTTTTGAATTATTATTAATTTTTTTATGTAAACTTATATTATAGGTTTTGAGTAGCTTTTTAACTTAGATTTAAGTTAATTTATCATAGATTTAGAAATTATATTAGATTTACATTTTAAGTTTAGGTTAGTTTTTTTTAGGTAAGTTTTTAAGTTAAGTTTATGAATTTTTTTTAGATATTTTTTTTGGGGTTTTATAAAATAGATTTAGATTAGATAAGTTTAGGTTAGGTTTAAACCTAATGTAATAGATTAAAAGTTATTGTTTAGTTATTAGTTTAAAGTTTATTAGCTTTTTAAAAATAACTCTATAGGTTGAGCTTAGGTTAGCTTTTTAGTAAGTTTATTAAAAAAAATAAAAATATTTGGTAAGTTTAGATTAAATAAGTTTAGGATAACTTAGGTTAGATTATATAAGGAATCTTAGGTTAACTTAGGTATAGATTAGAGGTTTAGGTTAGGTTAGGATGTGGGGTTATATAAATTTATGGGAGGGTTAGATAAGTTTATGGGGGGTTAGATAAGTTTATGGGGGGTTATGATAAGTTTATGGGGGGGGGGTTAGATAAGTAAGTTTATGGGGGGGTTAGATAAGTTTATGGGGGGTTAGATAAGTTTATGGGGGGGGGGTTAGATAAGTAAGTTTATGGGGGGTAAGATAAGTTTATAGGGGGTATGTTTAGCCTAGGTAATCTTAGGTTGCTTGTTTGTTTGCTTAGGGATTAAATAGATTATAAGCTTATATAATATATTAGTGTTTTAATTAAAAAATCATAAAAAAATAAATAAATAATTTTTAAACAAGCACACTTACTAGTACATCATACCAAATTTTAACCCTATTAGATTCATCCTGATTATCCCATTGTAATAAATCTGATTCTAATTTTTCATTTTCAGCCAATAGTTTTTCAACTTTCCGATTAACACAACGGGTAAATGTTGGGCAACAATAGTCCAAAATGGCTAACTTAACATCCGGGTCATCGGTGTCGACAATATTTGAATAGTTTGCCAATAGTTTAACACTTTTACTACTAATACTACATTCCGATTCAAATTGTATTTTCTAATTAAAAAAAATAATTATTAAAAAAAATATTAGATTCTTAATCAAAAACGTTATATATTTAGTTAAAAAAAATTTTTTTAAATTATATAAAAATTAAAATATACATTACCTTATCATTGTATAGTTTAAAATTTTCAATTGATTTATAGTTTGAATTAACTAATTGTTTGCATTGTCTTAACTGTTTAACCAATTCATTGTCAATGATTGTCTTATTTGATAAACAAATTGCTTGTTTGATACGCAAGTTATGCGAATCAAACAAATTGTTTTCCAATTGTTTTTGTTGGTTAGGGTTAGGTAGTTGTGGGTTAGGGTCAGGATTAGGTTGTAATTGATTACTACTATTAGTATTATTAGTATCATTACTATTACTAGTAGTAGTAGTAATACTATTACTAATAGCTAGTAGTAGTTGTAATAAAAATAATATATTACAACTAGGTAACATTATTAATTTATTATCTAGTTAATATTATTAGAAATTGGTACTATATCAATTTTATTTTAATAACAATTTACACTATATATATAAAAAATAATCACTAAATCTACTTTTAACATACAAGTAATTACTTTAATAAAAACTGATTTTTTTTATAATTAACACATCAACAAAAAATCCAGTAAAATGGTTACTAATTTAATTAAAATAAAAAAAATTATGATTCACTTATTAAAAAAAATATGTTATTTTTTAATAATTATTTTCCATTTTATTTTATTTTTTTCTGGTTTTTTTTAATTTAATTTTAATTTCTATTTTTAATAATTTCCGTATTTTATATTATATTACAGGAAATGTAAATGTAATGATCTGGTAATGCTATCTACTAGTCATTATTTGCAAAATAAAAAAAGAAAATACTAGATATAATAGAAATTTTACTTTTTTTAAAATTATTATTTTATTTTTGATTTTAATATTATTAGCGTTCGGACTAAACTTTCAAATAGAGAAAGAAAGAAATTTCCGAATAAATTCATTTCAAAATTTTCTGGAAATTTAGGAAAATATAATTAATTTTCATTCCTTTAATAGTTAAAAAAATAAAGTAAAATATACTTTATATTTATACAAATAAATATTACTCAAAATAAATAAATAAAAATATTTTGCATAAAATTTCATTAAAATACTTTAAAAAAACAATTTTAATCATCACTAAATTTAGTAATACTATTTAATAATAATAATAACAATAATAAAAGTCATTAATAATAAAGTTATAATAAATCTTATATATAATAAACTTTTTTTTAAAGTTTTTTTTTTGAATATATTCCCTGAAAATTTCCAGATTTTGGATAATAGGAAACATTTGGAAACAAAATGAGGGAATTTTGTTCGAACCCTAAATATAATACATATATAGTAAATGTATATGTATTTTATACTATATATATATATTTATATATGATTTACTAAATAATTTATAATTTTAATATTTTTACAATATTTAAAAAAATAAAATAAAATAATTGACACTTAAATATTATAATACAATTTTATCTATAAATTTTATTATTATAATTGATATTTTTTTGTTATTACAGTACTTGAAAAAATTAATAAATGTTATAATTTAATTAAAACAAAACAAAAAAATAGTTAACAATTTTTTGTTTAAAACAAATATAAAAATTTTTAATAATTATATATTTAGTTATTTAAATTGTTATTATTATAATAATATTATTGGTAATTGTTGTGTGTTTGGTGTGTGTGTGTGTGTGTGTGTGTGTGAGTGTGTGTAGGTCTAGTGTTGTTGTTGTCCGATACCCAATGCCTTTAACTCACATGCCTATGAAAATAAAAAATAATTAATTAGCATATAATAGTTTAAATAAAATATTATTATTATTGAAAAACATACATACATATATATACACACACACTCACACACACATATATAGACATACATACACACAAAGACACACACACATACCCACACACATACATACATATACACACATACATACATATACACACATACATACATATACACACATACATACATATATACACATATATATACACACATAGACACACATATACCCACATATACCCACATACACACACATACACACACACACACACACACACATACACACACACATACATAAATATACACACATAAATAAACACATATTCATACACATACATACATCATACCCATACACACATACATAAACACATACCCAAACACACATACATACATATATATAAAATTAAAAACATATTAATAGCCCTTACATAAAATTGATCCGATGATGTTAGATTAATTAAATTTTTTTTAACATTATCGCTACTAAATTCAGCTACTAGTTTGGGATTAGCTTGAAAATATTGTTTAACTTTTAATTGATTACACTGGGTAAACGTATCGGAACAAAAATTCAATATGGCCGCCTTGACATGGGTGTCATTGAGGTCAACACGATTGCCTATACTATAGGTATTTAATACGTGTTTGACAGTTGTATTTTGATTGACATCATTGTTATCATTAGCGCATTCATAGTTAAATTGTTTTACCTTTAAAAAAAAAGTTTTAAAAAATTTAAAAAAAATATATAAAAATAAAAGTTTTTAAAAAAATTGATTTTTTTTACTTTTTTAATAAAATCGGTAATTATCGGCAAATTTTCTTTATTATTTTCATCCAATATTTGCTTACATTTATTGAAATCATTGATTACAGTGGTATTGATTTTATTGTCAACTGTTGAACACAATACGTGTTTAACACGTAATCTATGTTCAATGTGTTGCCTATGTTTGCTATCATTGTTTGTTGTTGGTGGGTGTGTAGGTGTAGGAGTGGGTGTGGGTGTTGTTAGTGGGTCTATAGTTGGGTGTTTAGCTAGTTGATTAGCTGGATCAGCAGTTTGCGATATTATTAGATTAGCATGAACAATTATCGATGTAAAACTAGCTAGTATAAATACAATCACTAATCTACTAGTAATTGTACTAGATAACATTATTATTATTTATTATTAATTAATTAATTAATTATCTCTCTCTCTCTCACTTTCTATACTTAATTATAGTTTAAAATAAATATATAATTTGTTTTTTTTCTGTTAAATCTTTCAAAATTTTTTAATAATAAGATTTTTCTAAAATATGTTTTTTTTAATAAAAATATTTTCTAAAATTTCAAACGTCAATAGTATAGTTTACTACTACTATATACTGTATTATATATACTATTGATACTTAAAACCATTTTTAAAAAAATGTTTTGTGCGTCAATAAAAAAATTTTTTTTTTAATTAAATAAATTAATTCAACATAACATACAGTTTAATGTAATTTAATTAAATTGTTATGAAAAATAACTAACTGTTAGTTATTATTATTATATACACTAGTATTTAATAATAATATTTTTTAAAATCTATATAATATTAAAGATTTATAATAAATATATAATTATTATTTAATAAATTATTGTTATTTTATGTTTTAGTTATTTTTTTTAAACAAAAATATTAATTTAAATACAAATAAAATCTAAATTTTACTATAAATTTAATTAATTAAAAAATTAATACAATTAATTAACAAATTAATATATTTTTATTTTTGTAATTAAAATTTTCATAATATTACATGTTTTGTTGTTTTTGTAATTATTTTTAGCTTAATTTCAAATAACAATTGAATAAATTTAACTATATATATTTAAAGTTATAAATTATTTTAGTATAGTTTAATTTAGTTTAAAAAATTTTGAAAATTAAATAAAAACTACTATATATATATATATATGTTGATATATTTTAATTGTAAATTATTGATCATCAGGGACCATCTATTCAATTAATTTATACCAAGAACCTTTTTCTCGCATGTCTTTAACAAATAAATTTATAAAAAAAATTAAAAAAATTATTATAAATAATAATAATTAACAAATAAAAAATAATAGTAAATAAACTGATGATCTCAATGTGTATGTTAACATAACAACCCCCCCCCCCCACTTAATTTCACACCCACCCACTATAATATACACACATACACTCATACACCTACATATCTCGTTCACACACACACACACACACACACACACACACACACACACACACACACACACACACACAAACATACACATAACCCGTCCACACACATACATAATCCCCAACACATACATAACCCGTCCACACACACACACATACATACACAACCCGTCCACACACACACACACACACACACACAAACATACACATAACCCGTCCACACACATACATAATCCCCAACACATACATAACCGGTCCACACACACACACATACATACACAACCCGTCCACACACACACACACACACACACACACACACACACACACACACACACACATAATCCCCAACACATACATAACCCGTCCACACACACACACACATACATACCCCGTTTATACACAAACACACACACATAACCCCCAACACATACATACCCTGTTCACACACACACACACTTGTTAGTCTCTATATACAATTATTAAGTAAGTTTGTGAACAATTTTTAGTTAACACCCAGCCTAAGTCAACCTAACCCCCCCTACCCCAACTCAACCTAACCACCCCTCCCTTCCTCCCCCGCCCATATACTAACCACAATATCAGTCCATGAAACCGGTTTCTGAAACAAGTTGTAATAACTGGCGGCCTCTTTGTCCAATTCGATGAATGTTTGCTTATTTTCGATGATAAATGTTTCCCATTTTTTCTGTACACATACTAGAAAACTAGGCGAACATAAATCTAGCATGGTCAATTTGATTTGTCTATCTTTTAAATCTAGCTGGCTAAATGCTTCCAATGATTTTTCCTGGCCAATTGAACAATCATTGCGCAATTGTTCACGCTAGTTTAAAAAAATAAAATTAAAATTAAAAATTTAAAAAAATTATCAAATTTAGTTTAATAAAAAAAATATATATTTATTTATTTATGTTTTGAATATTTTCTATATAGTGTTGTAAATTTATTGTAAATTAAACAAGGTTTTTTTGGATCTTAGAGGGAGGGGAAGGGGAGGCTAGGGGAGGGGTAATATAGATTACAAAATATTTTCGCAGATTTCCAATAAATTTCAAATGTAAATCGGAAAGGAATTCCCAGTTAAATAGAAAAATATTATTCCCAATAAATTCCTTTTATATATATATTTTTTGGTAATTTTCTCTTAAAATTAATAAAAAAATCTAATTTTTAGATATTATTCTATATTTATATTAATTAATATATAAACTCTAATTTATATATATATATATATTACTTTTAATACTTTTACTTTTATTGATATTTTAGAGGGGGTGGTAAAATAATATAATTTTCATTTAAAGGGAGGGGGGGTTAAAAAGGCCATACCCTACTCTATCCCATAAATATATAGTAATACATATATATCAGGGTTGCTAAATGCGGGAGGTAGGGGGTAGGAGGGTGCTAAGATATATATTTATTGTAGTCAGCTGTGTATTACGGGTCAGTCTATTACATTATAAATACTATTACAATTTTATTATTTATTTATTATTTTTAACTTACTTATTATTAGTTATTATTATTATTATTATTATCTAGTAAATTAATTAGTAAAAAAGTAAATAAAGCTTGTAGATAATAATAATAATTATTCAATTCAATAATATAATTATTATTATTATTATTATTATTCCTGCAAGTATCTAGTTAATTAATTAACTAGTAAAAAAAGTAAAATAAAGCTTGTAGATAATAATTATTATTATTTCTACTACTATCTAGTTAATTAATTAATTGGTGAAAATTAAATAGCTACTAGATAATAAAAATAATTATTATTAATATTTAATTAATTTAGCTTGGGGTGCTTACTTACTTTTTCATCGTATTTTTTCATGTTGGCCGTCTTTCGTGAATCATCCAATACTGGCCGACATTTATTATATTGATTAACTAATTGAGTGGTAACCTTGCCAGGTGTGCACACTACTTTGAATACTTTATCGACATGCTCTTTCATTTGGACATGCCAGACTGCCGACCCCTGTTGCTGATCAATGCTAGCACCATGGACAGTTAGCATTATCATCATATTACTAGCCATGGCTAGCAAAACAATACCACCAACATAAATTGTACTAGCTAACATTGTTATTGGTTGATTGTATCTAGCTAATTTAGGGTGGTTAACAAATTAAATAGTATACCTAGATAATAGAAAATTAATTAAGCAACAACAATTATAATATCAAAAATTTTATTTTATTTTTTAATAATATTAAATTAATTAAAATTAATAGTTTATACCTATGACTGTACTTAACTAGTAGTGTATACTAAATATACTCGAATATATTGAATAGAAATTTTTAAAAAATGTTTGTTTTTTCATATAAAAAATGGTGTATTTTTTAATTAATTAACAAAACAAATATGTTTTTTATTCATAAAAATAATTATTTAATTTTTAAGTTTTCCATTTTTTTCATATATTCTAAAAAATAAATTTTATTATATATTTTTTATATATTAATATATTATTGTTGTATTTTGTATTATAACAAAAAAAATTAAAAAATTAATATAATTTAACTTTTTTAAAAAAAAACAAATTTTTGTATAAATATTTAGTAAATTATATTTAAAATATAAATACAAACATTTGTTACTTTTAAATTAATAATGTTATTTAAAAACTGTAATTATATAACTAATCTATTGATTAATAGTATTTAGTTTTATTTTAGTTAATAATAATATCATAAAAAATAGCTAGAGTTGTAATAAGCGCTAAATTTAGATTTTTTATTTATTTAATTCAAAAAATATTTTATTAATACTACAACAATAGTTAATTAAAATAAATATAAAAATTATTTCTATGTTTGTGTTGTATTATTACATGTATAGGTATTAATATTTTTATTAGAAAATTTATTAGTCTATGTTTTTGTAATTTTTAAAAACTTTATTTTTGAAATATCATATCATAAAAACTTGTACTCAATATTATTATTTTGTAATATTTAAATAAAATAATAATATTGAGTACAAAATATATAATTATTTCAAAAAAATTATAGTTTTATTGTATTAAATATTTGATTATTATTTCATAAACATTTTTTTGTGTAGTTTATGTCTATTGAGTTATATATATAATTATAATTACAAATTTTGTTTACATATCTATGATATATTTATAATAAAAAAATACATATATTATTATACAATTTATTATATATATATTATATTAATAAATTAATTTAAATAAAAATTATTATACAAATCAATAATAATTCAATTATATAATAGATTAAATTAAATATATAAAAAATTATTTCTATGTTTTAGTAGTTTTATTACATGTATGTTTTTTATTATTATTATGTTTTATTAATGTTTTTCTAATTATTAAAACTTTTTTTTTCTGAAATATCATATCATGAATATGTATTATTTTTTATTATTTTTTTTTATTTTGTAATATTAAATAAAATAATAATATTAGGTACAAAATAAAATTTATTGCAAAAAAAATAATTATACTTTTAATGTATTAAATATTTGAGTATTATTTCATATTTTTTTTGTACTCTATATGTCTATTGAGTTATATATAATTATATTTAAAATTTTGCTTACATTTTGTTTTATTATACTAAATAATATACATATATTAAATTATATACTGTATATAAATTCCCTCCTTTTTTCTGGAAAAATAGTATTATTTTTATGGTGTACTAAATGCTTATTTTATATATTTATAATAATTTTTTCAAATATTATTAATTTATGCACTTATAAAATAATAAAATAATTTGAAAATGATATTTTTTTTATACTGTATATATTATAATAACAATTATTGTTTTGATAATTAGTTTTTTTATATTATTATTATAATTAATTTGTAATATTTAATTATAATAATAAAAATTAAGTACAAAATAAAAAATTTATTGCAAAAAATATAATGTTTTTTTGATTATATTTATAATAAATTTAGTTTATTTTTTTTGTATATACAATATATAATTGTCATATCATTAGCTGATACAGCAGTTATTGTTTTACATCAAAAAATAATATTACAGTTAAACATAACTAATATATATATATAACAGTAATCATACTGTATATGTGTAACTATACCTTAACTATACATTGAAACCTAATTTTTTGATTTAATTAGTGGAAAGAGAGAGAGAGAGAGAGTTATAAGTATTTAAGTTATAAGTATTTAAAACTATAGAACATCTAAAAAAAATAACTTAAAATAAAATTTCATTAAAACAAATTTTTTTTTAAAACTTAGATTATATTAATAATAATGTCTGTATTGAGCCAATTATATTCATTGATTATATCAGATATATGGACAACAATTATTAGACTACTAATTGGTTATGTTGTCTACTATTTGGCTAAATTTTATTACAAACATTATAGTCTACCTCCCGGTCCATTTCCATTACCATTGATCGGCAATTATTTAAGTTTGTATACTAAATAATAATAATAATCAAACTATTTTTTACATAAATATTATTCATATTATTATTTTCAAAAAAAAATCAAAATTATTAATTATATATATATATATTTTTTGAAAAAACTTATAGCTTTTAGAACTAAACATCATTGGGATTACGCTATGAGACAAATGGCCAAAAAATATGGTCCAATATTTACCGTATATTTGGGAAACAGTCCGCAAATAGTGATCACCGATCCGGTCATAGCTAGAGATGTATTCAATAGATCAGAATTTGCGGGAAGAACTCAAACATATTTTGGTAATAATTTCTTTTAATTAAAGAAAAAAAATATATAATTTTATTTTATTTTTTTAAATTTCAAATAATTATTGGAAGCACTGGTAGGTTTTTTTATATATTTATTTATTTTAGAGGGTGGGTGGGGTGCAGGTAGACAACATAGGTAGGCTATCTAACAACAGGGTTGCTATATATTGAGTCATAGAGTGTTAAATTAGGTTTTTATTTTTTATTGTAGTTTTTTTTATTAGAATATGTACCCTTGTGAACCCCGTTTATATTTTTAGTTATATATATATTTTTATTTTATTTTTTTTAAATTAATTAATACCAGTGTTGGCAGAGAAAAACAAAAAGTTTGTATAATACAAAGCGTATTATACTTTATATAATATAATATACATATATTTTGACTTACATAAAAAAATCTAGAGCCTTATATAGAAAATATAGATTTAATATTTCATTAAAATTAATTTATTGTTTTTTACTTATAAATTATTTAATTAATTAATTAATAACAATAATAATGCATTTTCTAGCAATTATATTATTTAACAATAAATAGTTTTTTTAAAGTAATTTTCAAACATAATTTTTTATTTTTATAAAAGTATTTTACTGTATTATACAAAGTATAGTATTACTTCAACCCTAATTAATATTTTTATAATTTTTAAAATTTTACATATTTTAATTTTAGTAAAATTAATGGGTGATGGTGTCATAATGGCTGATTACGGACCCAATTGGGAAACACGTAGAAATGTGGCTCAAGCGGCAGTTAGGTATTGTGTTTTATTTATTAAAATTTTAAAAAGTTTTAAAAAATTTAAAAAAATTTAAAAATTTAAAAATTTTAATTTATTTTTAAATATTAACAACAAATAAATTTTCACAGAAAATATTCAAACAATGAACGATTGGTTAACGTAGTCGTCGATTGTGTGGACAAAACAGTGGAAACAATGTTGAAAACAATTGGTCCAAACAAACCCATTGAACAATCAAATTATATATATCTAACATTTTTAAATATTATGGCTAATAGTGCCTTCAATGAAAAGTATATACAAAAAAAAATTGTTGTCAAATATTTTTTTAAAAATTTTAATTATTTTTTTTTTAAATTTATAAATATAATAGTTATAATTTTGATGATCCAGAGTTTAAAAAATTTAAATATGTTTTAAACGATATAAATTATGAATGGGGAACACGTTTTCTATTATATGAATATTCAAAACTAATTCAATGGATTGATTATAAATGTTTTAATCAAATAACTAAAGTATATGAAGAAATACGTGAAATTATTGTTAAAAAAATTAGAAATCATTATAAAGATTACGATCCAAGTATTGAACGAGATTTTTGCGATACACTGATTGAAGCGAAAAATACGGCGCTCCGGGATGTGGGACAGGGAGATAGCAAACAATCCGTGGCTAACTATCTAACCGATGATAAGCTCGGTATGATTGTGTTGGATATATTTCAAGCCCGTATCGATACATCCTATAATACATTTCAATGGCTACTATTGTTTTTATCAAGCGATTTAGTGGTACAAAAAAAATTACGTAAAGAAATTTCCGATAAAATCGGTGACCGATTGCCAACACTTGACGATAGACAACAATGTCATTATGTAATGGCATTCATATCGGAAACATTAAGATTCAGAAATGTTGTTCCCGTAGCCGTTCCTCGCAAAGCAATGGTCGACAGTAAAATAGGTTTTAGTTTTATTGTTTTTTTACGTTAAATTTGTTTTTTTTAAATATATATATATATATATTTTTAGGTAATTATATGATACCGAAAAATATGTCAATAGCTGTCTTTCAGGGATTTATTTTGCGAAACGACAGCAACAAGTATTGGACAAATCCTAACGACTTTATACCCGAGCGCTTCCTCGACAGTGACAACCATTATATGATAACCCGTTTACAACAGACAGCTTACATACCCTTTGGTATCGGACGTCGTGTATGTTTAGGCGAAAAGTTGGCCACCGCTGACCTGTTCCTAGTTTTGACCCGATTTCTACAGTCGACACAAAACTATGACATTGTTTTGGACAGTCATCCGGGTTTTGATGCCGATCCTTATAATGTCGATTTAGTTAGTCCCTGTAGTTATTCAATTATATTTAAATCTAAATCATAATTACTGTATAATTACTATCCAATTAATAATATATATATTTATATATTATTTTAATAGATTGCTAATAAAAATATAAAAACCCTCCCTTTTTTGTTAACACTAATTTACATATATACTGTATATGTAATTTATAGATAAGAAAATAGAAAGTTTCTAATAAATTTCCTCTGAGAAAGTTTTCATAGAAAATTTCTCAGTAATTAATTTCTATACAGAAAATTAACATAAATTCTTATACTATTTCTATCCCCCATATCTATAGCTATTAGTATATATTAATAATGACATATAAAATACATTATTCATATATAACATTATAGTTTATAATTTAGTAACACTACTATACAAAATGGATACATATATATATATATATATATATATAAGAAAATATAGAAATTTGTTTTTTATATATTACTAGATTTATATATTTATTTAATACTTAAATATAAGGTTTTATACAATTTTTATTACTACAATTACTAACAAAATTAAATAAATAATTAAACATTAGATTATTGTTTTAAATTTTATTTTGTTATTATAACAATTGTAACTTTAATTAAATATAAAAATTGTTGATTTTTTTATTAATAAATTTATTTGTAGTAAACTTTTTTTTGAAATATCATATCATGGAAACTTTTATTATTATTATTTTGTAATATTCAATAAAATAATATTATTAAGTACAAAATAAAATTTATTTGCAAAAAAAAAATAGTTTTATTTCATTAAATATTTGAGTATTATATCATACTTTCATACTTTAGTTTATGTCTATTGATTTATAAAATTATATTTACAATATTGCTTATATCTATTTAGTTATACTAAAAATATTTATTAATATTAAATTATATACTGTATATAAATTCCCTCTTTTTTTTCCTGAAAAATAATGCAAACTTATAGTTTTTTTTTTATAAAGGTACTAAATGCTTATTTTATGTTTTAATTTACTATTAATCTTATAAAAGTTATAGATTAAAACTATTTATTATTTTTTTAATATTAATAATTCATGCATTTAAAAAAAATATTTATATAATGAATATTTTACTAAATTCTCCATTGATTTTATTTAATTGATTCTATATTAATATTAATATTATATTTAAATTATATTAATATTATATTTATGATATTATATAAATTTAATTGATTTTTTTTTAAATATAATGTTTTTGGATTATGTATTTATAATAAATTTAGTTTATTGTATAATTACAGTAAATAATTGTCATATCATTAGCTGATTAAGCAGTTTTTGTTTTCATAAAAAATGATATTACAGTTAAACATAACTAATATATAAAGTTATATACATATATATATATGTGTGTAACTATACCTTAAATACATTGAAAACAGGGGTGCATTAGTGGGGGAGTTATAAGTATTTAAGTAATAAGTATTTAATTAATAAGTATTTAAGTTATAAGTATTTAAGTTATAAGTATTTATGTTATAAATATTTAAGTTATAAGTATTTAAAATTACAGTACATCTAATAAAAAAAAACTTAAAATAAAATTTCATTAAAATTTTCATTTTTAAACTTATGTTAAAATAATATACACAATATGTCTGTATTGAGACAATTATATTCATTGATTATATCAGATATATGGACAACACTAATAAGTCTACTAATTGGTTATTTGGTCTACTATTTGGCAAAATTTTATAACCAATATTATAGTCTACCTCCCGGTCCATTTCCATTACCATTGATCGGCAATTATTTAAGTTTGTATACTAAATAATCAACTATTTTTACATAAATATTATTATTATTATTATTTTTCTGAAATCTAAATTATTAATTATATATATATATATATTGTTTGAAAAATCATTTAGCATTTAGATCTAAACATCATTGGGATTACAATATGAGAAAATTGGCCAAAAAATATGGTCCAATATTTACCGTATATTCGGGAAACAGTCCACAAATTATGATCACCGATCCGGTCATAGCTAGAGATGTATTCAATAAATCAGATTTTGCGGGAAGGGCTCAAAATAGTGTCGGTAATTGTAATATTTTTATTTTATTTCGGGGGGGGGGGTGTTAGATTGACTCATATAGATAGTGTTTGATTATATGTTTTTTTTAAAATTATTTTTTTTGTATATAGTTTTATTGTAATTCAAGTACCCTTAGTATACCAGTTAGTATAGTTATGATTTTTTTTTTTGAAAAATCTTTTTTATATTTTAATTAAAATTTATTAAATCCAGCAATGTTAGCAATTTTCAATCAATGTTTTTGTAATAAATATAGATTTAATATTTTAAAAAAAAAAATTAATTTGTTGTTTTTTTAACTTTAAACTATTTAATTATTGTATCTATGATAACAAAAACAAAAAAATAATAATTATAATTATAATGCATTTTATAGTAATTATTTTAATTTAATAAATATTTTTAAACTATTTTTTCCTAACATTCTATTAGCTTTAAAATTTTAATAACACATATATTTAAAAATATATTATACAAAATTGAATTATATTTTTTCTAAATATTTTTAAAGTAATTTTTTAACATAATATATATTCAGTATATAAAACATTATCAGTATTTTACAGTATTATAAAAAATAAAATAAAATAAAATTCAATACCTTGTATTTCTCTGTAACACTGATTAATACTAATAATAATTTTGATAAAATTTTGTAACAAAATAATTAAATAAAAATTAATTAAATGTTTTTAATTCAAGTAAAATTAATAGGTAATGGTATCATAATGGCTGATTACTGACCCAATTTGGAAACACGTAGAAGCATTGCGCACGCGGCAGTTAAGTACGTGTGTCTATTGATTTTATTTTTAAAATTTTTAAAAAATTTAAAATATTTATTTTTAAATAATAACAATAACAATAACAAAAATAAATTTATAGAAAATATGCAAAAAATGAACGATTGGTTAACGTAGTCGTCGATTGTGTCGATAAAACAGTGGAAACAATGTTGAAAACTATGGGTCCAAACAACAAACCCATTGAACCATCAGATTATATATATCTAACATTTTTAAACATTTTGGCTAATAGTTGTTTCAATGAAAAGTATATATATATATATATATAAAACTAAATTTTTGTTAATATATTTTTTTAATTTTTTTTTTAAAAAACTTTAAGTTATAATATCGATGATCCAGAGTTTAAAAAATTTAAATATGTTTTAAACGATTTAAATTACGAATGGGGATCGCGTTTTGCTTTATGGGATTATTCAATAATAATTCAATGGTTTGATTATAAATTTTATAACAAAATAATTAAATATTTTGATGATTGTCGTGAAATTATTGTTGAAAAACTAAAAAATCATTATTTGGATTACGATCCAAGTATTGAACGAGATTTTTGCGATACATTGATTGCGGCTAAAAATATGGCGCTCAGGGATGGAGTGGGACAGGGAGTAGGAAGTGGTAGCAAACAATCTCTGGCTAACTATCTAACGGATGATAAGCTCGGTTTGATTGTGTTTGACCTAATTTTTGCCGGAATCGATACATCCTATACAACATTTTTATGGCTACTATTGTTTTTATCCAGTGATCTAATGGTGCAAAAAAAATTACGAAATGAAATTTCCGATAAAATCGGTGACCGATTGCCAACACTTGACGATAGACATCGATGTCATTATGTAATGGCATTCATATCGGAAACATTAAGATTCAGAAATGTTGTTCCCGTAGCCGTACCTCATAATGCTATAGTCGACAGTAAAATAGGTTAAGTTTAGTTGTTTTTTTAAGTTTTACTTTATTGTTAAATATTTTTTTTAACAAAAATTATATATATATGTATATATTTAGGTGATTATAAGATACCGAAAAATATGTCAGTTTGTGTCTATCAGGGATTTATTATGAGAAACGACAGCAACAAGTATTGGACAAATCCTAACGACTTTAAACCCGAGCGCTTCCTCGACAGTGACAACCATTATATGAGACCAACCAGTCGTTCGCAACCGGCTTTCATACCCTTTGGTATCGGACGTCGTGTATGTATAGGCGAAAAGTTGGCCATCGCTGACCTGTTCCTAGTTTTGACCCGATTTCTACAGTCGACACAAAACTATGACATAGTTTTGGACAGTCATCAGGGTTTGGATGCCGATCCTAATAATACCGATTCAATTAGTCCCAGTAGTTATACAATTATGTTTAAATCTAAATCATTGTAAATTATTTTAAAATTATTATTATTATTGTTATTTTAAAATCAAAAAAAAACAATGATAACTTTTGAGATGTTTAATTTTTATGAATTAAGTAAATATATATATATATATATATATATATATATATATATATATATATATATATATATATATATATATAGATATTTTAATGAGTACTTTAATTTAATTTTATTTTTTAAAAAAAATTTAAACATATTTATATAACTTTTTTCTATATATATATTTGTTTGTAATTTTTAAATAAAATTTTTTTTTTTATTAATTAATAATTATAATAATATAGTTTGACAAATTTCTATTATATTAATTAATATAAAATGATATATAAAAATAAAAACAACTTATAAGTTAATATTTGTTTATCAATAATATTATTGTTTAATGATTTTAATTTACTTTATTTTTTTTCTTAAATAAAATGTTTAATATTATTAATTTTATCAATAATTGACTTTTTTTTGATATATAAAAAAACAACAATAACTACTCAAATACATAGTCAAACTAAACTAAAAAAAGTTGTTTTTTTGTGGACTAATGTTATATTTCAATAGCAATGGATATATATATATATACAGTATATATATATATATATATATGTTTATAACTGCCGCAAAAAAACCGGTTTATCTAAAAATATTTCTCCTCTCAAAAAAAATAGTATAGTTATTATAGTTTCATATTATTGTTTGTATAGTATATAACTTATAAGTTATATATTTTTTTTTGAAAGTAATGTTTAGATAAACCAGTTTTTTTGTTTTTAGTTTTTACCGGCAGTTATATACAGTACATACAGTATATCCATTGCTATTGAAAACATAACATTAGTTCACAAAAAAAAAACTATTTTAGTTTAGTTTGACTTTGTATTTGTGTAGTTATTGTTGTTTTTTTATGTTAAATAAAAATGGTGTCAATTATTGATAAAATTAATAATATTATAAACATTTTATTTAAATAAAAAAAAATTAAGTGAAACAATAGTATTAGTGATAAACAAACACAAAGTTTATCACTAAATATTAGTAGTGTTTTGTATGAACCGATTGATGGCTTGAATACAATGAATATTATATAATGTTGTTATAATTGCTGTATAAATATTATTATTATTATTATTATTAATATAAATATGGAGTTAATTAATAATAAAATCAATAATATTAAACATTTGTTAATTAAATTAAATGAATTAAAATCCATAAACAATAGTATTAGTGATAAACAAACAAAATGTTTATCAGAAAAAACTATTAGTGTTTTCAATGAACCGATTGATAACTTGAATACAATGAATAATTGCATTTCAATGAAAATTACTGATTATAATGACTGTTATAACATCAACAACAACAACAACAACAACAAAACACGTGTGGATTCAAACAATAACACGCGATTCACGTGCTATTGGCCTAAATGTCGATACAGTACTACAACTAAACTAAATCTAACTGATCATCAATTATTACATTTATCTGATAATCAATACAAATGTGATGTAAATAATTGTAATAAAACATACAAAAGTCGTTCAACATTATATAGGCATAAAAATATTAAACATTTTAATAGGCAATATGTTTGCGATTATAATGATTGTGGCAAATGTTTTACTAGAAATTCATATTTAATTCAACATCAATCAAAAGTTCATGATTATAATAATAATAATATTAGTAATAATAGTAGTAATAATAATAGTAATAGTAATAATAGTAGTAATAATAGTAGTAATAATAGTAATAATAATAGTAGTAATAATAGTAGTAATAATAGTAGTAATAATAGTAGTAATAATAGTAATAATAATAGTAGTAATAATAGTAGTAATAATAAAAGTAGTAATAATAATATTAATAATAATAGTAATAATAGTAGTAATAATAATAATAATAAAAAGTTTAAATGTGTTTATAAAAATTGTAATAAAACTACTCAAAAGTCAATCATTAATACACATATAACTAATAATAATAATAATAATAATCATATGAAACAAAAATCACAATTTAAATGTGATATCGATTATTGTGGAAAAATATTTACATCAAAATCATTGTATAATAAACATAATTCAAGACATTTTTCAAGTAAAAAACAATTCAATTGTTCAATAGATGATTGTTTGAAAACATTTACAACAAATCATTGTTTACTACAACACCAATCCCGGGATCATTCAATTGAACCCCAATTCAAATGTGATTATAATAGTTGTGGTAAAAAATTTTATAATTTACAAAATTTAAATGTTCATCAAAATTATGTACATTTTTCTACTAGTAATACATTATTCAAATGTACAGTCGATAACTGTAACAAACAATTTGTACGTCGATGTCATCTTAGACGACATCATAAACAAAAACATTTTTTTTGAGAAAAAAATAACAATTTAAATGTGATTTTTTTTAATTATATATATAAAATAATAATAATATATATTTATAAGTATTATAATAGTTTATATCACTTTGAATTTTTTAAAAAATAATACAATTATTACGATAATTATAATATTAATAAATTATAATATCGTTATTATAATATAATATTAAATTATAAATTATTATTAATTAAATTAAATAATAATATATTAATATAAATTATAATTATAATATACTGTAATATACAGTGTCAAAATCAATATAATAATTATTATTATTTGTTTATAAAATATTGTATTAAATTATCTAAATAATATTTCAATATTACTATAATGATTTTTATTTTATTTTTTTAAATAAACATAAATACAAAATATTTTTTTAAAAAATTGTAGTAAAATAATTATGTTATTGTTTTATAGTTATAATAATTATCATTATAAATATTAATCATAAAAAGAAAAACACTGATATATAAAACATATATAAAAGAAAAATAATTGTTAATTATTATTATTATTAAATAAAATCATTTTAATCAATAAATTTTTTTAATTAATACAGTTTTAAATAAATATTTTTTTAAATAGATATTTTCTAATTATTTTGAAATAACTAATTGATATAAATTTCAATGATAATAATAATATCTAATTTAGTTCAATAAAATTCTGTAATAATAATATTTAATAAAAAATCTATAATATGTATAATTACTTTTTTTAGCAATTTATTAACATAAATATATATTATAAATTGTATAGTAACTATACAGTAATTATGATTTAGATTTAAACATAATTGTATAACTATTGGGACTAATTGAATGTCTATTATTAGGATCGGCATCAAAACCCTGATGACTGTCCAAAACAATGTCATAGTTTTGTGTCGACTGTAGAAATCGGGTCAAAACTAGGAACAGGTCAGCGATGGCCAACTTTTCGCCTAAACATACACGACGTCCGATACCAAAGGGTATGAAAGCTGGTTGTTGTGAACGGGTTATCATATAATGGTTGTCACTGTCGATGAAGCGCTCGGGTATAAAGTCATTAGGATTTGTCCAATACTTGTTGCTGTCGTTTCTCAAAATAAATCCCTGATAGACATTCAATGTCATATTTTTCGGTATCATATAATTACCTAAAAAATATATATAAATGAAATTTTATTAATAAAATAATAATAATAATAATAAGTGTTTGTTTTTTTCAAAAAAAATAAAAAAAATAAAAACCTATTTTACTGTCGACTATTGCTTTATGATTGACTCCTACGGGAACAACATTTCTGAATCTTAACGTTTCCGATATGAATGCCATTACATAATGACATCGATGTCTATCGTCTAGTGTTGGCAATCGGTCACCGATTTTATCGGAAATATCTTTACGTAATTTTTTCTGTACCACTAAATCATTTGCTAAAAACAATAGCAGCCATTGAAATGTAGTATAGGATGTATCGTTTCCGGCAAAAAATACGTCCAACACAGTCATACCGAGCTTATCATCCGTTAGATACTTAGCCAGCGATTGTTTGCTACCTCCCTCTCCCTGTTCCACATCCCGGAGCGCATTATTTTTAGCCGCAATCAATGTATCGCAAAAATCTCGTTCAATACTCTGGTCGTAATCCAAATAATGATTTTTTAGTTTTTCAATAATTAGTTTAAGAATTTCATCGAAATGTTTAGTTATTTTTTTAATAAATTTATGTCCAATCAATTGAATTAATTTTGAATATTCCCAGAAAGCTAATTGTGATCCCGATTCGTAAATTAAATCAATAAAAGCATATTTAAATTTTTTAAACTCTAGATCATCGATATTATATCTAGTATTTAAAAAAAAATAATAATAAATAATTAAATAAAAATATTGTCAAAATATATATATATATACTTTTCATTGAAAGCACTATTAGCCAAAATATTCAAAAATGTTAGATATATATAATCTGATGGTTGTATGGGTTTGTTTGGACCCACAGTTTTCAACATTGTTTCCACTGTTTTATCGACACAATCGACGACTACGTTAACCAATCGTTCATTTTTTGAATATTTTCTGTGAAAATTGTGAAAGTTGAAAAAAATAAAATATTATAAAATTTTTTATTTTTAATGATTTTATTAAAAACAAAAAAAAATTAATAGACACACGTACTTAACTGCCGCGTGCGCAACAAGTCTACGCGTTTCCCAATTGGGTCCGTAATCAGCCATTATGACACCATCACCAATTAATTTGACTTTAATTTAAAATATTTATTGTTTTTATTGTTTTATTAAATTATCAAAAACTAGTATAATAAGTTAGTTAAATAAAATAGTTAAATATTATAATAAATTAATTAGTGTTGGAAAAATACAATGTATAGAATACAATAAAATGTATGTTATTATAAATTTTTTAAAAATATATATTGTTTTTTTTAAAAAAAATTACTATTTAAAATATTTAGTAAAAATTTAATTGCTAGAAAATGCATTGATTATTATTATTATAATCGTTGTTTTTTATAAGTTATAATAATCTAAATAATTTAAAATAAATAAATAATAATAATAATAATAAATCTATATTTATTTATATCAATGCTTTTTTAGCAATAGGTGACGCTAAATTTTTTTTTGATTTTTTTTCAAATTGGTCATGTATTATACTATACTGTTAAGTATTATACTTAACAATTTATTTTTCTGGATAAACACTGGTATTATTAAATGTAAAAAAATGTAAAATCATATAAAAAAACTAGTCATAACTGGTATATTATTTTTAATAAAAACTACAAATCATAAAATCTAATCCTAATAGTAACATATGTTGTTATACAGCCTCCCTATCGTCTATTTGGTACCAACCCCCCCCCAACCCCCAACCCCCCGTCCTCCCAAAAAATAAAATAAAATCAGAAACCTACCAGTGCTCATAATAATCATATAAAAAAACTTACCAATTAGAAATTACATTATTTATTTTTTAATAAAATATAATTATAATATATATATATTTTTAAAAAATTAAAAACAATAAAAACAATTACCAAGATAAGTTTCAGTCCTTCCCGCAAAATCTGATTTATTGAATACATCTCTAGCTATGACCGGATCGGTAACAATAATTTGTGGACTGTTTCCCAAATATACGGTAAATATTGGACCATATTTTTTGGCCAATTTTCTCATATTGTAATCCCAATGATGTTTACTTCTAAATGCTAAATGATTTTTCATAAAACAAACAAAAAAAATAGATAAATAAATATTTAATAATTTAGATTAAAACAAAATAATAATAATAATAATAATAATAATAATAATAATAATTATTATTATTATTATATAAAATATTAGTTGATTATTATTATAATTATACTAAAAACCTAATAAATTGCCGATCAATGGTAATGGGAATGGACCGGGAGGTAGACTATAATATTGGTAATAAAATTTTGCCAAATAGTAGACCAAATAACCAATTAGTAGACTTGTTATTGTTGTCCATATATCTGGTATAATCAATGTTAATAATTGTATCAATACAGACATTACTGTAAATAATAATAATTATTATTATTATTATTAATTTAAGTTTAAAAATTAAAAAAAAAATTTGATAAAATTATTAATTTTAGTTGTTATCAGTTAACTGTACTTTTTAATACTAAAACAAAAAATTACAAATATCATTTATAAGAATTTTCAAATTTAAAAAATATCAAATAGTCATCAATTTAAAAATAAATATTTAAAAAATTCAAATTATCAAAACAATAGTTGTTTTTAATAATATTTATATTGAAAAAAAACTTAATTTTTTAAAAAAGATTTTATAAATTTACAGGTATTATTAATATTTATTCAAAATAGTTTTAAACAATAACACTTTAATAGTTTTAATTAGTTAAGTATAATATATAAATATATATTTAATATATTATTAATGTTATTAATCGTATAAGTATTTTGAAGAATTTTTTTTTTAATAAAAACTATTTTATGTTTTCTAATATACTGTACTTTAAATATTTAATAAAAACTTTAGCTAGAAAGCATTATCAGAAAAACACTCGTTGTCGATAAAATAAAATCAACTTTGATCATGTAAGGTATCAAATAATTAAGTATTGCATAATAAAATCAACTTTGATCATGTGAGGTATCAAATGACTAAGTGACATCACAGATATTTTATTTATTTTTTTTAAATTATAAAAATTACTTTGTTGCCTGGAAAAAATCTTAAAAAAAATCTCTAAACATTTCATTTATTATATTCTATATGTTCATCTAATATAAACTTTATAAATCTTTTTTTTTTGTTTGTTGAGTTAGAAATAATTTTTTAAATTTTTTAATTCGTATATTTACCTTTTTTTACAATAATATACAGTAAGTTGTCATTATTATTATATTTTCTATTCTATATTATTAGATAGACATTGTAGGAAAGGTTGTTATTTGTGTATCTAAAACAGTTTTTTTAAAAAAGTTATGATTTTATGAATATTTCTCAGTAATTTTCCCAATGTTCCTGATGAGATTGATTATTTTTCCTGAAACATTTCAATACATTATTAGTAGTACTCTAAACGAATCTAAAGTCAGAATTTCAAACATAGCAAACATAAAATGCTTGACAGACAGACAGACAGACAGACAGACAGACAGACAGACAGACAGACAGACAGACAGACAGACAGACAGACAGACAGACAGACAGACAGACAGACAGACAGACAGACAGACAGACAGACAGACAGACAGACAGACAGACAGACAGACAGACAGACAGACAGACAGACAGACAGACAGACAGACAGACAGACAGACAGACAGACAGACAGACAGACAGACAGACAGACAGACAGACAGACAGACAGACAGACAGACAGACAGACAGACAGACAGACAGACCGACTCAAAAGGCTTGTATAGATTTCAGTAAACAAAACTTTTTTTAAAAGTTTTTATTTCGAAAGTTAGAAAAAATAAAAGCTATAAAAAACATAATAAAGTTTCAATTAAAAACATTAATACTTATACATGTAATACTACTACTACTACTAAAACATTGAAATAATTTTTATATTAAATTTACTTTATTATTGTTATAATGAAAATAAATAATTAAATCCAAAACTTAGTTTTAATAAAAATTTGTAAATTTATTATATATATAATAAAATATGTTTTTTATATTGATAGTAAATCTATTATTATTATTATTATTATTATTATTATTATTATTATTATTATTATTATTATTATTATTATTATTATTATTATTATTATTATTATTATTATTATTATTATTATTATTATTATTATTATTATTATTTTTTATATATAAAAATTAACTATATATTATATAAAAACATTAATTAATAAATTTTTTTTAAAAATAAAAATATAATAATTGTATTAATAGAGACATTATTGACTCAATATATAATTAGTAATAGTTTATATGTACATGATGATATTTTTTATAAGTTTTTATTATGTTTAATAAACTACGTCATCAATTTATTTAAAAATTAAGCTAGTAAGCTTTTCCTGCCAGTATCTATTATTGAGTATATTATTATTGTTATTAATCGTAAGTATTTAAAAAAAATTAATTAATTAGTTATGTAATGCAAATTTTTTTTGAAATTTATAATGAGTTCATAAAAATTATTTTATAAACTATTGTGTGTACATAAAGGGATAGTTATAAATGTTTTATTTTATTAATATTTTTTTTTAGTAATTTAAACTATGATATATTTTTTAAAATATATATTTTAGTTAAAAATAGTTTAAAAGTAGTAGTGTTTGTGTGTTTGAGATTGTAATTTACAGTAAATATTTGTATTTTAAATTTAATTTAAAATAATAACAATACTAGACATGTACTATATATTTATATTATATATATATATATATATATATTAATAAATTGTTAATAAAATATCATACAATTAAATAATAGTAAATTTAAAAATGATCATGGTGATTTGATAATATTTTAATGCTTATAGATTACAAACTGATTGTAAATAATTATTTTTTTATTAATAAATAAAAACTGTAAGCAAACAATTAATCTATAGTTTTATAGTATTAATAATAATTAATTTAATTTACTGTATTATTAGTTAATAAAAACAATTAAATTTTTTAATTATCTGATATATTTATAAAATTAAAACTTAATTAACTAAAACATTAGAATATATAGTATAGAATTTTAATTAAAATAACTGATACTAAGATTTTAGATATATTATTATATATTAAATTAGTATAACTATATTATTACTAATAACTTAATAATAATAACGTTTTTAAAATAATTTACAATGATTTAGATTTAAACATAATTGTATAACTACTGGGACTAATTGAATCGCTATTATTAGGATCGGCATCCAAACCCTGATGACTGTCCAAAACTATGTCATAGTTTTGTGTCGACTGTAGAAATCGGGTCAAAACTAGGAACAGGTCAGCGATGGCCATCTTTTCGCCTAAACATACACGACGTCCGATACCAAAGGGTATGAAAGCCGGTTGTTGTGAACGGGTTATCATATAATGGTTGTCACTGTCGATGAAGCGCTCGGGTATAAAGTCGTTAGGATTTGTCCAATACTTGTTGCTGTCGTTTCTCATAATAAATCCCTGATAGACATATGCTGTCATATTTTTCGGTATCCTATAATTACCTGATATATAAATATATATATAGATTTTTAAAAAATATTTTATATATTACATAAAAATTGTTATTTATTAAAAATTAAAAAAAATCAAAAAACCTATTTTACTGTCGACTATAACCTTATGGGCGACGCCTACGGGAACAACATTTCTGAATCTTAATGTTTCCGATATGAATGCCATTACATAATGACATCGTTGTCTATCGTCAAGTGTTGGCAATCGGTCACCGATTTTATCGGAAATTTCATTTCGTAATTTTTTTTGCACATTCAGATCATTGGATAAAAACAATAGTAGCCATTGAAATGTATTATAGGATGTATCGATTCCGGCAAAAAACAGGTCAAACACAGTCATACCGAGCTTATCATCCGTTAGATACTCAGCCACAGATTGTTTGCTACCTATCACTCCCTCCCGGAGCGCATAATTTTTAGCCGCAATCAGTGTATCGCAAAAATCACGTTCAATACCTGAATAGTAATCTTTATAATGATTTTTTAGTTTTTCAATAATAATTTCTCGACAATCATCAAAATGTTTTGCTATATTTTTAATTGATTTATAATCAATCCATTGAATTAGTTTTGAATATTCCCATAAAACAAATCTGATTCCCGATTCGTACATTAAATCATTTAAAACATATTTAAATTTTTTAAACTCTGGATCATCGATATTATATCTAATATTTTTTAAAAAATAAAAAATAAAATAAATATATTAACAAAAATTTAATTTTATATATATATATATGTATATATACTTTTCATTGAAAGCACTGTTAGCCAAAATGTTTAAAAATGTTAGATATATATAATCTGATGGTTCAATGGGTTTGTTTGGACCAATAGTTTTCAACATAGTTTCCACTGTTTTATCGACACAATCGACGACTACGTTAACCAATCGTTCATTTTTTGAATATTTTCTAAAATATATATTTTAATAAAAAAAATTTGTTTATATTTATTTTTTTAAAAATAAAATTTATTCAAATATAAATAAATAGTCGCATACTTAGCGGCCGCGTGCGCAACAAATCTACGCGTTTCCCAATTGGGTCCGTAATCAGCCAGTATTACACCATCACCTATTAATTTGACTTGAATTGAAAAATATTTAATATTAATTTTTTTTTTGAAAATTATTTGTATTAATCAGGGTTGGAAATCTACAAGTTATTGAATATTGACTTTAATATATATATATATATATATAATAATAATACAGTAAAAAATTAAAATTATTACCAAAATAAGTTTGAGTTCTTCCCGAAAAATCTGATTTATTAAATACATCTCTAGCTATGACCGGATCGGTGATCATAATTTGTGGACTGTTTCCCAAATATACGGTAAATATTGGACCATATTTTTTGGCCAATTTTCTCATAATATAATCCCAATGATGTTTAGTTCTAAATGCTAAATGATTTTTACATAAAACAAACAAACAAATAGATAAATAAATATTTAATAATTTTTGATTAAAACAAATTAATAATAATAATATTTAAATGAAATAAATAATTATTATTATACAAACTTAATAAATTGCCGATCAATGGTAATGGAAATGGACCGGGAGGTAGACTATAATATTGGTAATAAAATTTTGCCAAATAGTAGACAACATAACCAATTAGTAGACTAATAATTGTTGTCCATATATCTGGTATAATCAATGAATATAATTGTCTCAATACAGACATATTGTGTATATTTAATTTAACATAAGTTTAAAATAAAAAATTTTAATAAAATTTTATTTTAAGTTGTTTTTTAGATGTACTTTAGTTTTAAAAACTTATAACTCCCACCCCCACTAATTAAATCAAAATTAGATTTCAATGTATAGTTAAGGCATAGTTACACATATACAGTATGATTACTGTTATATATAATATATTAGTTATGTTTAACTGTAATATTATTTTTTGATGAAAAACAATAACTGCTGTATCAGCTAATGATATGACAATTATTATATACTGTATATACAATAAAAAAATAAACTAAATTTATTATAAATATAATCACAAAAAAAGCATTATATTTTTTGCAATAAATTTTATTTTGTACTTAATTTTTATTATGTTTATTAAATATTACAAATTAATAATAATATAAAAAGATAATTATCAAAACAATAATTGGTACTATAATATATACAGTATAAAAAACATCATTTAAAATTATTTTATTATATTATAAGTGCATAAATTAATAATATTTATAAAAAAAATTATTATAAAATATAAAATAAGGATTTATTAATATTTTTTTAAAAAAAATATTTACATATTGTGTATATTATTTTAACATAAGGTTTATAGAAAATTTTAATGAAACTGTAATATCATTTTTTTATGAAAACAAAAACTGCTGTATCATCTAATGATATGACAATTATTATACTGTAATTATACAATAAAAAACTAAATTTATTATAAATATAATCAAAAAAAAACATTATATTTAAAAAAAAATAAATTAAATTTATATAAGATCATATGATAAAATATTAATATAATATTAATATTAATATAAAATCAATTAAATAAAATCAAAGGAGAATTTAGCTAAATATTTTTTTATGTCTATATAATATATTGTTTAATTACTATTTAGCAATAATTTATATATATATATATTTATGAAGTTAAATAAATTGTTTATTATTTCTAATTAAATAATTGTTAATATTTAAAACAATTTTTAAATATTATTTATATTTATATAAAAAGATTTTATTATTTTATCAGAGCACGAATTATTAATAATTAAAAAAAATAATAATTTTAATCTTTAATTGTTAATTGTTAATTAAAACATAAAACAAGCATTTAGTACACTATAAAAACTATATATTAAAATTTGAAATAATACTCAAATATATAATGCAATAAAACTATTAATTTTTTTTGACAACTACTGACATATTTTTCGGTATCATATAATTACATAAAATATATATATATATATATATTTAAAAAAATATTTAACATTAAATAAAAATAAGTTTGAGAATTAAAAAAAATTGTTTTTAGTTTTTAGTAAACATAATTGTATAACTAGTTGGAGTAATTGAATCGCCATTATTAGGATCGGCATCAAAACCCTGATGACTGTCCAAAACAATATCATAGTTTTGTGTCGACTGTAGAAAACGGGTCAACACTAGGAACAGGTCAGCGATGGCCAACTTTTCGCCTAAACATACACGACGTCCGATACCAAAGGGTATGAAAGCCGGTTGTTGTGAACGGGTTATCATATAATGGTTGTCACTGTCGAGGAAGCGCTCGGGTATAAAGTCGTTAGGATTTGTCCAATACTTGTTGCTGTCGTTTCTCATAATAAATCCCTGATAGACAACTACTGACATATTTTTCGGTATCATATAATTACCTTAAAAAATATAATTATAAAAAATACATATTTAATCTAAAAAATAAAAAATAATAAAATAATAATTTTAACTACAAATACCTATTTTACTGTCGACTATAGCCTTATGAGTCAGCCCTACCGGAACATTATTTCTAAATCTTAATGTTTCCGATATGAATGCCATTATATAATGACATCGATGTCTATCGTCAAGTGTTGGCAATCGGTCACCGATTTTATCTAAAAATTTCATTTCGTAATTTTTTTGCACCAATAAATCATTGGATAAAAACAATAGTAGCCATAGGAATGTATTATAGGTGGTATCGATTCCGGCAAAAAACATATCAAACACAGTCATACCGAGCTTATCATCCGTTAGATACTTAGCCACAGATTGTTTGCTATCATCTCCCACTCCCTGTCCCACTCCCTCCCGGAGCAGCGCATCGTTTTTAGCCGCAATCAATGTATCGCAAAAATCTCGTTCAATACACGGATCGTAATGGGAATGGACCGGGAGGTAGACTATAATATTGGTAATAAAATTTTGCCAAATAGTAGACCAAATAACCAATTAGTAGACTTGTTATTGTTGTCCATATATCTGTTATAATCAATGTTAATAATTGTATCAATACAGACATTACTTTAATAATTATTATTATTAATAATTTAAGTTTAAAAAAAAATTATTTTTTGATGAAAGTATATTTTTAGCTGTTTTCAGATACTGTACTTTTTTAATACTAAAACAAAATTAAAAATATCATTTATAAGAAATTTCAAATTTAAAAAAATATATATATTATAGTCATCAATAACCTATTTTACTGTCGACTATTGCTTTATGTGAGACAGCAATGGGCGTAACATTTCTGAATCTTAGGGTTTCCGATATGAATGCCATTATATAATGACATCGATGTCTATCGTCAAGTGTTGGCAATCTGTCACCGATTTTATCTAAAATTTCATTTCGTAATTTTTTTTGCACCAATAAATCATTGGATAAAAACAATAGTAGCCATAGGAATGTATTATAGGTGGTATCGATTCCGGCAAAAAACATATCAAACACAGTCATACCGAGCTTATCATCCGTTAGATACTTAGCCATAGATTGTTTGCTATCATCTCCCACTCCCTGTCCCACTTCCTCCCGGAGCAGTGCATCGTTTTTAGCCGCAATCAATGTATCGCAAAAATCTCGTTCAATACACGGATCGTAATCCAAATAATGATTTTTTAGTTTTTCAATAATAATTTCGCGAATTTCATCGAAATTTGTAGTTATTTTGTTAACAAATTTATAGTCAATCCATTGAATTAGTTTTGAATATTCCCATAAAATTAAACGATATCCTAATTCGTAATTTAAATCGTTTAAAAAATATTTAAATTTTTTAAACTCCGGATCATCGATATTATAACTATTAGTTTTTAAATAAATATTAAAAATATTTTTATATATATTATATACCGTAAATACTATATATATATACTTTTCATTGAAAGCACTGTTAGCCAAAATGTTTAAAAATGTTAGATATATATAATCTGATGGTTCAATGGGTTTGTTTGGACCAATAGTTTTCAACATAGTTTCCACTGTTTTATCGACACAATCGACGACTACGTTAACCAATCGTTCATTGTTTGAATATTTTCTGATAATTTATTTGATTTTGTTATTTAAAAATAAATATTTTTTTTAATTTTTCAAATTTAATAAATAAAAATCAATAAACACGTACTTAACTGCCGCGTGCGCAACAAGTCTACGCGTTTCCCAATTGGGTCCGTAATCAGCCATTATGATACCATTACCTTGTAAATTTACTAAAATTAAAATATTTTAAATATTAGTAATTTGAATTTTTGAATTTTATAATACTGTAAAATTCTGTAATGTTTTTTATATACTTTTTATTTATTATGTTAAAAATTATTTCAAAATTAATTTAGTAAAATAAATAATTGATGCATTTTTTTATTTATCATAAATATAATAATTATGTAGTTTATTAAATTTATTAAAAAAAACAACAACAACAAATTAATTTTAATAAAAATATTAAATCTATATTTATTATAAAACATGGAAAAACATAATTTAATAGATTTTAAAATTTTTATACTTTATAATGTTACTGTCAACACTGGTTTTTTTAAAAAAAATAAATTTTACAAATTTAAAAAAATTTATAAAATAAAATAGACTAGCTGGTATACTAGGGTACTTAATAAAACTATAAAAATAATATTCAAAAATCTCAAATCTAAAACTACTGTCTCTATGACTTAATATAGCATTTAGGTGATCATAATAATCATTTAAAATTTACAAATTAGAAATTTTTAAAAAATAAATAAATTACATTAAATTATATATTTTTTCTTAATTTAAAAATAAAAAATTATTATAATTACCAACATAATTTTAAGTCCTTCCTGAAAATTCTGATTTATTAAATACATCTCTAGCTATGACCGGATCGGTGATCATAATTTGCGGACAGTTTCCCAAATATACGGTAAATATTGGACCATATTTTTTGGCCAATTTTCTCATAGCGTAATCCCAATGATGTTTAGTTCTAAATGCTAAATGATTTTCAACAAAAAAAAATAGATAAATAAATATTTAATAATTTTTTGATTAAAACAAAATAATAATACTAATGTAAAATATTAGTTGATTATTATTATTATTATTATTATTATTATTATTATAAAACCTAATAAATTGCCGATCAATGGTAATGGGAATGGACCGGGAGGTAGACTATAATATTGGTAATAAAATTTTGCCAAATAGTAGACCAAATAACCAATTAGTAGACTTATAATTGTTGTCCATATATCTGGTATAATCAATGTTAATAATTGTATCAATACAGACATTACTGTAATAATAATTATTAATGTTATTAATAATTTAGGTTTAAAAAAATTTATTTTTTTGATGAAATTATATTTTTAGCTGTTTTCAGATACTGTGCATTTTTGATATTAAAACAAAATTACAAATATCATTTATAAGAAATTTCAAATTTAAAATAAATATATTATAGTCATCAATAAAAAATAAAAATTTTAAAAAATTCAAATTATCAAAACAATAGTTGTTATTATAATATTTATATTGAAGAAATAAAAAAACATTTTTTAACTTAACTTAAAACTGTATAAATAGATTATCAATTTGTAATACTGTCAATATTTATATATATAAATTGTTTATTAAGTTTAATTGTGTTAATATTTAAAACAATTTTTTAAACATTATGTAAAAAGATTTTAATTATATTTATAAGTGCATAAATTATTAATATTTAAAATTTAATAAATAGTTTAAAATCTATAACTTAAAGTTTTTTATTGTTAATTAAAACATAAAACAAGCATTTAGTACCCTATATAAACTATATATTATAATTTAAAATAATACTCAAATATTTAATGGAAAAATACTATTAATTTGTTTTTTGTTTGAAATAAAAATTATTTTGTACTTAATATTATTATTTTAGTGAATATTAAATTAAATAATATTGAGTACAAGTATTCATGATATGATATTTCAATAAAAGTTTACTAGAAATAATTTTTTTTTATAAAAACATTAATAATTTTTATATTATTAATTTTAACTTACTAATGTTATAATAACAAAATATAATTTAAATCAAAAAAAAACTATATTTAAAATATAAAGAAAATAATACAATAATCTTATGTTTAATTAATACTTTGTTAGTAATAAAAATTGTAAAAATCTTATATTGTAATCTATATTATTATTATTATTAAATAATAATTATAAAATAAAATATATAAAAAATTATTAAAAAAAACTTGAAAAAATTAACACCATAAATATACCATAAATAACCATAAATAAACAAATTAATAATATAATTAGTACAGTATAAACTAAAATATATAAATCTAGTGATAAACATCAAACAATTGTCTATATTTTCTAATATATATATATATATATAAACTTTATATATAATTAGCATAAATTTCAATAATAATAATAATATCTAATTAGATCAATAAAACTTAAAAAAATAATAATAATAATAATTTATAATGATTTAGATTTAAACATAATTGTATAACTACTGGGACTAATTAAATCGATATTATTAGGATCGGCATCAAAACCCTGATGACTGTCCAAAACAATGTCATAGTTTTGTGTCGACTGTAGAAATCGGGTCAAAATCAGAAACAGTTCAGCGATGGCCAACTTATCGCCTAAACATATACGACGTCCGACACCGAAAGGCATGTAAGCTGTTTGTTGTAAACGGTTTATCATATAATGGTTGTCACTGTCGATGAAGCGCTCGGGTATGAAGTCGTTAGGATTTGTCCAATACTTGTTGCTATCGTTTCGCATAATAAATCCCTGATAGACAACTACTGACATATTTTTCGGTATCATATAATTACCTGAAATATATATATATATATATATATTTAAAATAAAAATATTTAACTTTAAAAAAAACAATAAAACTAAAACCTATTTTACTGTCGACTATTGCTTTATGTGAGACAGCAATGGGCGTAACATTTCTGAATCTTAGGGTTTCCGATATGAATGCCATTACATAATGACATCGATGTCTATCGTCAAGTGTTGGCAATCGGTCACCGATTTTATCGGAAATTTCTTTACGTAATTTTTTCTGTACCACTAAATCGTTGGCCAAAAACAATAGTAGCCATTGAAATGTATTATAGGATGTATCGGTTCGGGCAAGAAATATATCCAACACAATCATACCGAGCTTATCATCTGTTAGATAGTTAGCCACAGATTGTTTGCTACTATCTCCCTGTCTCTGTCCCACATCCCGGAGCGCCGTATTTTTCGCTTCAATCAATGTATCGCATAAATCTCGTTCAATAGACGGATCGTAATCTTTCAAATGATTTCTAATTTTTTTAACTATAATTTCACGAATTTCTTCATAAATTTTAGTTATTTTTTCAAAAGCTTTATAGTCTATCCATTGAATTAGTTTTGAATATTCCCATAAAACAAATCTAGTTTTCCAATCGTAAATTATATCGTTTAAAACATATTTGAATTTTTTAAACTCTGGATCATCGATATTATAACTAGTAGTTTAAAATAAATAATTAAAAATATAGTTAAAATGTTTTTTTTAAATTAGCAAAAATATTTATACTTTTCATTGAAAGCACTGTTAGCCATAATGTTTAAAAATGTTAGATAAATATAATTTGAATGTTCAATGGGTTTGTTTGGACCAATAGTTTTCAACATTGTTTCCACTGTTTTATCGACACAATCGACGATTACGTTAACCAATCGTTCATTGTTTGAATATTTTCTGTGAAAATTTATTTCATTTTTGTTATTATTTTTTTGAAAAAAATAAATATTTTTAAATTTTTTTGAATTAAAAAAATAAAATCAAAATCAATAGACACGTACTTAACTGCCGCGTGCGTAACATTTCTACGCGTTTCCAAATTGGGTCCGTAATCAGCCATTATGATACCATCACCTAATAGTTTTACTAAATTAAAATATTTATAAATTTTTATTTATTTATTTTTTTGAATTTTTGAATTATTATTAGTATTAATCAGTGTTTGAGAAATACAATACTTTATAAAATACAGTTAAAAACTAAAAGATAATATTTTTATTTAAGATTATTATTATTATTATTATTATTATTATTATTATTATTATTATTATTATTATTATTATTATTATTATTATTATTATTATTATTATTATTATTATTATTATTATTATTATTATTATTATTATTATTATTATTATTATTATTATTATTATTATTATTATTATTATTATTATTATTATTATTATTATTATTATTATTATTATTATTATTATTATTAGTACTAGTTTGATCTAGATTTTCTGTTTTGTAAACCAAATTGGTCATGTACTATATATATATATATATTATATTATATACTATATAAACAATTTTATTCTATGCCAACACTGGTATTAATAAATTTTTTTATAAATAAAATAAAATAAAAATTATAACTAGACTAGGGTACTTATTCTAATAAAAAATACCAAAAAAAAATTAACATAATCTAACACTCTATGACCTCATTATAACAACATGTTGTTAGATAGCATCCATATGTAACACCTATGTAATACCTGCACTCATCCCGCCCCCTAAAAAAATAAATAAATGAAATCCTACCAGTGCTTCCAATAATCATTTAAAATTTATCAATTAAAACATTTTTTTTATAAAAAATAGTTATTTTTAAAAAAAAAATTATTACCAAAATAAGTTTGAATCCGTCCCGAAAATTCTGATCTATTAAATACATCTCTAGCTATGACCGGATCGGTGATCACTATTTGAGGACTGTTTCCCAAATATACGGTAAATATTGGACCATATTTTTTGGCCAATTTTCTCATATTGTATTCCCAATGATGTTTAGTTCTAAAATCTATGTTTTTTTATAAAAAAATAAAATAAAAATAGATAAATTATTAATAATTTAGATTTTTAGAAAATACTAATAATAATAATAATAATAATAATAATAATATTTATTGTAAAAAATAGTTGACTATTTAGTATACAAACTTAAATAATTGCCGATAAATGGTAATGGAAATGGACCGGGAGGTAGACTATAATATTGGTAATAAAATTTTGCCAAATAGTAGACCAAATAACCAATTAGTAGACTTATAATTGTTGTCCAGATATCCGATATAATCAATGAATATAATTGTCTCAATACAGACATTATTGTAATATTATTATTATTAACATAAGTTTAAAATAAAAATTTTAATTAAATTTTATTTTACAGATACTGTACTTTAAATACTTAATAAAAATATTATATGAAAATTTACTTTAATCATTTATAATAAAAAATTCAAATTTTAAAATATCCTAGTCATCAATAGACATTAAAATTGAAAAAATACAAAAAATTATTAAAACAATAATTGTTTTTATAATATATATATTAAAAAAACACTGTTTAGTTTAAAAGAAAATTTTTAATTTTTTAATATAATTAGTGAATATAATTGTCTCAATTCAGACATATTTTGTATATTATTATTAAAATAAGTTTTGAAAAAAATTAGTGAAATTTTTTAGTTTAAGTTGTTTTATATACTGTATTATAATATATACTTATAACTTAAAATACTTAATTAATTTAATTACTTAATAACTTATTAATTATTAATAATTTAAATATTTGATAATGATTTGACAATTATATACTGTATATATATATATAAGGATTGGGAAAAAATACCAAGGTTCAATTTGTAGACTACATAACCAATTAGTAGACTTATTATTGTTGTCTATATATATATATATATATATATATATATATATATATATATAATGATATAATGATTATAAAAATAATAGTCTCAATACAGGACTTATTGTGTATATATTATTATTAATTTAAAAGTTTTTAATTTTTTTAAAAATTTTATGCCCTACCCTCGCTTCCCCTCCCCCACTAATGCACCCCTGGTTTCAACATTTTTTTTTTAAATTATTTAGGTATAGTTACACATACTTTATATAATTTATGTTTAGTTTTTAATATTGAATTTGTTTTATTTGGTAAAATAAAATAACTGCTGTATCAGCTAATGATATGACAATTATTATATATGACTGTATAATAGATTACTATTTTTTATTATTACAAAATAAATTATATTTTGTACCCTAAATAATATTAATTTATTATTTTATTGTTTATTACAAAATAATTATAATATTTATATAAAAAAACAACTTTTCATGATATGATATTTGAAAAAAACATTAGAAAAACATAGACACTAATAAATTTTACATCAATAAAATCATTAATACTTCAAAAACATTTAATAATAACATCTAAAAAAACATAGAAATAGTTTTTTTTAAATATTTAATTTAAGTTACTATTTGTTATAATATGACCAAAAAAAATTTAATTTTAAATCAATAAATTATATTTAAAATAATACAATAATAATCTTATATTTAATTTTATATTTAGTTTTTTTTAGTAATAAAAATTGTAAATTTTATTTAACAATTGTTTTTCAGATACTGTACTTTAAATACTTATAAAAATATTATATGAAAATTTACTTTAATCATTTATTAGAAATTAAAATTTTAAAAAATATCCTAGTCATTAAATAAACATTAATATTTAAAATAAATAAAAAATTATTATTATAAACATATATTTAACAAAAAACATTATTTTTAAAAGATTTTATTATTTTATAAGTGCATAAATTATTAATAGTTTTAAAATATACTAAATAGTTTTAAATAATTAATTTAATAGTATTAATAGTTAATTAAAATATAAAATAAGCATTTAGTACCCCATAATATTTTTTTTAAAAATAATTTCCCAGTGAAAAAAGGAGGGAATTTATAGACAGTATATAATTTAATATTTATGTAATAATATTTTAGTATAACTAAATAGATGTAATGAAAATTGTAAATTTTATAACACAATAGACATAAACTTTTTTTTTAAAAAAAATTATGAAATAATAATCAAATATTTAATGCAATAAAAACATTATTATTGCAATAATTTTTACTTTGTAAACAATATTATTATTTTAATAAATATTACAAAATAATAATATTGTGTACAATTTTTCATGATATGATATTTAAAAAAAAAGTTTTAAAATATTAGAAAAACAATAAAAACATTATAATTAATAAAAACATTAATATTTTTAAATCTAATAATACAGTATAATTCATATATAGAAATAATTTTATATTTAATTTAATTTACAATTGTTATAACTTAATGTAATTATTATATATTTAAAATATAAAGCAATTAACATAATAATCTTATATTTAATTAAAAAATTTAATTTAATCAATTATTTAATTGAATAAAACTATTATTTTTTTGGCAATAAATTATATTTTATACTTATTAATATTATTTTATTAAATATTACAAAATAAAAATTTTTAAAAATCAAGTTTTCATGATATGAAAAAAGTTTTAACAATTTAGAAAAACATAGACTTATAAACTTTCTAATAAAAAATATTAATAATTTTTATATCTAATTTAATTTAATATTATTATAATGAAAAAAAATATAATTTTAAACAATAAATTATATTAAAAATATAATGAAAATAACAAAATAATATTATATTTAATTTTTTATTTACTTTTTTTAGTAATAAAAAATTGTTAAATAATTAAAGTATTATACTTAAATTATTATAATTTGAAATTAAAACTGTTAGATGTTAAATGTACAGGATTATTTAATGAGTCATTTTTAAAAACATCATATTGTAATTAATGTTATTATTTTTACTAATTATTATAAAATAAAATATAAAAATTATAATAATTACTAGAAAAAATTAACACAATAAATATATATATATATATACTGTATATCTTTATATATATAATTGATTTTTATTTATTTAGTTGTGTAGTAAAAACTATAAAAAATAATGTAATTATTATAGTATTAAATTAATATATAAATATAGTGATAAACAAAAAACAATTAACTAAATTAATTTTCTAATTTTGTAAATATATAAATATAAATATATATATAATTAGAATAAATTTCAATAATAATAAATATAATAATATTTATAAAAAAAATCTAAAATTTGTATAATATTTTTTTTAGCAATTTATTAATATAATATATAAATTAGATAATAAACTATATATTATAAATTATATAGTAATTATGATTTAGATTTAAACATAATTGTATAACTACTGGGACTAATTGAATCGCTATTATTAGGATCGGCATCAAAACCCTGATGACTGTCCAAAACTATGTCATAGGTTTGTGTCGATTGTAGAAATCGGATCAAAACTAGGAACAGGTCAGCGATGGCCATCTTTTCGCCTATACATACACGACGTCCGACACCAAAGGGTATGAAATCTGGTTGCGAACCACTGGTTGGTGTCATATAATGGTTGTCACTGTCGATGAAGCGCTCGGGTATAAAGTCATTAGGATTTGTTGTCAAATACTTGTTGCTATCGTTTCTCAATATAAACCCCTGATAGACATATACTGACATATTTTTCGGTATCATATAATTACCTAAAAAAAATAATTTGAAAAAATATAATTATAAAATACATAAATTTAATCTAAAAAAATAAAATAATAATTATTGTATACAAAAAACCTATTTTACTGTCGACTATAGCCTTATGTTCGACGCCTACGGGAACAACATTTCTGAATCTTAATGTTTCCGATATGAATGCCATTGAATAATGACATCGTTGTCTATCGTCAAGTGTTGGCAATCGGTCACCGATTTTATCGGAAATTTCATTTCGTAATTTTTTTTGCACATTTAAATCATTTGCTAAAAACAATAGCATCCATTGAAATGTATTATAGGATGTATCGATTCCGGCAAAAAACATATCAAACACAGTCATACCGAGCTTATCATCCGTTAGATACTTAGCCACAGATTGTTTGCTAACTCCCACTCCCTGTCCCACTCCCTCCCGGAGCGCATTATTTTTAGCCGCAATCAATGTATCGCAAAAATCTCGTTCAATATTCTGATCGTAATCTTTATAATGAATTTTTAGTTTTTCAATAATAATTTCACGAATTTCATCGAAATGTTTAAGTATTTTTTTTAAATATTTATAATAAATCCATTGAATTAGTTTTGAATATTCACAGAAACTAATTAGTTGTGCCAATTCGTAAAATAAATCTTTTAAAACAAATTTGAATTTTTTAAATTCTGGATCATCGATACTATATCTAGTATTTAAAAAAAATAATAAATAAAATACTAAATAATTAAAAATATTGTCAATATATATATATATATATATATATATATATATATATATATATACTTTTCATTGAAAGCACTATTAGCCAAAATGTTTAAAAATGTTAGATATATATAATCTGATGGTTCAATGGGTTTGTTTGGACCAATAGTTTTCAACATTGTTTCCACTGTATTGTCCACACAATCGACGACTACGTTAACCAATCGTTCATTGTTTGAATATTTTCTTTAAAAAATTTATTTGTTGTTGTTATTTATATAAAAAATAAATTTTATAAATATTTTTTTTTATTATAAAATAAATAATAAAATCAAAATCTAATAAACACGTACTTAACTGCCGCGTGCGCAACATTTCTACGTGTTTCCCAATTGGGTCCGTAATCAGCCATTATGACACCATCACCCATTAATTTGACTTATAAATTAAAATATTTAATATTAATATTTTTATTTTAAATTTAATCAAATAGTAGAATATATTATGTTTTTAAAAAAAATTGCTTTAAAATATTTAATAAAAATATAATTATTATTATTATTATTATTATAATCGTGTATTTTTAGTTAATTATTATAACATGTTGTTAGACTGTCTTGCTGTTGTCTACCTGCCTCTGCCCTCCCCCCCCCAAAAAAAAATAAATAAATAAAAACCACCTACCAGTGCTTACAATAATCACTTAAAATTTACAAATTAACTAATTTTATAACTTTTTTATTTTTTTAAGCCAAATTTGTAATGTAATATACATTATAATTATTATTTTATATACTGTATAATCTATCTGTCAACACTAGTTTTTAAATAAAAAAATACTAACAAAATAAATTTTTAAAAAAAATCATAACTAGTCTAACTTAATCACAATAAAACTATAAACAATTTTTGTTGTTGTTGTCGAAAAAAAACCTATAATCTAACATTATTTATATGACTCAATATAACAACAAAGTTTCCCCTCCCCCCTCCTCAAAAAAAAACCTACCAGTGCTCACAATAATCATAATCAAATTTACTAATAAGAAATAATATTTTTTTTTTTAAAAATAAAATAAAATTATAATTATTTATTTAATAAAATAAAATAAAAAGTAAAAACAATTACCAAAATAAGTTTGAGTTTTTCCCGAAAAATCCGATTTATTGAATGCTTTTCTAGCTATGACCGGATCGGTGATCATAATTTGCGGACTGTTTCCCAAATATACGGTAAATATTGGACCATATTTTTTGGCCAATTTTCTCATAATATAATCCCAATGATGTCTACTTCTAAATGCTATAAATGATTTTTGCATAAAACAAACAAACAAAATAGATAAATAAATATTTAATAATTTTTTTTGATTAAAACAAATTAATAATAATAATATTTAAATGAAATAAATAATTATTATTATACAAACTTAATAAATTGCCGATCAATGGTAATGGGAATGGACCGGGAGGTAGACTATAATATTGGTAATAAAATTTTGCCAAATAGTAGACAACATAACCAATTAGTAGACTAATAATTGTTGTCCAGATATCCGATATAATCAATGAATATAATTGGCTCAATGCAGACATTATTGTAATAATAATAATAATTTATATTATTATTAAAATAAGTTTAAAATTAGAAAATTTTTAGTTAAATGTTTAATTTTTTTTTAAACTCAAATTTTATTTTAAGTTGTTTTCAAATCTACTGTAGTTTTAAATACTTATAACTCTCTCCTCCACTAATTAAATCAAAATTAGGTTTCAATATATAAGTTAAGGTATAGTCAGACATATATATGATTACTGTTATATTAAATATAAATATAATATTATAATATAAAATCAATACAAACTTTATTGTAATAATAATAATAACAATTACTATTAATCTTAGTTTAATAAATAATTTTAATTTTATGTTGACTATTAGATACTGTATTTTAAATACTATACGCAAATAACAAACGCAAATAATAAACGCAAGTAATTAAAATTTTAAAATATCATAGTCATTAATATTTTGATAATATTAAAATAAAAATTTAAAAAAAAAATCATATTATCAAAACAATAATTATTATTATATTATATATATATATATAAATTAAAAAGATATTATTATTAATATTTATTTATTATTAATTAATAATTATTATATAGTAAATAGTTTTAAACAATAACTTAAAAGTTTTTATAGTTAATTAAAATATAAAATAAGTATTTAGTACCCCATAAAAAACAATATATATTTTTTTAAAAATTATTTTCCAGGAAAAAAAGGAGGGAATTTATATATAGTATATAATATAATATATGTATAAAATATTGTAAATATAATTTTATAACTCAATAGACATAAACTACTACTAAAATAATGAAATAATAGTCAAATATTTAATGCATTAAAACAATTATTTTGTACTTAAATATTATTATTATTTTATTAAATATTTCAAACATAATAATAATCTTTAAAAAGAAACTTAAGTTTTCATGAATGATATTTCAGAAATTTTTTTTTTAAATTAGAAAAACATAGACTAATAATTTTTTTTTATTTTAATTAAAACACTAATACTTATAAATATAATAATACTATAATATTTCTTATTAAAATTATATTAAAATTTTTTCTACATTTAATTCCAGTTACTATTGTTATACTATGACAAAACATAATTTAAAAACAATAAAATATATTTAAAATATAATAGAAAGAAAATAATATAATAATCTTTAATTTTAATTAGTTTTGTTAGTGTAATAAAAATTGTAAATTACTTAAATTTGTATTATTATAAAATTATTAAATACATTACTTAATAATTTAGTCACTTTTTTATAAATACATTATATAGTAATCTATATATTTATATTATTAAATATTATAAAATGAAATTTACTAAAAAAATGTTATCTAATTAAACAAAAAAAAAATAAAAATAAAAAATCATGAATTACATAAAAATAGATTTTTTTTTTTTAAAATAATAGAGAAATTTCTAGAAAGTTTAAAAAAACAAATTTCTATCTATGATATCATCATGGTTAATTTAGTTTTTTTTTATCAATATTTGTTATATATTTTTTTAAACAATAAATTGTCTTTAAATTATAAATAATTAAATTTATTAGTATTTGGATTTTTATTATTAATTAAAGTATCAAATAAATTAATTAAATTGTTTTATTTAATAATAATGTGTATATATATATAATAAAATGATTAGTAAAATTTTACAAAATTGATTAGTATTATTAAATAATTATAATAATTATATATATATATGTATCCTATTTTGTATAGTAGTGTTACTAAAATTATATGCTATAATGTTATATATGAATAATAATGTATTATTAAAACTAGTAAACTATTAAAAATTAATGAAATAATATTCAAATATTTAATGCAATAAAACTATTATTATTTTTTTTTGCAATAATTTTCATTTTGTACTCAATATTATTATTTTAATAAATATTACAAAATAATAATATTGAGTACAATTTTTCATGATATGATATTTTTTAAAATAATTAGAAAACCAATAAAAACATTATATTTCATAAAAACATTAATACTTATAAACGTAATAATATTAATAACAAACATAGAAATAATTTTTGTATTTAATTTAATTTACTATTGGTATAATTTAATATAATTATATTTAAAATATAACGATAATAAAACAATAATCATATATTTAATTATTTAGTTAATTTTTTTAGTAATAAAAATTGTAAATTAATTAAAAATATAATTAATTTATTATTATAATTTGAAATTTAAAACTGTTAAATTTAATTTCATTTCAGTTAAATGTACAGGGTTATCTAATAAGTTATTTTTGCAAAAAATTTATATTGAAATCAATATTATTATTTGCAATTGCATTTAGTAATCATAAAAATATAAGCATATTAATTTATAAACACTATATAATTATATATATATATATATATATATATATATATAATATTACTGTAGTATAACTATAATAAATGTTAATAAAATTGTGATTATAATTATATAACTCTATAGACATAAACTAAAAAAAAATTAATGAAATAATAATCAAATATTTAATGCAATAAAACTATTAGATTTTTGCAATAAATTTTATTTTATACTCAATATTATTATTTTATTGAATATTACAAAATAATAATAAGAAATAAAGTTTACTACAAATAAATTTTTTAATAAAAACATGTTTATATTTAATTAAAGTTTATATAAATATAAATAAATAATTTTATAACTCAATAGACATAAATTTTTATTTTAAATTATGAAATAATAATTAAATATTTAATGCAATATAGCTATTATTTTTTTGCAATAAATTTTATTTTCTACTTATTATTATTTTATTAAATATTAAATAAATACAAATATTGTGTACAAGTTTTCATGGTATGATATTTTTTTGAAAAAGTTTAAAAAACATTTTTATTTAATTAATTTAATTTACTATTGTTATTATTTATAATAATTATTTAAAAAAAAAATCTATAATTTAATTATTTTGAATAACTATGTAATTATATAGATCCGATTGATCTAAAAATTTAATTCAAAATCAAACTATATATTTAAATTATATACATCTATATTAATGTAAACTTTAGAGCTTTACTAAACATAATAAATAATACTAATTGTAATAAACAAGTTTAAGGATTATATATTGAATATATATATCATATATAAAGTGATATCCTATTTCTGGTTTCATGTGATTTCAAATGTATGATCAAAACAAAACACGTGTTTTTAGATTTTAATAATTTTTATTTAATGAAACAGTAATGGAGTTGTTATTGAATAATGTTTTTAATCAGAAATTAAGGAAATTAAATCAATTGAAAAGTTTATCATTAAATTTAAAACAAATTACTAACAATTGCTTTGAATTGTTGGAAACCGTTGATGAAGTAAATATCTCAACAAATGATTACATTTCAATGAAAATCACTGATTATAGTGACTGTTATGACAACAACAACAACAACACACGTGTTTGCGCGTGATGTCAATGATTGCGATAAATGTTTTACAAGAAAAGATGATCTTAATTATCATTTATTCCGATGTCATTAACTATAAGATTTATATATTAAATATTAAATTATATATATTTTTAATATTTAATATATATATATATTAAAAATGATGAATTTAAATATAAATAATTAGTTATAAATCTTTTTTAAAAAAATATTATTTTATTGTTATAAATTTAATCAATATTTATAGAAATATATCTAATATATAAAATAAATTAATGATAATTATATTTATAAATATTAAATTATTGATATATATATATATCAAATTATATATAATATATATATACTGTATATATATATTGATAAATACAATATATTTGACTAGTTTTGTTGTTGTTTGTATTTAATGTTTTTAATGTTTAATATAATTAATGTTTTTTCTTATATAAAACTTTTTTAATTGATATTTATTTATCTAAACAATAATTATCATATAATTAGGATTTCAAATAAAATATAATTATCATTAATTTATTTTATATATTAGATATATTTTTATGTATTTTGATTAAATTTAATAACAATAAAATAATATTTTTTTAAAAAAAAGAAGATTTATAACTAATTATTTATATTTAAATTCATCATTTTTAATATTATTGATACTTAACTTTAAAAAAATCAATTAAAAATTTAAGTATTAATCATTAATTTAATTAAAACATAATTTTAATTAATAAATTAAAATACTAAAAATTAGTTAATTAACGTAATAATAATATATGATAAAAATATTTACTATTGTTTGAAAAATTATTATTGTTTGATTGCATTTAAAAAACTGTAAGAAAATTATTTAGCTATAGTTAAAATAGTATTAATAATTATTTTTTATGATAATTTTATAGAAAGGATACAAATTTCTTAATAATTAATATAAAATAATTGAATCAATAAAAAAATTTTTTAGTAAATATAAGTAGTTGTCATTAATTAATCAAATATAAATCTATATTCATATTAATTAATTAATTTTTTTTGTACAAAATTATAAAAATATTACTAAAGCTGTAATAAAACAATTTAGCTATTGTTTTAAATTATTTATAATTATAGTTATATATAGTTTAATTGAACAAGTGATGGCAAACATTTATATAAAATAAAAATAACTTTTAGCTATTATTATTAATTACTAATTTGATAAAATATAATTAGTTTAAAAATTAAATTTATTTTTAAATAAACATTTTATATTGTTAATCACTATTATATATATATATACGATTATATATAATGATATATATATATATATATATTGTAAATCTATTTAATTTATAATTAAATATATAAATATGTAAGAAAAAATTAAATATACACTAAAAACATAATCTAATTTCGTATCGTAAAAATATTGATATCATTAACTTTAAACTTTAATAACTTTTTTATTTTTTAACTTAAATAAACAAATTTGATATCAAATAATAGAGTAATAAATCACAATTAAATTGATATACTAGATGGTCAAAACAATGGTTTAAATAACAAAATATATCAAGGTAAAGTTATAGGTGTTAATAATTTAGGTACAAAAATTATTTTCGTGTTTTTAAAACGCGCGTGATTTCAGACACATTGTTGGGACCAATTGATTCCAATGCATTGTTATTAATTTGAATACACGTAAATAAACAGTAAATGCAGTGATTATCATAAAAATGGTTAAAATACAAGAATTTTCAGATGCAATTCGCCAACAAATGTATGATATGAGAGTCAGCACCGGAAAGTCATACGCAAAAATAGCGGAACTGTTTACAACAACTGATAATACTGTCCGATCAATTGTAAAGAAAGTCGAAAAGTACGGGACAGTTAGAAATCTCGCAAGAAGTGGTCGAAAAAGATGTACCAGTGCTAAACAGGACAGGATATTGAGTCGAATTGTGGCAAAAAATAAGAAGTTGACCACCGATGAGATTAAGGAAGAGTTGGCCGCCAGAAACATTTTGTGTCACCGAAACACTATTAGACACCGGATTCAAGAAATGGGTTATTACAGTGGTATTGCGCGAAGACGTCCAATGATAAGCCTAACAAATCAGAGAAAACGATTAGACTTTGCACGAAAGTACATCCGGATGCCTATGTCATACTGGAGGAAGGTCTTGTGGTCAGATGAGTCAAAATTTGAGATTATTAGTACTAAACGTCGCCAACGAGTGTTTAAAAAGAGAGGCGAAAGCATTAATCCTGATAATATATGTCCAACTGTGAAGCACTCGAAATCAGTTATGGTATGGGGGTGTATGACAGGCCAGGGAGTTGGCCATTTGGTCGAAATTCCATCAACTATGGACCGCTACATTTACGTTAACGATATTTTGACCCCACATTTGCTTCAGAGTGCCAGAGATCTACAAATAAGCGATGATTTTTTATTTCAAGCGGACAACGACCCAAAGCACACATCAAAATTGGCAAAGAAATGGTTGTCTGACAATCAAATTGAGACACTTGAGTGGCCGCCACAGAGCCCTGACCTCAATATTATTGAACATCTATGGGATGAATTGGACAGACGTGTGCCAAAGAGCGAAAGAAAAAGTTTTTCTGCGTTTAAAGAGTCGTTATTTAATGTCTGGAAAAATATACCTGAAGAAGTCACAGAAAAGCTGATCCAAAGTGTTCCAAGAAGATTGCAGGCTGTGATTGATGCCAACGGAGGCAATACTCGATATTAATATTGTTTTTACTAAATTAATAGCTTTATTTTGTTAATAATATTTAAAGTTTTGATTTCACGAAAATACTTTTTGTACATAACTTTTTTTACCATTTCTTACTTCTTATGCTTTTTTATAGATAATATGATAATTAATGCAATTTTATTTATTGACTTATAAACTTTGAAAAGTGTTCTTTCATTTGATATCAAATTTGTTTATTTAAGTTAAAAAATAAAAAAGTTATTAAAGTTCAAAGTTAATGATATCAATATTTTTGCGATACGAAATTAAATTATGTTTGCAGTGTAGTAATAATTATTATTTTTGTTATTTTTTTGTTTGTTTTAATATACAATAAAAACATTTTAGTTAAAATAAACAGATAAAATCATTTATTAAAAAAAACTGTAATATCATAATTTAGCCATAGTTTTAATTAGCATTAATAATTATTTTTTAAAAAACATTAATAAATATTGTTAATAATAATAACAAAACAGGTTTTAGGATTATAAATATATATACCATATATAAAGTGATAACTTTTTTCTTGTTTTATTTGATTTCAAATGTATGATCAAAACAAAACACGTGTTTTAATATTTTAATATTTATTTTTTGTTTAGTGAAACAGTAATGGAGTTGTTATTGAATAATGATTTTAATCAAAAATTAAAAAAACTAAATCAATTGAAAAAATTATCATTAAATTTACAACAAATTACTAACAATTGCTATAAATTGTTGGAAACCTTTGATGAAGTAAATATCTGTACAAATGATTACATTTCGGTGAAAATCACTGATTATAATGACTATTATGACAATAACAACAACACACGTGTGGATAATAATAACACCCAATTCACGTGCTTTTGGCCCAAATGTCGGTTCAATACTATTACAAAACGGCGTTTAATTAATCATCAATTGATTCATTCATCTGAAAAACCAATTAAATGTAATAATTGTAATAAAACATACAAAACTCAGTCACAATTGTATTCTCATAAAATTGCTAAACATTTAATTAATAAATATGTTTGCAATGTTAACGATTGCGGCAAATATTTTAATACAATTATATATTTAAATCGACATAAATCTAGAGTTCACTTTAATAATGTATTTAAATGTTTATATGAAAATTGCAACAAAACATTTAAACAAAAATGTAATTTAATATATCATCAAAATATGATACATATTAAATCTGAGAGATTTAAATGTAATGTCGAGTATTGCGATAAAACATTTGCAACTAATTGTAATTATCAAAAACACATATTAATTCATTTGAAGAAAAAACAATTTCATTGTTCAGTAAAGGAGTGTTTGAAAACATTTACAACAAATCATTGTTTACGACAACACTTATCCAGAGATCATTCAATTGAACCAAAATTTAAATGCGATTATAATAATTGTGTTAAAATATTTAGTACATCATTTGGTTTATATCTACACAAACGTACAGTTCATTTGGGTATAAAGCCATTCAAATGTGATGTCGACGACAACTGTGACAAACAATTTGCTGGAAAAACTGATCTTTCAAGACATCGACGAACACATTCAGGCATTAAATCATTCAAATGTGATGTCAATGATTGCAATAAATATTTTAACAGAAAAAATAGTCTTAATTATCATATATTTCAATGTCATTAACTTTATATATAATTTTTTTTATATATATATATATATATATATTAATACAATATGATTCATTGATTTGATGTTTGATTAATTTTTTTTTTGGTTTAAAAATCAATATTATTTTCTATATAAAAAATTAAATTTTCTATTTAGTAGTTAATTATATTTATCTAAGATTTTTAATTAAAAAATATTATCGATTAAATTATTAATATTAAAATAAATTGTTTTTAGTTTTAGTAAACTAATTTAAGTTATAACTAAATTTATTATTACTATTATTTAATATTACTTAATTAAGAAAAACAGTTTATACATTTGAACAATAAAATGTGTTATCTATTTGAAAATTATTGTTATTGTTTGGATCGGTTAGCTGGTAGTAGACGTCACCATAATATCTATCAGTATATGACTTAACTATCGATATTTTATCAAATAATGTGTTTTGATAATAGAAAAATAGTTTAGATATTACTGTATAGATAAGCGACACTTTCAATAGATAATCCATTGTTAAACACATCATAAAATAGGATAAGCGTTGGGAAAGTGTTAGCAATTGGATCGGATGTTTGCGAACTCCCAGTGCTTCGTACCAGTACTTCATAAAACCTTCGTAACTGAACAACCATTTAGGCATAACTCCATTGAGTCCTACATAAAAAAAATAAAAAATAAAATAAATAATTAATTAATTTAATAATATTTTTAACAATAAAAAAGATTATTTATCTATAAATACCTATCAATTAAAACTATTTATTTAATATATATTTTTAAGTATATAATATTGTATTATGTTTTTTAAAAAAACACTATATGTTTTCAACTAATGTTTTTAATTTATTGTAATAAATAATTACATTAAAAAATATTTATTTATTAAATTTATTATTATTATTATTATTAAAAATATATTATAGCATTAAATTATATACAGATTTTAAATAAATAAAATAAACAATTAATTTATAACATTATTTTTAACCAAAAAAAAAACATTATTTATCTACCTATCAATTAAAACTTTTTATTATTTTATATATATTTTTAAATATATATGTAAAGTATAAACACTTTATGTTTAAAAATAACTTTAAAATATCTATATTTCACTTAAATATAGCAATTATTTAATTATCAAATAGACTTAAATTTAGCATTTTTGCCATTTATAGAAAGTATTCACTTTCTATATGTTTATTACTTTTCAAATAACTGCCGACTATTTTATGGGTCAAGTATTGCCTAAAATCCCTATATAAGGGTCAGCACTGACCTTACAATTCATGCTTAGATATACCTGTGCTTCACGACTGCAACATATAAACTAAATTGTAATACAATTTCATATCAGAAATAAAATGATTTAATAAAAACACAATTAGTTTTTTAATCTATTGGTGCGTCAAATAAATAAATGCCGTAAAATTCAACTAATATTTTACATATAATATTATATTATATGTTTTTTTTAAAAACACTATCTGTTTTCAACTAATGTTTTTAATTTATTGTAATAAATAATTTTAAAAAATGTATTTACTAAATTTAATATTATTATTATTATTTTTTTTGTTAAAACATTTTCTTATATTTTATTATTTATTATTATTAAAAATATATTATAGCATTAAATTATATACAGATTTTTATTTTGTAAATATAAAGTAAATTATTGACTGATTTGTTTCATTTCATTAATATTATATATATTATGATTATTATGATACAATATTATATACGGTATATATATATATATGTTTAATATGAGAGCACCCATACCTAAAAACACGCCCTCCGTCAGCGCCATTCCCATCAATACTTTCGGACACTGTTCATCCATATGTCTCTTATAGCATCGTTTGAAACATATATCAAAATAGGCTACCGATTCCTCATACGTATTGTCCTGACAAATGTTAAACCTATCCTCAATACCCATACAATAGCCGATAACTTTCCAAAAATACATGTATTCAACAAATTCCTGGCGATTGGTTGAATGAAACCCACACTGTTTAGGTCTAATACCTGGATGATAATGATAATAATAATAATAATAATAACAGTATTAAAGATAATATATTTTTTAGTAGGTATGAGCTCCACACCTAATAAAAATATAGTTTATTATTTATATAAGTTATATTAAAATAATAATAATAATATGCATTTTGTATACATTGAGAGAGAGAGAGAGAGAGAGAGAGAGAGAGAGAGAGAGTAATACTGAAGAAATGTGTTTTAATTGTTTTATTAGTTTTTTTTGTTGTGTTTGTTATTTAAAACAATTAAGTAAATTTAGTTTAGTGGTTAAAACTAATAATGTTTAAAAAAATAAAATTGCTAATTGTATTTATAATATGTTATAAATAGTAAATTAAGTTTAAATTTTTATTATTTTTAAAAAAATATCAATATTTTTATCAACTTTAATAATGATATATAATTTTTTTAATTAAGTAAATAATTTTTATTTTTTTTGTATATATATGTTCACTAATTATTATTTTATCATAATTATAAAAATTGTAATAAATGTTGAGTAAATGTTTTGTATATTTTTCATGAGAGAGAGAAAGAGAGAGAGAGAGAGAGAGAGAGAGAGAGAGAGAGAGAGAGAGAGAGAGAGAGAGAGAGAGAGAGAGTAATACTGAAAAAATGTGTTTTAATTGTTTTATTAGTTTTTTTGTTGTGTTTGTTATTTAAAACAATTAAGTAATTTTTATTTTAGTGGTTAAAACTAACAATGTTTAAAAAAAATTGCTAATTGTATTTATAATATGTTATAAATAGTAAATTAAGTTTAAATTTTTATTTTTTTTAAATATCAATATTTTTATCAACTTTATAATGATATATATAAATTTTTTAATTAAGTAAATAATTTTTATTTTTTTTATATATATATGTTCACTAATTATTATTTTATCATAATTATAAAAATTGTAATAAATGTTGAGTAATGTTGTGTATATTTTTCATGAGAGAGAGAGAGAGAGAGAGAGAGAGAGAGAGAGAGAGAGAGAGAGAGAGAGAGAGAGAGAGAGAGAGAGAGGTTTAAAATTAAAATAAAGTTTTTTTAAAATAAGGAATTGACTTTAAAATTTTTTTTGTCTAAATTTATACTTATATATAAATATAATGTTTAGTTATTTTTTTAGAAAAAAAATCTAAAACTATTATTTTTCAACATTATTATTATTATTGTAATTAACATATACAAGGCCTAACCTACTAGTCCTATCAGCGACCACTGGGTCATAGCCATATCAAACTGATTCAGCCATAGCTGGCCATCCGATTGCGGATATTTCTGGTTCATCAGTCGTGTAACAGCCATATGACACGTGTTGCGCACCTGCATCAGGGACCGGTGCGATCGGCTATTGGGGTCAAACGGGTCGTCCTCATACCATTTCAGGACGTGTACAGTAGTGGATAGTATACGCAAAAATACCATATACGGTGTCGATGAACGGCCAGTGGCCAGTATGGGTACGATTACTTGCGGTAAATGTATGAGCAATATGTTGCCAATAAAATGGGCTAAATTTAAACTAAATTGCAAAAAAATATTAATAATTTATTGATATTTTTTTTGTGTATTCATTTATATATAAATAAATTATCTAATTGTTAAAAAACATTAGTACATAAAAATAATATTAATTAATTAATTATAATGTGTATAAACATTATATACTGTATAAATATTATATAAAATATTTTTATTTCTATTAAAAAATAAAAATTATTTTTGATTTAGAAATATTTTTTTTAATATAAATTATATCAAATTAAAAAAATTATGTTATTATGAAAATTTTTTTATCCTGACTATTACTAAATTAATTTAGTAACTAAATTTTTTTATAGCTAATTAAAACTAATCAGTTATCTAATTACAGTTTATAATAATAATAATAATAATAATAATAATAAATATTTTGTATTTTTTTTGCATTAATTTCTTATACTTTTTTATATTAAAGTTATTTTATACAATATTGTATTTATCAGTATATATATAAAAAAGACAAAATAAATATTTCATACTATTAAATAAAATATTTAATTTATTGATAATAAATTAATATAAATTAAAATATTGTAATTTATGTGATAATATAAAATAGTATTTAATTTATTTTATTATTTAAAAAAATTTAAATATATATTAATATACCGATACTGGTATATATATTATAAATACCTACTAATTAAATTAATTAAGTAAAATTTATTTTATAGCTAATTAAAACTAATCAGTTATCTAATTACAGTTAATAATAATAATAATAATTAATTTCTTATACTTTTTTATACGATAATGTATTTATATATATATATATAAAAAACAAAATAAATATTTCATACTATTAAATAAAATATTTAATTTAATAATAATAAATTAATATAAATGTAATTTAAATATTTGTAATCTATGTGATACTATAAAATACTATTTTATTTATTTTATTGTTTAAAAAATTTAAATATATTTATATATATTTGTTGTTGAAATACCTGAGAAAATATTTGCGCGACAATTGCTGAGCCCTACGATTAGAGATGGGCAAATAGAAAGTTTCTAATAAATTTCCGTGAGAAAGTTTCTAGAAACTTTCTCAGGAATAAATTTCTATAGAAATTTAACTTTATTATTATACAATGGGATCCCCATATCTATAGATATTGTAATAATCAATGAGACATAATACTATACATACTAGATTAGACTCTATACTAATTATACAAAATGGGATACCTATATATAAAATAAAAATAATTATCTAATAATAATCAGTTTTGTAAAATTTTATTATATCATAGTTTAATATAATTAAATAAATAAATTTTTTACTTTAATTAATAATTAAAATACTGATACTTATAATTAATTATTAATTGTAAAAACAATGTACAGTAAAAGCAAGTTAACAAATATCGAGAAAACAAAATTAACATGGGGATCCCATAGATAGAAATTTCTTTTAGAAACTTTCTAGAAATTTCCCTATTATTTTATAAATTTCTCTTTTTTGCCAACACTACCTACGATACCGGTGCCTATCGTACCAATCGGGCGCCGATAGCAACGGGTTTGGCCTATCGTGAGTCACACCGGGAGTCTGGAGGCCAGTAGTGGTCAACTCGTGCCACTGTTTTTCCAGTCTATCCCGTGTTTCGGTGTCCAATGTATTCATATAATCCATAATAATAATAGTAATTATTAATATAATAATAAAACTAGTAATTTATTGCCAATTAGTTGAATAATTTATTTGTATGAAAAAATAGTTTTTAAAAATAAATTATTTATTTTTATTTATTTAATAACACATTTTTTGAGATAATAATAATATTAATAAAATTATGTTTATATTGCTTCACACATATGCAAACACATAGATTTTGTTTGATAAGTAAATAAATAACTAATTTATAAATTATTTTAAAATAAAATATATTATGTATTCAAATAATAATTTGTTCACAAAATAAAAAAACTCATTGATATATAGGTTAACAACATCTCAAACACAATAAACTTTCTGAGAAAAATAATTTTTGATTTTTATTAAATAAACTTTTTATTTTAAAAAATTTAATTTTACATTAGTTTGTATTGAAACTGTTACACACATACAATATATATATATACAGTACTTATATCGATAGTGAAAATGTTTTATTAGTTTAGTTTAGTGAAAGTTAAGGTTAATTAAGCTTTTTTTACTGTACATACCTGTCCCTTATGCCCTATCCACTCAACATAAAGATTATAGTATAGTATAATGTAAACCAGTTTTGAACTCAAAATTTTTTATATACAAATTATTATTGTATAATATGTATTGAAAAATGTATGTCAATCGGCTATACCTATCAACAACAAAATACATATAAAATATAATTTTTAATATAAAACTTAAATTTTAAAAGTAAAAGTTTAGGGACAAGAGTTCAAACATCAAATTGTTTCATATATTGTATTTAAAATATAAATACAATTTTTATTTTTTTAAATAAAATAAAAATAAATGTATAAAATTTATAGAAAGTTAATTCAATCTAAGCAAATATTATAAAATAAAAAATAACTATTTTATTATTTTGAAAAAATATTATTTAGTATTTATAAAACTATTTTGTTTCTAAATAAAATATTTATAGAAATAATTAAAATAATTTTGCAATTTTAATTAATAAAAAATAATATAATAAATTACATAATTTTTTAAAAATAAATACTTTAATAATAAAGTATTAATATTTATTAATATATATCTATGGTAGTAATTATATATATATATTTGTAAATTTTAGATTAACAGTTGATATTAAAAATTAATTATATTTAATATGATTTATAAATTAAATTATTCAAACAAAAAAAATATACAAAAAAATCTTATATTTTTTTGGAAACTTTTCTAAAAATGTTATTATTTCTAAATTTTCCTAATTTTACTACCATTACTATTAATAATATCATTTATTTTATATATATTGTAATAATATTATTATTATCTTATCAATTATTATTATTAATAATGATAAATAATAATTTACAAATAGCTATATATACAGTATATATACGTTAGTACATACAGTATACAGTAATTTATATGAATTATACAGATATTTATTTATTAATTTAGATAAAAATTATATCCAATTAACAATAAGCTATTTTATTACATAATTTTTTTTATTATTATCAACTTTATAATAATAATAATAATTTTGATAACAAAATAAATATATATATTTATTTTGTTGCCAATATAATAATAATAATAATAATAAAAACAAACATGGATGATTTTACTACCAATGAATCAGAGCCAATACTAACTGGTATTAACTATCTATACGATCCAGATAATGATGATGACTATCCTCCCGATCCTACATCATCACCATCAACATCATGGGCACCTACACCTAGTAGACATACACCTACCCCATCATCATCAACAACAACAACTAGACGTACCGGGTATTCATCATCGCTAACCACTGTATCCGTACACAGAGGGGATGATATACTGGTAGAGGTACTGTCCATTGTTGATAACACAGTCGCCGATAGGCCGCCACCCTATGAACAGCCCCCAGCCTACAGGCCCGGTATGGATACCGAGGAAATGCCGTTTATGATCACCTGTCAAGTGTGCGGACATCAAATTGAATTGACTACCGATAATACCGGTGCTCTGTATCAGTGGTTGCCGACAATGATTGGCCAATCATTTACGGGTCAATATCTGGTCAAATGTGGTAATTGTCACGAAAAAAATGTATGTATTTTTTTTAAAAAAATAAACTATTTATTTGAGTATTGAATATGTTATTAATTAAAAATTAATATTTTTAGTACACTTTTTTTAATATACACAGTAATTGTAAATATATTTAATTACTAAAAACTCGTATGTTTTTCATAATTATTTTGATTTTTTTTAATTAAGTTTTTTAAAAAGAAAAAACGAAAAAATTATAATTATTATTATTATTATTAGCATTAAGTATCTGTAATAAGTATTTTTTTATTTAAAAAAAATAGTTTATATTATTAATTATTTTTAATAATTTAGTATAACTTCAATACATAACCAAATTTTAAAATAACTAAAAAAAACTGTAATAAGAAAATAATTTTCAAAAATTATAAGTTTATATTAATAATTATATTATTTATATAATGAGAAACATGTCTTCTCCTTAATCAATGACTATTTAACTAAATTTTTTTTATTAAAATTAATAATTAGTTAATAATTATTATTATTATTATTATTATTAGCATTAAATACTCAATGAAATATTTAATAAACTATTGCTAACTAAAAATATTATAATCATTAAAATACTAATAGTATAATATAATAATAAATTTTAATAATTTAAAAATAAACTAAAAAAGATTTTGAAAAATTATAAGTTTATATTAATAACTATATTATTTATATATTATGAAAAACACGTGTTTTCCGTAATCAATAACTATTTAACTATTTTTTTAAAAAAATAATTAATTATTAATTATTATTATTATTAGCATTAGCATTAGATACTCATTGAATTATTTAATAAACTATTGCTAACTAAAAATATTATGAACATTAAAATACTAATATTATAATATAATAATAAATATATATTAATAATTTATTTTAAAATTAAAAAATAAACTGTAATATGAAAATAATTTGCAAAATTAATAGTTTATATTAATAATTATATTAATAATATTAGTAGTAATTAATATTATCGTTAATCAATAACTATTTAACAATTTTTTTAAAATAATTAATTATTATTATTATTATTATTATCTATTTATTTATCTATCTCTCAATATTAATATATATATATATCCAAATAGCCTATCAAACCGGCACCGGTAGGCAAAAAATTTATACGCTGTTCCTGTAATAATCTACTGGTCTATCGTGAATCCCGACAACAATTATTGAGATGTTCACGCAAAACGTGTCGGCGCCGTATTGACCTATCCATTGGCCTGGATGATATTAATGATCTATATGATCAGGGTGATAATTTATCATTGACATCATCAATTTCATCTAGTACAACAATACGTACTAGGCGTAAAAATTATTGTATCATGGTCATGGCATGTTTTTGTATGCTATGCACTATTGGCGGTATTATTGCCGTATTTGTTATACTATTTAAATTTAAAAAATGATCCATGGTAATATATAAATTTTTTTTATAAAAAATAGTATTAATATATCAAATAATTTACACACATATTATTAGATTTAATTATAATTTTAATTATTAATTTTAAAAATATAGTAAATTAATTTTTATTTTATTTGATATTTAATTGTATAATTTTTTTTTACAAAAAAAATTATTTATAATATTATTTATTGTATTTTAATCAACTTTATAGAAAAATTATAGATAGCAACAATAACATTTTTTGTTGTTGTATATAATATTTAATATATAATTTTATTTAAAAGTATTTAATCTTATAAAAAATATAATATTATTATTATTTATGAAAACATATCATAGATTTTATGATATAACCAAAAAAAATCATAAAACCTTATGACAAATAGCATAATAAAATTAAACTAAAAAATCAACTAAAATATATATACATATATATTTAATATATATATATATATACTGTATCTATGAAATTGATATTAAATATTTAATAATAATAATAATAAAGATAATTAAATAATCAAAACAGAAAAATAATAAATAATTTTATTATTCATGAAATGCATAGTATTATTGTTTTTTTTGATGCAATTATTTTGTTAAATACTTTTTATATCATTTTAAGTTAAAACGTATATAAACTTTTAAAAAAAGTAACTATAAATACATATCATTTATAATATTTAAAAATTATTTTTGCAATAAATTTTTTCCTAACAAAAATGTCCAATATTAATGAACACCGGGAGCTAAATAATAATAATAATAATAATACTGACACACCAACTACTACTACTGGTAGTGGTGGGGGTAGTGATGTTCAACTAACTGAAGGCACAATTATAAGTATTAACCGTTTGATTATGGATTATGGATCACCAATGGACGCACCGCCACCTTATAGTCCCATAAATACTAATAATGTTGTTACTGGTGGTGGACAGGGAGCTAGTGGTGGTAGTGGCGGTGGTATTGGTGATGTTAAATGTCAAGTGTGTTTCAATTTGATATCTATGCCATCCATAAGCAGCCGCCGTCGCCGCGATTATGATGACTGCGACTATCAACCCGTCAATGACCGTACTGTTAGCTGTAACTACTGTAATGAGGAAACGGTATGTAATAATGTTTATTTTTTTTATTAATATTTACTATACTTAACTATTAGCTATATAAATTAATTTACATTTATCTATCCACACACACACACACACACACACCCCATCCAACCCTATATCTATATAGCCCATCAAAGCACCGCCCGTCGGAATGTGTTACTACCGGTGCCCACAGTGTCACTGTCTATTGAAACACTCGGCCCGTGCCCTACGTATACGATGCACCCGTACTACGTGTAAACAATGGCATACCCTTAACAACAATAGTGGTTATCAGCCAAAATCAGCAGCAGCAGCAGCACCTGTACCATCATCATCATCGACACCAACATCAAGCAACTACTATAGTACTAGACCTACCAGATCATCGGCCAGTGATCTAAATAGATGGTTGGCTGAACCATCATCATCATCATCATCGGAACCGGTATCTAAAACATGCACCACAAATAAAAAATTCATATTAATTATATTTATTATTATCTGCAAAATTTTAATAATTTGTTTTTGTTTTTTAACTTAATCATTGATGATGATGATGATGATGATGCTAATTTGATTTAATTATATAATATTTATGAATTTTTTTAAATTATTATTATTTTATACAAGCAATTAAACTATTTTAAAAAAATTAAGATTTTATTTTTATGATATAAATTATAATTAAATACTACTTTTATTGAAAATATATTTATTACTTATAATTCTATGTTTTTTATAAAAAAAATAATTACTATAATTTTTAAATAAATATTATTAATATTAATATTATATAATCAATTAATACTATTGGAAAAAAATTATTATAAACTTTAAAATACTTTTTTTAAAAATTAATTAATTATTTTTTGAACTTTAAAAAATGTAATAATTTTTGTTTGGTTGTAAAAAGTTTATATTATTAATAATTATTATTTTTTTATAAATAATTTATTAGAAATAATTAGTTGGCTTTTATTTATTACAATTTTATTATTTTGTTTTTTTTAAATTAAATATCAATTATTATTAGTGATGTACCGATTGCAAAATGCGCAATTGCATTGCTTGGAAATTGCGTGAAATTGCCGCAATTGCAAAAAGCTCGATTGCGAAAATCGCAATTGTAACATAAAAAAATTTATAATTTTTAAAAAATTTAAATGGCAAAGCAATATGAATAAAAACAAATTAATTATATAAAATTTAATTATTTTATCATAAAATGTTGACATCTAAAAACCATGTAAAAATAATAATAAATTAGTAAACTCTCTTAATCTATTGTAAACAAAATTTTTAACGTTGTCAAAGTTAATTTTTATACATTCCCTCATGCGCGCAATTTCAAGCAATTTCACGCAATTTTCCGCAATTGCGGCAATCGAAAATTGAATTGCGAAAAATTACCAACACTAATTATTATTATTATTATTATTATATTTTCAACTATACATTGTACTTAAACTGTTTATATATACAGTAGTAATTGTAAATCTATTACTATGTTATAATATTTAATGTAAATTTTAACAAAAAAAATTTTTTTTATCTAATTAAAAAAATTATTATTAATATTAATATCTAATAATAGCTAATATTACTTAAAAAAAATATTATTCAATTATTTAAAGTTTAATTAATTAGTTTTCAATACACTATTAATATAGTGTAATAATTGTTAAAATATTTATTACTTTTCAAATTTAATGATTTTTAAAAAAAATAAATTAATGTGATTTTTAATTTAAATTTTTTAAATAAATAATTAATATTAAATATTAAGCCAATAAAAAATATATTAAAACATTAAGATACTAATGTTTTAATAGGTTATAAATATTTAATTTAATTTAAAAAAAACATTAATTTGTTTGTTTTTATTTAAAAATAAAAACTATAATAATAAATTAAATTTAAAAAAAAGTACAAGTTTATATTAATAATTATTTTTATTAATTATTAGATAAAAAGACATTTAATATTTACATTTTTAACATTTTGTTAAAAATTTATTTTTATATTATTTATTTATTTATCATTTAGTCAAGATGATCTTGCTAACTATTATATTTATGATAATTGCATTTTTTTGTTATACAATTTATTTATTTTTTTTTAAAATAACTAATTGGTTAAGATTTAATGATTATAGTATTATTGCATATAACACACACACACACACACACACATACATACATACATACATACATACATACACACACACACACACACACACACACACACACACACACACACATATTAAAAAAAATATTTTATTTATTAATAATTAAATGTGTAATAAAATTTTATTCATTGTATTAATCTATTTATTCAATATTAAATTATAGATAGATTTTTTTTAAAAAAATAATTTTTTAATTAATTTACTAATATTTCATCAACAAAATATAATAATTAGTATTTTTGACATAATAATAATTAAATTAATGGGTAAAAAATATCATAGATTTTTATGATTAAACGTAAAAAAATCATAAAACTAGTGATAAATAGCATAATAAAATTTACCTAAAAAATTATAACTAAATTAAATTTATTGTATCCATAAATTTAATATTAAATAATAATAACAATAATTATAATGAAGATAATTAAATAATTATCACAAATAATAATAAAAATAATTTCAATATTCATGTAATGTACAGTATTGTAATTTTTTTGATGTAATTATTTTATTAAATAATTTATTTTTAATATTTTAAGTTAAACGCATATAAACTAAAGTAGCTATAAATACCTATCATTTATATTATTATTAATTTGTTTTCTGTGTGAAAATTATAAACAAAATGTCCAATATTAATGAGCACCGGGAGCTAAATAATATGGACACATCAACTACTACTACTACCACTACTACAACTAGTGGTAGTGATGTTCAGCTAACTGAAGGCACTATTATAACTATTAGCCGTTTGATTAGGGATTATGGATCACCAATGGACGCACCGCCACCTTATAGTCCCATAGATATTAATAATAGTGTGGTTATTGATGGTGGACAGGGAGCTAGTGGTGATGTTAAATGTCAAGTGTGTTTCAATTTGATATCCATACCATCCATAAGCAGCCGCGATTATGATGACTGCGACTATCAACCCGTTAATGATCGTACTGTTAGCTGTAGCTATTGTAATGAGGAAACGGTATGTAATAATTTGTGAATATTATATCATACTTAACTATATAAGCTATATAAAAATAATTTATACATCCATGCCCATATCCATCACACACCCCATCCCAACCTAAATATATATATATATATATATACGGTATATATATATACAATATATAGCCTATCAAAGCACCGCCACTTGGAATGTGTTACTACCGGTGCTCACAGTGTCACTGTCTATTGAAACACTCGGCCCATGCCTTAAGTATACGATGCACTCGTCCTACTTGTAATAAATGGCATACCCTTAACAACAATGGTGGTCATCAGCCAACATCAGCTGCAGCACCAGCACCTGTACCTTCATCGACAACAACAAGCAACTACTATCATAATATACCCAGATCATCGGCCAGGGAGCTAAATAGATGTTTGGCTGATCCTATTCAATCGGAAACGTTATCACCAATTAAATCTAGATCAATGTGCTCGACAATGGTCAAATTTTTATTGTTAATTATTTCATTGATTATTATGTTTGTATTTATCTTATATTCTATTAATCGATTTTAATAAAAAAAAAAAATTAATAAATATATATTTAAAAATATTTTTTTTATAAAATTTTAATTATTATTATTTTCATACAAACAGTACAATATAGTCAACAAGTTTGTTGTTGTTGTTGTTATTATTATTATTATTAATTGATTTTATTTAAAATTATTTTTTGTAATTTTTTATGTAATTTTTCAATTATTATTATTATTATTATCATTTAGTTAGTTAGTTATGTGATAAATTTTTTTTTTAATTTTTTGTTTTGTTTAATTCAATAATTATTTTAATTATATATTTATATTACTTTTATTACTATTATTTTTTAAAAAAATAATTTTAACTAAATTATTAGTTTTAAACAAAATTATTATTAATTTTTTAATAATAATAATAATAATAATAATTATAATTAAAACTAGATATAGGTATAAGCATTTTTTGTTTTTTTTTGAATATTATTTTATTACTTTATTTGATTTTGTTAGTGTTTTAGTATTTTATTTAAAAATATGTAAATAATTTTTTTAGGTCTCAAATAATATTTATTATATATTTTGTTGTTGTTGTTGTGATATTATATGATATATTTTTAAAATAAATTTTTATTACTTATAATTTTAAGTTATATCTTATTAAATAAGAATTTAATTAAACTAAAAAAATATGATAATAATATTTTATTTATTAATATTTAAAAGTTTAATAAAAATTTTATTTATTATATTAATCTATTTATTCAAAAGAAAATTTAAAAAATAATAAAATATTTGTTATAGTTTTTAAAAAATATATTTCATTAACAAAATATTAGTTAGTTATTTATGATAAAAATAATAATTAATTAATGGGTGAAAAATATCATAGATTTTATTATATAAGTTATATCATAAAACCTGTGACTAATAGTATAATAAAATTTTTAAAAAATCAACTAAATTATATTTATTGTAACTATATATTTGATATTTAATAATAATAATAATAATAATAATAAAGATAATAATTATCAAAATATTAATAATAATTTTATTATTCTTGTAATTTTTTGATGCAATTATTTTTAAAAAAATACTTTTTATATCATATTTTAAGTTAAACGTATATAAACTTTTAAAAATAGCTATAAATAATTATCATTTATATTAAATTTTTTTCTGTATAAATTATAAACAAAATGTCCAATATTAATGAGCACCTGGAGCTAAATAATATGGACACATCAACTACTACTACCACTACTACTACTACTACTACTACTACTACTAGTGGTAGTGATGTTCAACTAACTGAAGGGACAATTATTACTATTAGTCGTTTGATTAGGGATTATGGATCACCAATGGACGCACCGCCACCTTATAGTCCCATAGATACTAATAATAGTGTGGTTATTGATGGTGGACAGGGAGCTAGTGGTGGTGGTAGTGTTAAATGTCAGGTTTGCTTCAATTTGATATCCATACCATCCATAAGCAGCCGCAACGATGATGATGACGACTATCAACCCGTCAACGACCGTACTGTTAGCTGTAACTATTGTAATGAGGAAACGGTATGTAATGTGAATGTTTATTATTTGTGAATATTTACTATACTTAACTATAAGCTATATAAAAATAACTTATAATCTATACCCATCCACACACACACACCTATCCCACCCTAAATATATATATATCAATATACGGTATATATACATATATAGCCCGTCAAAGCACCGCCTGTCGGAATGTGTTACTACCGGTGCCCACAGTGTCACTGTCTATTGAAACACTCGGCCCATGCCTTAGGTGTACGATGCACTCGTCCTACTTGTAATAAATGGCATACCCTTAACAACAACAATAGTGGTCATCAACCAACAACAACAACATCATCAGCAGCACCTGTACCATCATCATCGACAACAAGCAACTACTATAGTAATATACCCAGATCATCGGCCAGGGAACTAAATAGATGGTTAGCTGATCCTCAATCGGCATCACCTAAATCATCATCAATATGCACCACAAGGGCAAAGGTCAAATTGATAACATTTATTTTATCATTGATTATTTCTACCATAATTTTAATAATTTATTTAAATCGATGATGCTAATAATAATAATAATAATAATAATAATAATAATAATAATATTTTTTTTAATATATAAAAGGGCCTTACATTAATCTCGGGCATGGGGTTTTTTGCTATAATTCTTAAACGGAGTGAGATACATTAATTTTGTAAAAAGTGTATTAAAATGTGATTTACGCGTGATACTATAAAATATTTAATTTTTAATTTTAATCACGTGATCATATTTATTCTGAGATGTTTGCAAACCACTATGTCAGAACCTTACCTATAAATGATAGAAAAAATTTTTATCAACAATATTGTAGAGCTTAAATTGGAAATTTATGGGAAGAAAATTTTTTTGAAATTAATCAAAAAATAATTTTTTTATGGTTTTTCAAACTTGTAGAAAAACACATTATATAAAATAGTCGAAAATAAAATGACGTTATTTATTAACAATAGACACTTAATAGATAAAGATTTTATTACTATTACTTATTATGAAAACAAAATTTTTTTATGTCAAATATTTTTTTAGATAATTAAATTATAATAAAAAACGCAATATAGTAATTCGATAATGTAATTTGTAATTAAGTTTGATTATCTAAAAAAATATTTAACATAAAAAAATTTTGTTTTCAAAATAAGTAATAGTATTAAAATCTTTATCTATTAAATGTCTATTGTCCATAAATAACGTCATTTTATTTTCGACTATTTTATATAATGTGTTTTTCTACAAGTTTGAAAAACCATAAAAAAATTATTTTTTGATTAATTTCAAAAAAAATTTCTTCCCATAAATTTCCAATTTAAGCTCTACAATATTGTTGATGAAATTTTTTTCTATCATTTATAGGTAAGGTTCTGACATAGTGGTTTGCAAACATCTCAGAATATATATGATCACGTGATTAAAATTAAAAATTAAATATTTTATAGTATCACGCGTAAATCACATTTTAATACACTTTTTACAAAATTAATGTATCTCACTCCGTTTAAGAATTATAGCAAAAACCCCATGCCCGAGATTAATGTAAGGCCCTTTTATATAAATATTTATAATTTAAAAATAATTATTATTAATATTAGTATTTCATATAATATAAAACAAGTTTTTTACCACAAAAAAAACATTAAAACCTATTAAAATTATTTTAGTTTTTATTCAAGTGTATTAACTATTCAATTAAATAAGATTCATATGTTATTTTTCAATATACTATTAGTTTACTGTACAGTAATTGTAAATATATTTTATTTATTATTATTAATCTATTGATTTAATAGCAAATTATAGACAGATTTTTATTAAAATAAAATATTTATTATAATTTTTTTTTAAAATACATTTTATCAATAAAATATAAAAAATTAGTATTTATGATATAACAAAAAAAAATCATAAAACTAGTGTGACAAATAATATAATAAAATTAAACTAAAAAATCAACTAAATTATATTTATTGTATGTATAAATTTGATATGAAATAATAATAACAATTATAATAAAGATAATTAAATAATTATCAAAAAAAATAATAATAATAATTACATTATTCATAAAATGCATAGTATTTTTAGTTTTGATGCAATTATTTTTAATATATACTTTTTATATCATATTTTAAGTTAAATAGTATATAAACTTAAAAAATAGCTATAAATATCTATTATTTATATTATATTATATTTTTTCTGTATAAATTATAAATGTCCAATATTAATGAGCACCGGGAGCTAAATAATATGGATACACCAACTACTACTACCACTACTACAACTAGTGGTAGTGATGTTCAACTAACTGAAGGCACTATTATTACTATTAGCCGTTTGATTAGGGATTATGGATCACCAATGGACGCACCGCCACCTTATAGTCCTATAGATACTAATAATAGTCTGGTTATTGATGGTGGACAGGGAGCTAGTGGTGGTGGCGGTGGTAGTGTTAAATGTCAAGTTTGCTTCAATTTGATATCCATACCATCCATAAGCAGCCGCGATGATGATGATGACGACTATCAACCCGTCAACGACCGTACTGTTAGATGTAACTATTGTAATGAGGAAACGGTATGCAATAATGTTTATTATTTGTGAATATTTACTATAATTAACTATATAAGCTATATAAAATAACTTACATCTACCGATCCACAAACACACCACATCCCATATATATATATATATTAATATATAGCCCATCAAAGCACCGCCCGTCGGAATGTGTTACTACCGGTGCCCGCAGTGTCACTGTCTATTGAAACACTCGGCCCGTGCCTTACGTTTACGATGCACTCGTCCTACTTGTAATAAATGGCATACCCTTAACAACAACAACAATAGTGGTCATCAGTCAACAACATCAGCTGCAGCACCTGTACCATCATCATCATCGACAACAACAACAACAAGCAATTACTATAGTACTATACCCAGATCATCGGCCAGGGAACTAAATAGATGGTTGGCTGATCCTCAATCGGCGTCACCTAAATCATCATCAATATGCACGACAAGGACCAAGTTCAAATTTTTGACGTTTATTTTATCATTGATTATTTCTACCATAGTTTTAATAATTTATCTTTATTGATGATAATAATAATAATAATAATAATAATTTTTAATATATATAAATATTTATAATTTAAAAATAATTATTATTAGTATTAGTATTTCATATAATATAAAACAAGTTTTTTTACAAAAAAAAACATTAAAACCTATTAAAATTATTTTAGTTTTTATTCAAGTGTATTAAGTATTCATATATAAACAATAATATATTCAACAACAAGTTTTTATTTGTGATTATTATTAATTGATTTAAAACTTATTTTATGTAAAATTTTTCTATTATTATTATTTAGTTAGTTTATTTGATAAATTATTTTTTTTTGTTTGTTTAATTCAATAATTTAAACAAATATATTTTATTTTATTTAAAAATATGTAAATTATTTATAATTTTAATTTAATCTTATTAAATAAGATTTTAATTAAACTAAAAAATTGATAATAATATTTTATTTATTAATATTTAAATGTTTAATAAAAATTTTATTTATTATATTAATCTATTGATTTAATAGCAAATTATAGACAGATTTTTTTTAAAAATAAAATATTTATTATAATTTTTTTTTAAATATATTTCATCAACAAAATATATAAAATTAGTATTTATGATATAACAAAAAAATCATAAAACTTTTGTGACAAATAGTATAATAAAATTAAACTAAAAATTAACTATATTATATTTATTTTATCTATAAATTTGATATAAAATAATGATAACAATTATAATAATAAAGATAATTAAATAATTATCAAATAATAATAATAATTTCCTTATTCATGTAATGATTAATGTATTGTACTTTTTTTAATGCAATTATTTTGTTAAATACTTTTTTTATATCATATTTTAAGTTAAAACGTATATAAACTTTAAAAAATAGCTATAAATACCTATAATTTATATTATGTTATATTTTTTTCTGTGTAAATTATAAACAAAATGTATATTATTAATGAGCACCGGGAGCTAAATAATATGGACACATCAACTACTACTGCTACTACTACTACAACTAGTGGTAGTGATGTTCAACTATCTGAAGATACAATTATTACTATTAGCCGTTTGATTAGGGATTATGGATCACCAATGGACGCACCGCCACCTTATAGTCCCATAGATACTAATACTAATAATGTGGTTATTGATGGTGAACAGGGAGCTAGTGGTGGTGGTAGTGTTAAATGTCAAGTTTGCTTCAATTTGATATCCATACCATCCATAAGCAGCCGCGATGATGATGATGACGACTATCAACCCGTCAATGACCGTACTGTTAGATGTAACTATTGTAATGAGGAAACGGTATGTAAATTATATTATTATTATTTTTTAAAAATAATAACTATATACTTAACTATATAACTATAATATTAATTATCCAACCCATCATCCCACATCATTCCATCACACCTATACTTAACTCAACCCATAACCCCCCCCCCGCCTTAAAAAATATAGCCCATCAAAGCACCGCCGGTCGGAATGTGTTACTACCGGTGCTCACACTGTCACTGTCTATTGAAACACTCTGTCCATGCCTTACGTGTACGATGCACTCGTCCTACTTGTAATAAATGGCATACCCTTAACAACAACAACACTAGTGGTCATCAGTCATCAACAACATTATCAGCAGCACCAGCACCTGTACCATCATCATCATCATCGACAACAACAAGCAACTACTATAGTACTATACCTACCAGATCATCGGCCAGGGAACTAAATAGATGGTTGGCTGATCCTCAATCGGCATCATCACCACCTAAATCGACATCACAGTGCTCCTCAAAAACAATAGTCAAATTGATATTGTTTATTATATCATTGATTATTTTGATAACATTTCTATTATTTTATTTTAATATTTATTACTAAATAAATATATATATATAATATATATATACTGTATATATAAATATTTTTATTATTATTTTTTTAAAATAATAATTATTATTATTATTTCATACAATCAGTCAAAAAGATTTTTGTTGTTGCTGATATTATTAATTGATTTAAAACTTATTTTTTTTGTAAAATTTTATTATTTTTAGAAATTATTTCTATTATTTTTATTATTATAGTAAATAATAATTATATTAGTACTATATTTAGTTATAGTTAATTAGTTAATGTGATAAATTAATATATTTATTGTTTAATTCAACAAATTATTTTAATTATATTTATATTACTATGATTTTTATATATTTTATATTTTAACTAAGTTATAAGTTTTATACAAAAATAATTATTAATTAATTTTTTATTAATAAATACTTTTAACATTATTAATACTATTGAAATTAAAGATTTCTGTATAAAATCATAATATTCATAAACAGTAAATATTTAATTAAATAATATATTGTATATTAATTAATTAAAATATTTAATTTATATTATAATTAAATTATTTTTTTAAAAAAACTTTAATATGAACATAATTTGCAATGTTATATGTTTATATTAAATTAAATATCAATAATTTATTTATTTATTTATTTATAGTTATTAGTTTGTATTATTAACTATCATATTTATAATAGTTTGTCAAAATTAAATGCTATTTATATTTTTTTAATATAATATTTTTTTAAAAGGCAATACAATATATTGAATATAATAACATTAAAGTAATAATAATAATAAAAAAATAAAAATATAAAATTTAATTATTATTGTTATTATTATTATACAATAGAAAATAAAAATGCAAATGTAAATACTATACTCTATATTATTTTTTGTTATTTACTTTTAAAAAAAAGTAAATTAATATCTTTAAAAAAATAATAATTTATAAATTATTTTTAGTATATTATTATACTTTTATTAATATTCTAGTTTACATTGAATGTAACAAATATTTAATTTAATAAATATAAAATAAATGAATAATAAATTATTATTATTATTATTATGAATATTTGTATAATTATTTTTTTTTGTAAATAAAATGTTTATTAATTAAAAATACAATTTATTTATACTATTATTTAAAAATAAATATAAATATTTCAAACAAATAAAAAAAATAGATTAATATATTTATAAAGTAAATACTTTTATAAATAATACTAAAAGTTTTATTAGACTTTTTTTAGACAAAAATTATTTTATTTTAAATGCAAACTCAACTGTAGTTAATAGATATACTGTATATTAATATATCATAATTTATATCCGATTTAATATTTAAAAAAAAAACATTTTAGATTTAATAATATTTTTTTTTTTTGGTTTCAAATAAGTTTTAATTTGTATTTTTATTAATAACAATGTCTAATGAGGAGCACCTGGAGCTAACTGATGTCCTAACTGACAATACTATTACTACTACTACTACTACTACTACTACTATTACAACAACAACAACAACAACAACTACTACTACTACTACTACTACTACTACTACTACTACTACTGCTAGCCATCAATTATTTTTACCCTATGGACCACTGGAGGCTCCGCCACCATATACTCCATCATCAGATAATTATAACAATAATCTAGTTAACAGTGGACAGGGAGGAGGAGGAGGAGGAGGACAGGTCAAATGTCAGGTTTGCTTCAATTTGATATCCATACCATCTATAAGCAGCCGCGATGATGATGATGATGACGACTATCAACCCGTCAATGACCGTACAGTTAGCTGTAACTATTGTAATGAGGAAACGGTATGTAATAATGTTTATTATTTGTGTGAATATAATCACTATACTTAACTATATAAGCTATATAAATTAATTTATATCTACCCATCCATGCACAAACACACCATCTAATCCTAAATATATATTATATATATATATATATATATATATAGCCCATCAAAGCACCGCCAGTTGGATGGTGTTACTACCGTTGCCCACAGTGTCACTGTCTATTGAAACACTTGGCCCGTGCCCTACGTGTACAATGTACCCGTCCTATGTGTAATAAATGGTATACCCTAAACAACAACAACAACAACTACAATAGTAGTCATCAGCCAATATCAACATCATCAGCACCTGGATCACTATCATCATCGACAATAACAACAACAAGGACAATTACTATACCCAGATCATCGGCCAATAGGTATCTAAATAGATGGTTGGCTGAACCGGTAGCACCATTACCATCATCATGGACAACAACTACAACAACAAGGACAATTACTATACCCAGATCATCGGCCAATAGGTATCTAAATAGATGGTTGGGTGGATCGGTAGCACCATTACCATCATCATCATCATCGACAACAACAACAACAAGGACAATTACTATACCCAGATCATCGGCCTATGGCGGCCTAAATAGATGGTTGACTGAACCGGTAGCACTACCACCACCATCACCATCTAAAACACGACTGTCCACAACAATTTTTAAATATCTTATATATATATTGTTAGTTGGCTCATGTATTATAGCTTTCATAGTACTAATAATTAAGGACACAGATTTTAGTAAGGCCCAATTTCCTAAATCCCAGGGTGTTAGCAGGGGGCGGGGACGGACGGGGAATATTGATTTAATGCGCGGTTGATGGGGTGCGGGGGGGGGGGGGGGGGTTGGCTAACAGGTTTTTATTATGGGGAACGTATTTTTATTTTTTTTGGTACACACACATACATTAAATGAAAATTATATACGATTAAAAAAATAAATAATATAAACTCTCAACCACCCCCCACCCCCATTTAATTTATTTAGGTTTCTATATATATATATATATATATATACTGATTTAAAACTGATGATGATAATGCTATTATTTTTCATATATACAGTATACAGTATATATAAATATTTATTAGCTAAATAACATTAGTATTATTATTATTATTATTATTATTATTTCAAACGCAAACAAATATCAAACATTAGATTTTTGTTTATTTTTGATTAAAAAAAATATAAATAAATAATTTTTTTTAATAACTACTCATATATAATATAAAATATTCAAATTATTTTTTTTAAAATTTGTTTATTTTAATAAAATTTAATTTTTATTTTTTAATTCAATAATATTAATAATTACTTATTATATTTAGTTAAATATATTTATAATATAAATAATTTCTAAGTTTCTATTGATATTTATTATATACATTATATATATACTGTATATTTTATTATATTTTATTTGATAATATTTCATATGATATACTAAAAACTATTTATCGTTTTTATTTATGATTTAAGTTTTTAAATACTATATAATGAATATACTTATAAAATATTAAAGTAATAAAAATATAAATGTATTTTATTATTATTATTATTATACTATATTATCTATATAATATAATTTAAATTATAAATATATTTATTTTATTATTTACTTAAAATGTTAAAAATTAAAAATCAAAAAAAAATTAATAGTTATAGTAATTAACTATTATTACTAATTAGTGAGCACCTGGAGTCAATATAAAAATTCAAATTAGATCTGAAAAAAAATTATTTATATTTTTTTTTGTATAATATAAATATTTATTGAAAAAAATTATTTATTTTAATATTTAATATTCTGTATTAATATTATAGTTTTTACTGTAGATGTAATAAATATTTATATTTTATAATACTGTATAATAAATAATTATGATTATTTTGTATAATTTAATTTGTTTTAATAAAATATTTATTATTTAA